TTACAATTTTTATATCCGTTTCTTTCTCACTCATTGTATTTTCTATGTCGTTTCTCACTTTTTTATCTCAAGTCCATTATTGAGCTGTTCGAGCGCTTCAGTGTTATTTTTTTTTCTCACTGTGTCTCTGTCTCTTTCTCACTCAGTCAATTTTCTATATCTCTGTCTCTTACCTCATTATTCTCATGATAATGATTCACAAAATGAACCAGTTATCATTCAAAAAATTGAAGTCGTTCAAAAAAGCGGGAAATTTTCAATAAACTGTCAAAAACTTCGATTTATGATTCAGAAATTCAGTTTCTGAGCTTCTAGTTGGATATATTTTCGATATAAGTTGCTCAGAAAAGTGGACGAAAATGTTGTAAAAGTTGGACAAAATTATAAAAAAAATCTTTTAATAAATATTTACAAAGTTTCTGTAGTTCTGACCATAACAAATTAATCGATCAAAATTCTAATTTGAAAATGAGTGGGTTATTGAACTTATGATTCACTCGTTCAAAAATTGTTCCTTTTCTCTTGAATTTTCCCAAATCAATTTTCGTTTATTCCCGGCTCTTGAATTTAACGAAATAAAGAAAATTCAAGAGCCTGGAATAGGAAAAATATGATCATTGAAAACAAAATCTGTATCGATATAAGCCGTTCTCTAACTACATATATTCATTATAATGAGGAAAAGTGTATCTTGTCTTTTGAACCTTGGAAATTTTACTCCTGGATTTGTATAGCTACATTCTTGATTCCCATATCGGAAATATGTTCGAAAAATCTCCGCACAAAATATGCGCATACGAAAACAATGAATGGCCAAAACGCCATAAAGATGTATCGCGCCCGATAAGCCATGAATTATTAATGATTAAAATTCAAATTTTCGTTTCGCCCGCGCCGCGTTTTAATTAATCGAAAAATAGGGCCGATAAATGATAATAAACCCGACTATTACTGGCCATATTTCAGTCGTTTTGAAATGTTTATGTTATTTTGATAGTGGAAATTCCATATTATTTATATCGAGAAGATATGAGTGTATTTTTTTTCCCATAACCTACCACCCTTGCAATTAAATTTACTATTCATTCGCTATATGGAACTAATGGCGAACACACCCCACTCGTAAACGATTTACAAACATTAAATAGATCCGAGATACGCCTCAATTTGATCCAGTCTCTTGTGTCAAGGGTGCGTGACTAAAACGCTACTGGTTATGGGAAAAAAGTATCATTTGATTTCTGCAACCAACCAACCAAAAGATAAGAATCTTCATTCATCATTCATAAAAATGCACAGATGTATATTAGAGGTAATTTTACAGGCAATTGGATTTTCAAAAAAATAATTGTACATTATTATTATTAACCCCTTAGCAATTTCCTAGCCGGACAACGAACAGTTGTTCTATGGGGAAGTCGTCCATCAACCCTCTCCGGGAGCTTCTTTCGGTCAAAGACGGAACGCGGTCACAAATCATGTCGTTTCGAGGTCCGATTTATGGTAACGTGCCATATTGTTTATGGCTTCTGAATAGATTATTGCCTGGGTATTGTTATGCAAAATTGATCGCAGGTGTAAAAAGTAATATTCGCAGATGGTTTTAGGTTGGATATAGGCTTGATGTGTTCAATGAAGTATTTTAAACGGTGTCTATTGGTACTGCCTATAACTTCCACTACTATCCGTGCCCGAGACTAAAGTGGAAATGTCCATATTTTTATAAAAACCCTTTTTTCGATGAATAGCAATTATTATTAGTTTTACTACCACCTTCAAAGTTATCTGCAAGTTAAGTGGAGTTTCCTAAATGATGTATTTTGGTCGGGCCTATAATTTCCAATAAGATTTGTACCTACAATGTCCATATTTCATGAAAACTCTTTTTTCAATGAATCGCCATTATCAGTTCTACCCCCTTAAGCCACCCTCAAAAATGGGATAAGAAAAAATGTAATTATTCCCGGCGCTTGAGTGAGCATGTATGTTGTAATGATCCGAGAAAATAGACCCATAAAACACAATGTCTTTACTGTAAAAATTAAATAATTATCAGTATCGATAAATTAAAAATGAAACAAATTAACGCTAACGTATTGCGACATCCAACCATGTCATCATCTAAATTAAATTCTTAAAAATAATAGAAACGAGGACAGGGCGATGTCATCCCAATACCCGATCAATGAACTTTTTTTTTAGCGGTGGTAATTAATTTGATAATTTATGGCATTCTTGAACCAATAATGTTTTGACCTCGATAAATCAGGATATTGCGACATAATTATTCGTTTTTTTAGACTAAAAATGATAAAAATCCTAAGGAGATTGCATCATCTTAATTGTCATGGACACAGAAATTTCGATGGGGTATTAAAAAAATATAAATACCGCGTTTTTAGAAGTGGAATGCAGTTTCTAGTTAAGTTGACAGTTGAGAGATGAGTTCGCAGTCCTGTCCAGTTTGAGTTAAAGTCTTACCGGTTTTGCCAAAATTTTTTTAATGGCGTATGGCCTCGGATTTAATTTAATAGAAAAAGTACGGAAAATTGTGTAAGAAATAACATTTGAAATTCGTTCAAAAATTATGTGCGGGCTCTAAGTAATCAAAAGAATTAAATTAGATTAGTTTTGTGTTTTATGTAAGTACTCTATAGTGACAAGATTTATTTTGAATATAAATGATGAACATGACTTTGTGTGATTAAACTTTGAATTTTAATGCCTAAAACTTGAGTGATTTTGACTAGTAAAACTTTCCGACTTTTATCCATGATTCTGAATGATAAGAAGTGAATTAACAAATTACTTTCATAAACTTGAGTGATTGTTACTAGAAAAACTTTTGACTTTTAATTAACTGTGGAACTTTATTGTATTAATATTAATAACTCGAGTGTTTTATATAAATAGGTGAAGGGTAGTTAATAGGAATAAATCGGAAGTATTGAAATGAGTTAACTTATAAGATATTAGGAATAGCAGGAATAGGGCGTTTCTTATTTAGTAGAGATATTTCAGTGGTCCGTAATTTTAGAAAAATAGATGAGACTGTCAGAGTTGGGAGATACTTTGCTGATTTTAATTTTTGGATTTTATGTAGGTATAATAAAATATAATTTTAGTACACCTCAATAGTTTGTTTCTCTCTCTTGCAAATAGACCCTTCTACAGATTTAGGTAGCAGCTCCAAGTAAATAAACACCATCAATATACCGCTCGCCATTTACCATCTAACTAATTACATAGAGTACTTGGGGCGTTTATATGTAATTTCTGAATCTGGTTAATAGAAAGCTTAGAATAGACAAATGGGACAAAAAAGGTGATATAAAAAACTTAACGATAAGAAAAAAGACAGAGATAAAGTAAGATAGATTGAATAATGACGCAAACTTTGATTATTCCTGGCGCTTGAGTGACCAAGAGCTTGAAATAATAAACGAGATAGTAATATAAGAAATTCAATAAGTAAAAAAGAAACAGAAATAAAGTAGGATAAAAAATAATGTAATAATTATATGACCAATAAAAATCGAATTTTGACAGTTTGTTTCTTGTTGTTTTGAACGACTTCGAATTTTTAAAAAAAAAATGTCAAATGAAACTTTTTTCATCAAATAACTGGCTCAGAAACTGAACTATGATTTTTTTTGTAAATCATTACCATAAGAATAATAAAGTAAGAAACAGCGATATGGAAAATTGACTAAGTGAGGAAGAGAAAAAGACACAGTGGGATAAAAACAAAATTAACACTGAAGCGCTCGAACGACTTAATAATGAATGGGCTTGAGATAGAGAGACGACATAGAAAAGACAATGAGTGAGAAAGAAACGAATATAAAGTAGGAAATAAAAATTATACGTATTTTGATTATTCTCGGCGCTTGTAAATTTTGTATCTGCCTAGAATAATGATATAAGAAATTCAAAGAAAGAGATGGTTATTGATATTTTCATTATTCCTGGCCTGGCTTGACTGACCTTGTAATTTCTGTGTCCAACAAGTAAAGTAAGAAACAACGATATAAAAAATTAAATAAGTGAAAAAGAGACACAAATAAAGTAGGATATAAAAATGTAACACTAATAATTTCAATTATTCCCGGCGCTTGAGTGAGTTTTTATACAGGGTTGTCGTTATGTATGGAAATATTTCAGAACCGGCTTGAAAAAAATTTACAATATTTCCTACCTGGCGGTTTTTGGGAATATCCAATTTAATAGTGGTATTTGCAATGTTGCTATGTTTACCGTTTCTGAAATGCCGTATGAAACCTGATTTTTTTAAATGGATGCCCCTAAATGCCAGAACTCCATTTTACTTGGTTTTTGAAATATGGCAACACAGATTTTTTGTTGAAATAGTATTGTATTTCAGAAAAGACTGTAGCAAAATGAACAATATTCTTCACTTGGAGGTTTTTAGGAATGCCCGATTCAATGGTGGTATTTGCAATGTTGCCAATTTTACCATATGTAACTTGATTTTTCTTCAAATGGCAGTTATATACAGTATCTTAGAAACGATGAACTTGGCAACATTGCAGTGCTGTGACACAAGTATCTGCAGTTTCAAATAGTATTTATAACAGTTTTTTACCGAATCAGCCCTAAGACTATATAACAAAAAAAGACATTTTCTCTATCTCCATTGACGTCTCTTCTTTATCGATTGCAAAAAGAGAGAAGAAGACAACAAGTGCATAGAAATAGAAATAACGATCTCTATCTGTTACATAGTCCCAGTCCAGGTGCGCCCCTTTGGTTTCAATAAAAACCGATTTATATACATATTATTTCTCGGAGACAAAATTTGCATTTATTTCGTTTGTGCGGACCCTATATACGGAGTCTTTCCGTAGTGCCTCGTGCCGAGGCCGTTTCCGGCGCACAACTTCCGGCATTCGCAAATAAATGTATCAGTTTTAATGTTCACCCCCACCCCAATAATAATATGACAAACTCTCAGTTACAATCAATCTTTATTCAATAAATTATCTCATTTTTATAATCTCCCTGGTAGCGATTCGGCAAATTTCGTGAAAATCTTCGTTCAAATGGCTGCGCCAGTATTTGCACCTGCCCCAAATTACGGCAGGATAATTGGGACTTTGTATGCCGTGAAATATCCTTGCCAAAGCTCTACCAGTAAACTGATTGTCTCTAAACATATTAATCATGGCGCGTATGTCATTGCACAGTTGATCTTCATTGATATTTTTCAAATTTCCTATTGTAACATCTTCCAAGGGGTCTAATGAATCAAAATATTCACGAATCTTATGTTTCAAAGCAGTATTTTCTTGTAGGCAAGTGATGTAACTTTTCTCAGCCACTTCAGATAAAGTCTTGTGCACACAATGCAGCTGCTTCAATGCTTTAGTCTCTTGACTCAAAACCCTCTCACATAAATTATCTAAAGCCTCATCCAACTCATCATCAGTTAAATTCCCAGGTGCTAACAATCTAAAGCCCAAATTGGAAAATTGCACTGTCAAATTTGAGCGTTTGTTAAGGCCGGTCCATTCTAGGTTTTTCAGTTTGTGTTTGCAAATGCCGCTATCCCACCCCATTGCGCTGGCAACGTCGACAACAGGAAATTCCAAGAGGTTTTCTTCGTTTTGTTTAGGTGGATGTAAGGCTAGGGCCATTGCCAATGGGGGGCATTCTTTTGAGGCTTTGCGGATTTGCAACGGGCCTCCATAGGAGATTACTTTGCATTGAATGTAGGCAGGATTGAGGAGTTCTAGAAAAAAATCATGTGTGTCTGTTATATAAGGATTAATTAATTACTCACCAATATATTTATTTTTATGCAACTCCAAATAGCATAATAATGTAGAAATGTTTTCTTCTGGTACGTCTAAAGCTCTAATGGTTTGTTCAATGGAAAAAGCAACTTCATGTTTGGGACACTTAGTCTTGCAACTGCATGGTATAAAAATTTTCTGCAATAATTTTCTTATAACGTGACGGTCTATAGAGTTTGCGTGAACGTGACGGCGCAGCTCGTTTTCGTCTCTACCGCGTGAGTCTAAAAACACGTGACAGTGAGCGGGTAAACCGTCTCTGCCTGCTCTGCCCACTTCTTGGACGTAGCTTTCAAAACTGTTTGGCATATTGTAGTGGATTACTGCTCTTATATCGGATTTATTGATTCCCATACCTAAACAGGGAGATGAGTTATATGTGATACTAAAGCCTGGTTTATTCATCTTCCAAACTTTTTATAGAAGAAAAGTTGTGCCAATCCTATTGCCTATTGGTCATTGGACAACTGAGCTGGGACTCTATTAATGTGAGAGTTAAGAAGATAGTGATGTGAATAACAGTGTACAAAATAGGATTGCATTATCAGAAAATGAATAAACCAGGTCTTGAATGGGAAATGTTGTAGTTACCAAATGCCACAGTTGCGACTACGACTCGTAATTCTCCGGACATGAATGCGTTTTGGACGGTTCTTCTGCGTGAAGCTGACAAGCCTGCATGGTAAGGTTCGGCTTGAAGGTTCAATCTTTTACGTTTCTAAAATGTTAATCGGAAAGATATGAATTAGTTGAGATTTAAATCCTAGTAATAAGACAAGCGTGGTTTTTGAAGCAATCTTAATGCAATTTTGAAGTAAAAATAAGTTTAGGAAAGATTTTATATAATTATAAGAATCCACGTTGAAATGTGGCAGGCGCATTTTTTAAACCAAAAGGCGAGCACATAGGACGAAAATCTAAGTTCAAAAAAGTCTGATCATTTTAGAATTGTAAGTGGATCTAGATCCAAGGTAAAAGCTAAAGCCGATTCAATTGGAATGGCGTTAAGATCTTATTCCCGGCTCTCCTGGGTTCATGATTTTAAAAAACCTACGATAATATCCTGCTAATCCAAGAAACGATTCTTTTGGATTTTTGGGTGTTGGGAAGTTCTAAATACAACCAATTTTTGCAGGGTTCAGTTTTACACCGTCTTGAATGATAAGATGTCCTAGAGTCCCAGAGGCGTTCAAATACTTCGGTTAGCCTTAAAATATGTTTGTGGATGGTAGGAGAGTAAATGATGATATCGTCCATGTAGACTAGGCATATTTCGTTTTGAATGCCGAGGAGAATATTGTCTATGACTCTTTGGAATGTGGACGGGGCATTTTTCAATCCAAAGGGCATACATACGAATTCGTAATGGCCATTTTCTACGGAAAAAGCGTGGGTTCTTCTTCTATTTGGTGAAAACCCTAGCTTCAGGTGATAAAATATTGACATTTTCCCGCCCTAGGGGCGTAAAAAAATTGAGATTACACCAAGAAAGAAAAAGTAGCTACAGAAACTTCAACATACTGAAACAGGAGATCCTTCCAAGACCCAAAATAGGAGTTCTAGGCTTCAAAAATTTTTCGCATTTAAAAAATTTTCGGATGGAAAATGCGTCCCTGATGCAATTTTGACGCATTGCTATGACAAAAGTGACAGAATCTCAGACAGAAGTGTCGTAACAATATGGCGGAAGTGGGATACGCTTTTTTCTCCTTATGTCGCCTCTTTATTATTCTACCTCAATGATTTTTCCTTAATTTTGACTAAATAAGTCAATTTTCTTTGAATTTTTCCTGGAGTGATTTTTCACTGAAAAATTTCGAAATTTCCCTATAATGAGCTCCTCACTTTTCTCTTTATCCTGAAAAATTTTCAAAATTTTGCCTTTAGAAGTTTTCCAAAAAAAAAAATTTCAATGTGAAAGGATGAATTTTTCTTAATTTTACTTAAAAAAATCATTTTTTCAGAATTTTTCCTGGAGCGATTTTCCATTGGAAAATTTTGGAATTTTCTTATAATGAGCTCCTGACTTTCCTCTTTTTCCTCTTTTGCCAATTTTCCAGGAAACAATTGAAATGTGAGAGGATCAATTTTCCTTAATTTTACTTGAAAAAGTCAATTTTCCAGCATTTTCCCTAAAGTGATTTCTCACTGAAAAATTTCGAAATGTTCCTATAATGAGCTCCTCACTTTCCTCTTTTTCTTGGAAAATTTTCAAAATTTTCCCTCTGCCAGTCTTCCAGAAAAAATTAAAATGTAAGAAGTGAATTTTCCTTAATTTTGCTTAAACAAGTCAATTTTCCAGATTTTTTTATGGAGTGATTTTTCATTTGAAAATTTTAAAATTTTTGCAATAATTTCTGTAATTTTCATAGTTTTTCGTAATGTCCATAATTCTCGTAATATTTCGTTATTCACGTAATTTTTCATAATTTCCATTTTTCGTAAATTCTGTAATTTTCTGTAATATCGAGAAAATCTCCGTAATTTACAAATAATTCCTGTAATTTTGAATAATTTTGAGTAATTCCTGCATTTTTGGAATAATTCCTGTAATTCCCCTATTTTTTTGTAATTTCGGTTATTTTTCGTAATTTCTGTAATATTCAAATAATTTCCGTAATTTCAGAATATATTTTGACAAACTCGCATATAATTCCGGCCCTTCGGGCCGGACTCGCATATAACTCCGGCCCTTCGGGCCGGACTCGCATATAACTCCGGACCTTCGGGCCGGACTCGCATATAACTCCGGCCCTTCGGGCCGGACTCGCATATAACAAAAATTAGGTTGAAATTGCGGAAATGTGAGGCGAAAATCGCGGAAAAGTGAGGTTACTGTAAACTTCAGCCTTGAAGACTTAATCACAGATGCGTAAGTAAGTATTCTTGTCATCGACGATTCAAAGCTACGAAATCAGGGTATCCTGGTACTACTGCAATATCCCATCAAATCTGCATCTCGATACTACTTGGTATAATTTACGTATCATCAAGTACCAATCAAGACATCAGCTTAAAATAAAATTCCACTCACCTTATTATTAGTACTCTCCACTAAAACCTTCTCGCTCTTCAAACTGGTCCTCAAAAACGCAGCCACCCTCTCACATTCCTCCCGCCTGGTACAATAAACAATAATACTCTTACACTCCTTAAACCTCTCAGACAACAACAAATTTAACAAAGCCCTATCCCTATTGCCATCCTTGGACACTGTCAAATTTAAATTATCCGGCAAAGGCACGTCGCTTATAATTCCTTCAATTCCGTCTTTAATATCCAAAGATGTCACAATTGATTGACAAGTTGCCTTAGTGGCTGTAGCAGTGAGGCCTAAAATGGTGCGTACACCTAAGCTTTCCTTTAAAACTCTACAAATCATCAAGTAGCTGGGCCTGAAGTTGTGGGACCACTGAGACACGCAATGGGCCTCGTCTATGCAAGCAAAAGCTATGGGAGGCAGTTTACGAAAAAGCGAGCCAAAACCGGTCTTTTTCTCTCCGGCAACTACAGCTTCAGGTGATATTAATAACACATTTAAATCACCTATTGAAATTGCTTCTAGAATCTTCTGACGTTGATTTTCGGTTTGATTTGTATGCAAACAAGCAGCTTTGAGGAATTTTGGTATACCAACTACTTGGTCTTCCATTAGAGATACTAACGGAGATATGACTAAGCTGATGCATGGTTCTCTTTGCGAATATAAATAAGCGGGTAATTGGTAGCATAAACTTTTGCCAGAACCTGTACTTAGGGTTACTAAGGTTGATTTGCCTGATAGTATGCGCATTATTGCCTTTTCTTGGCCTTGTCTGAATTCATTATGGCCAAACTTCAATAAAGCATCATCGACTTCTTTAGGAGCCTCTGTAAGATGCTCTTGATAATAAGGCCTTACAACCTTGACATTATCTAAATACTCTTGCACATCCAACTTCTTAACATGCTCTTCTAGTTTTTCAACTTCAGCCATTAGAATGTCGTCATCGCTATCTTCAAGCCACTCTTCATTATCTAGTTTAGGTCTTCTTATATTTAAAACACTATCTGAAGCCATTTTTGTTGCTTCTTCCAATGTAGGAAAAGGACAATCTTCTTCTTCTTCATTTTTTAGAGGTAATAGATTATCTTGTTTGGTGGCTTTGCATTTTTGGGCAAAGTGGCCCTCTTGGCCGCAATTAAAGCAGATCAGTTTACCTCCATCACAACCACCCATATCCATATCAGGGCCGTGTAAAGTCTTTTGTTTGCTCTTGAATTGGGACTTTTTGTATTTGGAAAAGTTGCGGCCCTTTTTACCACGGACAAATGTTTTCTTCTTGATGTTAATTGTCACAAAGTTGTCGTTGAGGTTGCCTGAAGCAACTTTTTTTTCCAGTTTTTCCTTGGCTTGTTGGCGTTTGTCTTTTGGGGCATCAATTTCTTCATCTTCACTGGGTAGTTGTTCCAAGAGTTTCTCTTTTATTATCGATTTTAGGTTGGTGTATCTTGGTGCTGATATTCGCGGTTTGACGTTGTATTCTAATTCGTAGTTTTCATGAGTTTCTTTTGTAGGTTTCTCTTGAATTTCTTTTGTAGGTTTCTTTATTTTACTAGTAACAATCTCTTTGGAATCAAAAACAAATTTTGTTGGGGTTTTCTTGGGTTGCAGCACAAATTCTGGATCTTTGTCGTCGGTATCGGAAGCAAAGGGATCTGCTTCTTGATCGGATAATTCTTCCAAACTGACCTTGTTTTTGGTTGTTCTTGTGGATTTTCTTATTGGAGGTGATGTTTTCGATTGGGATTTTTTCTTAGATTTGGGTTGCTTCTTATCTTCTTTAATAGGAAGGTCAATTTGGGGCAAGTTGGGAGAATTTTCGTCATTAGTTTTTGTTGGTTCAGAAATTTTGATTTTTTTAGCAACATGAAACGATGTTGTCATTGATTCTTCGTCTGAGCCTTCAATGATTTCATCACTGTCATCGTCACTATAGTTGATTTTGGTGCTCAATTCTGGATTTGTTGCAGTCACTCCTGTGCTGTTTGTAAGTCTTTCCAACCACCCTGAATCGATTTTTCTTGTCTTATTAACCCTACTACTATCAAGTATACTTAGTGAAAATGAAGGCTTAATTTCACTAGAACTGCTATTTAAAAAAGCTGATTCTTCAAGCTCAGTAGACTCTGTTTGAGAACAAAACGATGGACTTTCAACAAAACTACCCTCGCTACTTTTCTTTTGGCTCAAACTCTTACGAGGATTTCGTTTTTTAGATTTGAATCCTTGAAACAGCTTTTTAGTGATGGTTTGTACTGGTTCTGATGGGGCTTTGTCTAAACATTTCTCAACACTAGTGGGCGATTTTCTTTTATTCAAATGACTGCCCCAAACGTCGATGGAACTGGCGCATTCATCATCGTGTCCTTGAAAATTGGATTCTGGATCAGTTGGTTGTTGGTCGTCGTTGGATTCTGGATCAATAATTGTAGTTGAGAGTTCATTGTCGTCATCTTCCAGGCCTTCGACGTCCATGAACGTTTCTTCCAGGGCTGCTGTTTTGATTTGGAAGTATCTTCTGTAGGCATGTCTTACTTCTATTGGAGCTTCTCTTATGTCTAACTGTAAAGGATTAATATTGATTAAAATAAAAAGTTAAATGTATGGGGAATTCATAGGGATTTTAGTAGGGAATTGTTGATGAATTATTTGTGAATTTTCAGGGTTGTTTTAAGGGAATAGTAGTCATTGTCATGGGATGAAAATCTCATAAAGATCTGTGGAAATCCATGGATATCTGTGAATTGGAAATACATATGGTTTTCTTTAATGTGTGCAAAAAGGAAAGAGCCATACAAAATTGACATTTGTGATGGTATTTTGTGAATTTTTATCAAATTTTTTACCTAATTTATTAATCAGTCCATACAGTTACCCCATAGATTTCTATCAATAATGAATCTCCAAGGATATTTTGTGATCTCCTTTGGATTACTAAGGATATCATATGTATCCTCATGAAATCCCCATCTTTTATAGGACAGAGGAGTTCCACAGTGGCTACCCCTTTAGAACAAACCTGTACAAACGTTAAAATTATGATTATTTTTTTCAAGATCTCCAGAAATATTTTGAGATCTCCCTTAGATTACCAGGGATATTATATGAATCTTCATGAAAATCTCCATCTTATATGGGATAGAAGAGTTCCACAATGGCTACTCCTTTGGAAAAACCTTGTACAAACATCAAAATTATGATTATTTTTTTAATATTTGATGAATCTCCAGAGAAATTTTGAGATCTCCTTTGGATTACTAAACATATCATATAAGTCTCCATCTTATAGGACAGAAGAGTTCCACAGTGGTTACCCCCTTGGAAAAACCCTGTACAAACATCAAAATTATGATTATTTTTTTAATATTTGATGAATCTCCAGAGAAATTTTGAGATCTCCTTTGGATTACTAAAGATATCATATAAGTCTCCATCTTATAGGACAGAAGAGTTCCACAGTGGTTACCCCCTTGGAAAAACCCTGTACAAACATCAAAATTATGATTATTTTTTCAATATTTGATGAATCTCCAAAGAAATTTTGAGATCTCCTTTGGATTACTAAACATATCATATAAGTCTCCATCTTATATAGGACAGAAGAGTTCCACAGTGGTTACCCTCTTGGAAAAACCCTGTACAAACATCAAAATTATGATTATTTTTTCAATATTTGATGGATCTACAGAGATATTTTGAGATCTCCTTTGGATTACTAAAGATATCATATAAGTCTCCATCTTATATAGGACAGAAGAGTTCCACAGTGGTTACCCCCTTGGAAAAACCCTGTACAAACATCAAAATTATGATTATTTTTTTAATATTTGATGAATCTCCAGAGAAATTTTGAGATCTCCTTTGGATTACTAAAGATATCATATAAGTCTCCATCTTATAGGACAGAAGAGTTCCACAGTGGTTACCCCCTTGGAAAAACCCTGTACAAACATCAAAATTATGATTATTTTTTCAATATTTGATGAATCTCCAAAGAAATTTTGAGATCTCCTTTGGATTACTAAACATATCATATAAGTCTCCATCTTATATAGGACAGAAGAGTTCCACAGTGGTTACCCTCTTGGAAAAACCCTGTACAAACATCAAAATTATGATTATTTTTTCAATATTTGATGGATCTACAGAGATATTTTGAGATCTCCTTTGGATTACTAAAGATATCATATAAGTCTCCATCTTATAGGACAGAAGAGTTCCACAGTGGTTACCCCCTTGGAAAAACCCTGTACAAACATCAAAATTATGATTATTTTTTCAATATTTGATGGATCTCCAGAGATATTTTGAGATCTCCTCTGGATTACTGAAGATATCATATAAGTCTCCATACAGAAGAGTTCCACAGTGGTTACCCCCTTGGAAAAACCCTGTAGAAAACATAAAAATTATGATTATTTTTTCAATATTTGATGGATCTCCAGAGATATTTTGAGATCTTCTCTGGATTACTGAAGATATCATATAAGTCTCCATACAGAAGAGTTCCACAGTGGTTACCCCCTTGGAAAAACCCTGTAGAAAACGTAAAAAATATGATTTTTTTTTTAAATATTTGATGGATCTCTAGAGATATTTTGAGATCTCCTTTGGATTACCAAGGGTATCATATGAATCTTCATGGAATCTCCACCTTGTAAGATAGAAGGGTTCTATAGTGACCTGTGGATCAGAATCTGATTACTTTTTCAATATTTGTGGACACACTATACAATTTTTAGAAAAGCTATAATTTGACTTTACTAGGATTTGGATTGGAATTGAGGATCCAAATTAATTATTCAAAGTTTCATTTAACTCCCTTTAAAACTCAATTGGAAGTGCATTTGAAGCTGGAAATTCAAATAATTTAAGATATGCCTGAAAATCCAAGGATATCTATGGAAAGAGGGGGTGGGCTACCTCCTCAGAGGTGTCACTTGCAATTTTTAAAAACAGAAAATCTCCATTTGTGGAAATCTTCTTGTAACGCCATAGATTTCTATAAATAATGAATATCCAGGGATATTTTGGGATCTACAGACATATTCTATGGATTTACATAGATATCATAACATGGATCTTTATGAAATCTCCACCTTGTAAGACAGAAGGGTTCCATAGTGGATCAGAATCTGATTACTTTTCCAATATTTGTGGACACACTAGAGAAACTATAATTTGACTTTACAAGGATTTGGATTGGAATTGAGGATCCAAATTCTCAGAAAAGTGATTATTCAAAGTTTCATTTAACTTCCTCTATAACATTGCTTGAGAATTTGAATCTTGAATTTTGGCCTTAGGTACAGATCATAGAACAATCAAACCTGTTTAAGATTAGTTTCATTTATCATTTGATAAACTTGCTATATACTTAGTCTGTTTATTGCAGTAAACCATAGGATTCACAATGACTTTATGGTGTCAATCATCGAGCTTTATATAGGTTCTTATGTCCTGTCTTTATCTGTTTTGTTTATATTTAGATAACACTAACAAAAATAGAGTAATCAATTTTATGAGATCCCTGCTTCCAAGAATTGACTCCCAGATAACTATCTGCATGATACATACTTAAAATCCTATTGGTTGTCGAATAACGGGCTCACCAATGGAATTACAGATTGCATTACCTTACCCAACAGTTTATCAAAAGGTGAATTAAACCAACCCTAAGAGTTCAATAATTTCCATTGTTTGCTAATAAAGACTTAACTAACAATTAACCTCTTCACCCTAAAGGGTTCAAAATATTTGTAATTCAAATTAGACAGAGTACCTACATCTTAGGATTCCTTATGGATAAATAAGGAAGAAAACATTAACATTAACAATTATTGTGCTCACCTTGGATGGAATTCGATTATTCTTTTTGGTAAAACTACGTTCCCACACGTTAACTATATATTTGCACTTGTCGTAAGTCTTTTTAGTATCGGGATTTTCTAATAAACTCATAATTATTATTGTTATTATTTTTCTACTAAAAATTTTCCCGCCTTTTTTCGCGGTACCATGCTTCATAACCTCACAAAATTGTTTTTTGTTTAATTGTCAATAGATGGCGCCACAAGAATAATTAATTTAATAAAAATTGTATTTAAACGAATAATTCAAATAAATGAAAAGCAATTATAATATTAATAATTAATTTATTATTATTTGCCCGTTGTTGCAATATTATAAATAATGCTTTATTTTCGATATTTAACTACTACAAGAAATGATAGATGGCGCCACCACAACGGCTATGCAAGGATCTTGCAACAATATGACGTCATAAGTATGCTAATTAAACAAGGGTGCGTATATTATTTATTAAATAATTATCTTAAATTAAATGCAAGGCACAATAATTATAAAAAAAAAAATATGGGTTTAATCTGAAGAATTCAAAATCATATCGTAGTCGGGCCTGCCGGCACGGTACGACTGCAAGTACTTGATATGAGTGGCCGATTCCATCATGCTTCTTTTAATAGTCGATTCTTCGGTCATTCTTTTGCACCATTCCAACTTAAAAAAAAACACACACACAATTTGAAATAATTGACTCGTATTAACTTACTAAATTCCTATATTTGTCCTTTTTGAGTAAGTTAGAGTTTCCGAAAATCTTAAGGATTTCGGCTCTTTCGCACCAAGGCCAAATCATCAAGTCCAACATGCCAGGTTTGGTACCGCCAAAATAGGCAGTACCTCTGTTGTGCAGTTCGCGTTCGAAGTTAGTTAGGCCGTTTGCAATCACTTGATCGTCGTCCAAGTTTACTCTTCCTATGCTTGTTAGGATTTTCGTCATTGCGTTGACAACCCTGTTGAATTCTTCTATAAGCAAACGGTCTTTGGCTTTTTGCAAAGGATCCGGATTGTGCAGATGGTGGGCGCGGTATTTTTCATCCAAATAATCAGCTATAATGAGGCTTTCGTATAGGACGTCTCCTTGTTCGAGTTCCAGAGCTGGAATTTTACCTAAAGGGCTTATGTCGTAGTACCAGTCCGGTTTGCTGTAGAGGTTTATGTTGACCACATCGTACCTGTGAATACAGTGGTGTAAATTATGGGAAGTTCTAGAACAAAAAAGAGGTTCTTACGCGATTTTTTTTGCGTCCAAAACCAACATGATGCGTTGGGAGTATGGACAGAATCTGTTGCTGTATAGGCGGAGTTTGCCTTTGGCAGCTACAGGAGGTTTTTTGGAACCTAAGACAAACATGTATTAACATTATCTTATAGTTAGTTAATTCTTAAACATCTTCTGGACGTTTTTTAAAAAAATATCCAAGAATTTCCAATAGATAAAACGTCATTTGTGGTTTTATGAACATATTTTGGACGTTTTTTAGAAACATTCTTGAACAATGCGGAAATAATAAGTAAAACAAACACAGATTCTTCAAGAATTGAGTAGGTAGCCGAAAATAAACACAGAAATTTATCGTTTTCTTTCGATGAGAACGGGGTCAAAACACGCATATATTTATAAAATTACGAAATCCTATGCATATTTTATTAAAAGAATCAATGAGGTAATCTAGACAGAAATAAGCATGACACATACTTATACCCAAACAAGACTTTACACCTTTTTAATAGGTAACTAATAATGATAATAATAATAATAATAATTACTGATGATGAATGTATGTAGGTATTTGCATTTGAATTATACATAAATCTATTTTAGGACAACAATGTTTGCACTTGCTTAGAGTATAGATTATCAATTTTTTTTGCACCCTTGCTTGAATAATTCAAAAAATATCACAATGATACAAACCTTTTCGTAAATGCGGACTATTCATTATGTTTGCACTAAACTTATTGGGAAAATTTCTATTGATTTTTAATGCAGCTGATTGGCTAAAACTTGGTAAAAACACTGAAACGAAAAATAACAAAAAATTTGTGGGAGGATTAGTTTTATTGGGGAACGCTGGTGCGCCTGTGTTTGGATCCCCCCTTTTTTGAATTTTTTATGAATTCTAGACAAGTTGGTGAATGTAGTGATGAGAAGGATTATTTGTGACATAATGGTGAATACGTCGTATATGGATTTTCTTTCAAGACATATTGAGAATTTCTGGTTTTGTAACAAAAAATGTCCTCTGGATAAGTTCCAGGAATTAATGGTACTCAGAACTAATGTAGGTATGTCGTTGGTAGGTATTTATGCTGATTGGGTAAGAGAACATTCAGGTTTTTTCTATTCCATCAGGCTCTTGAATTTTCTTTATTTTGAGAAATTCAAGAGCCAGGAACCAATAATAAAAAGACAGCAATATACGAAACTCAATAAATAAGAAAGAAATAGAAATAAAGTGGGATAAGAAAACATGTAATTATTCCTGGCGCATGAGTGAGCTTGTATGTATTTTTGTATCTGGTCCATAAAAAGCCTGGGCTGGAATTCTGTAACGAATAGAAATATTTTCCCTATCTCTATATTGTCATTTCCTCTTTATTGATTTCGACGAGAGAGAAAAAGACAGCAAGTGTCACAGCGATAGGGATATAACAATCTCTATCCATTACAGAATACCGCCCTTGAAATAGACAAGTAGGACAAATAAAATGACATAAGAAACTCACCGGTTAAGAAAGAGATAGATAGATTGAATAGTGACACAAACTTCAATTATTCCCGATTTTTGATTGGCTCTAAATTATTCGCTGACCAATAGAATTATAGATTGGGCGCTGACCCTTCGGGCTCGAAATTTAGCCCTTCGGGCTCGAGATTTGAAAAAAAAAACAAAACATATAGCAACACTGCGTATAACCATTGTATGTATAACACAACAAACGTCAAATATTGGAATTTCAAAGTACGCCTTGTTTTCTTTGATAGTCGATACATAATGACGTCTTTTTGTTTCAAAGATTATTACGGCCCGAAGGGCCGGAGTATTATTAAAATCGGTTGACAATGAACGGGCTCGTATAACTCCGGCCCTTCAGGCTCGTATAACCTCTGCCTTTTAGAATCGGGATTTGAAAAAAAATATATGGCAACACTGTTTATGGCACAACAAACGTCAAAAAATTGACACTTCAAAGTAAGCCTTGTTTTTTTTGAAAGTTAATACAAAATGACGTTTTTTTGTTGCCCTGTCGGTGGGCTCAAAATTGAAAAGACTCATCTCGTCCTTCGGGCTTGTGATTGAAAAAAAGACGCCATTTTGGACCCTCTTGAGTCACAGTGTTGCAAAAAGCTAAAAGTCTTAGTCAGCTTACTACGAGGCTTACAATAGTTGAGTGAGGCTGTGGATTCTGTTCGCTTACCAAAAATTTGAAGCTGCGCAGCAGTGAAACTATTAAAGTTGCATCGAAACTTAAAATAAGAGTTTTCTAGAGGATTCAATTGGCTTCAATTAAAGCCTAGTAACGTCAAAATCGGTTGACAATTGACAGAGTTATGAGCCAAAATACAAAACGATGTCAAAAAACCAAGTAGGCCTTGTAATTTTTTATGCAGAAACTTTAAAGCCTTGCAGCTGCCAAACTATTGAAGTTGCGTCAAAACTTCAAATTAATGATTTGTAGAGGATTTAATCGACTTCAATTAAAACTTAATTACGGTAAATTCGGATTGATTGACAAAGTTATGAAGTAAAATGTCCTTCTAACTCACAAGTGCATTAAGTTTCAAAAATGCAGCAACCCTGGCGCATAAACGTCAAAAAATTTGACATGTCGAAATAGGCTTTGTAATTATTTTTGAGTCGATAGAAAATGGCGTCTTTGCGTTTTAAGAATGGCGAGCCCGAAGGGCCGGAGTTTCTTTAATAATGAGCCCAGATGGTGGATATTTTAATCACCTTTTTCTTTGTAATTTTTGTATCTGGTCATAAAAAAGGATAGAATAGACAAGTAGAACAAAGAAAACGACATAAGAAACTTAGCGGTTGAGAAGAAGATAGAGATAAAGTGGGATAGATTCAATAGTGACGCAAATTTTGATTATTCCCGATTTTTGATTATCCGCTGACCAATAGAATTATAGACTGGGCTCCGACCCTCCGGGCTCGTGATTAAAATAATTCCGGCCCTTCGAGCTCATAATTAAAGTAATCCCGGCTTCCTGAGCTCGAAATATGAAAAAAAAAAACATATGTTAACACTGCTTATGACATAAACAAGCTTCAAAAATTGACATTTCAAAGTAGGCCTTGTTTTATTTGATAGTCGATACAAAATGGCGTTTTTTTTGTTGCTGTACGGGCTCAAGATTGAAAACACTCTCGACTTTCGGGCTCGTGATTAAAAAAAATACACTATTTCGAGTTTTTAGCGTCACAGTGTTGCCAAAAGCTAAAAATCTTAGTCAGCCTACTATGAGGCTTACAATAGTTAAATGAGGCAGTGGATTCTCTTTGCTTACCAAAAATTTGAAGCTGCGCAACTGTGGAACTATTCAAGTTGCATCAAAACTTAAAATAAGAGTTTTCTAGAGAATTCAATTGGTTTTAATTGGAGCCTAGTAACGTCAAAATCGGTGGACAATTGACAGAGTTATGAGGCAAAATACGAAACGATGTCAAAAAACCAAGTAATGCAACATGGTGTCTTTTCGTTTTGTAGAATTGCGAGCCCGAAGGGCCGGAGTTTTTTTAATAATGAGCCCAAATGGCGGGGGTTTTAATCAAGGATGATACACACTATTACTACAAGATGGCCTATCCTTATAAAGCCTGTTACAGTGACTCTATTACCACAGTGGCGACAATTGTTGTCTTATTTTTGATTGGTTCTAAAATCCCATATATTTATATTGAAAACGCCGCCATCTTGTTCCCAAACTCTTGTTACTTTTAAATATGAATATATGGGATTTAGGTGAACATCTATCATAAATCATGGAAAACAACGTATTTGATGGACTTACTAATGGTAATCAAATACGTCGATTCCAATTTTTTATGATAGATGTCAATTTGAATCCTATATATTAATATTTAAAAGTAACTAGAAGTTGGGAACAAGATGGCGGCGGGACCTCTATTGTCGTCACTATATGTAAAGGTTTATTTAGTCACTGTAAAACCTGTGTGTAACAAATTACCGGTTGTGACGTAGGCAGCCTGTTATTTCTCGCCTTGCCGTAGGCTGGTTAAACAGCTGACGACTTAGTTATGACGTCGGAAATGGTAACAAACCAATATGGCGGCGATTACCAAAAACGAAGCCGCTAAGCAAATCATGTAGGTGCGTATGCTCCTTGGGTTTTAATGAAGAAAGATGTGATACGAAAACGTCATAAGAAAATTCCAGAGCCAGCAATAGACAAATTCAAAAGCCAGGAATAGACAAAAATTGAGCAGGAAAAAAGCACTGTAGGTAAAAATCACTGAAAAATACAGTGACGGGAACTAGCGCCATCTCTGATTGTTTCAACAAATTTTGTTGCCATCTTGGGAATTCTTGGAAATCTAACCTCACAATTTTTACTTAAGTAATTTTAAAAAAATGTCCAAAGTATTACTAAAACTAAACACTTTACCCTGTTTAGGGGGGTACGAAAATGCATTCGCCTTATTCATCAGAAAGGGGCACCACTTAAGGGGTAAACCTCCAGGGGTTGCCAAATCTTTACAACAAAAACTTTCAGGTAAGAATTAACAAACAACTCAAACTTTACTTAATTGATTCACTTTTAATAGAATTAAACATCAAAGACCCTTCTGTCCATTATAAAGTCGACATTGGACTACCTCCGGTCCAAGTTTCTAGGGCACAACAAGTCCAAGAACGTTTGGACCATTTAAAACAGCAACGCAACGATAAGGAGTTGGAAAGGTTGTCTCGTAATAGAAAATGTAAAGAATTGTTCATATAATTAGTTCTAGAAACTTAAAATTTAGTTTTTAGTAATTGTTAATTTGGAAGAATCCAATAAGGATTGGCTTGCAACAGTAGGGCCTCAGCATTTGAGAAAGATTGCTGAGCATTATGGGGTATTTAAGGATTTATTTGGCGATGCTTATTTTTATCCACAAGTGCCTCTAAATATACTCTATGATACAAATCAGGTTTATTATGGTAACATAATCAAGCCTGAAGATGCTTCTCAAACGCCTCAAGTCACTTTTGATAGTGATAATGATAGTTTTTGGACACTAATAATGACCAATCCTGATGGGCATTTTAGTAATAATGATAAGGAATATGTGCATTGGTTTGTGTAAGTATTATTCAATTCATTTGACTTTATGTGTCTAAATAAGTAAATCTTAATTCCAGTGCCAACATACCTGGAAATAAAATCCAAAATGGGGAAACTATTGTCGAATATTTGCAGCCTTTTCCTCCAAAAGGCACTGGCTATCATAGGCACATTTTTATTTTATACAAACATTCAAAGAAATTAGACTTTTCCCCTTATAAAACCCAAGGATTAACTTTGACTGATAGAACATTTAACACATATGATTTTTATAAGACTCTTCAAGACAACATAACTCCTGCAGGTCTAGTATTTTTCCAATCAGATTGGAGCCCGAGCCTAAAAACCTTCTACCATAATGTTTTAAAAATGAAAGAACCAATTTATGAATACGATTTTCCCGCACCTTACATCCGCCCTCAAGATTGGTACCCCAAAAGAAAACCCTTCAACTTATACTTGGACAAATATAGAGACCCCAAAGAAATAAACAAGGAATTTTTGATGAGGAAATTGAAAAACATACATCCGTTTAAGGCACCTAAACCTGAACCACTTTACCCCAATGCTCAGTTCATAGACAAAGATGTACCAAGTTGGTTGAAAACTGAAATCAAAAAATCCAGGCTGAAATGGGGCAGAATTAATGAAATTGAATAATAAAATTATCCCCACCAACTTATTAAGTATATTTGTATATCACATAATCAGACTAATTATCTTTGGCTAAAAATAATAATAACAAAATAATTAAAAAAACTAAGCTACAGCTCTTCTTAATGATTCCTTAACCATATGCTTCCTGTTATATCTAATATTTTGTATAGCGTGAATCTTCTTGCCATCTTCTTCGTACAAACATTTCGAACAAAACTCCTTGTTGATCATGTGCAATGGACTTTGGTAGAAAATCGAAGAATCATTTCTGTGCCTCAACTTAGCGTTTTGCCTGTGACACCAACGATGCAAAATGAAGTCAAATGTTAAAATAATTACCCCCAATAGAGGGGTGAAGATTATGAATGTCGGTATCAGAAAAACTATTGCTGTCATGAATTCCATGCGTCTTTCTGAGCTTTTTTTGGATTTGTCATTTCTGTGACGGACTATTGCAGTCAAATGAGTTGCATATCTAAAATATATGTATATTTTGAAAATAGTCTTATAATGCAATTATATAAGTTGATTACCTGGTAATTTTAAATGGGTTTGGCATTTGGAAACTCTCACAAATCTTATCAATAGTGCAATAAAGCTTCTCACCAGTTTCCTCATCCAAACAATAAGTCACATACTCTTCTTCGCCAGTTTCAGCATTCTTAGATATCTGAAACTTGTAGTCGCTTTCTCCAGTTTCTTCGTCCATTTTTTACATTCACCACACAAACGTCTATTACCGAATCGCTTAAAACACTACTAAAAAAGTATAAAGTCCGCGTCAATAAAACTAGTATTTTTTTTTCGATTAGATTGTGCTTTGATTTGTCGTTTCGTTCGCGGTTGTCGGTGCCCAGTCTAAGCTGAAGGCCGGTATTATGGTACCAAGTTCAGAGGTTGACATCGATGTGTTTGTGTATTGAAAGTATAATTATTTTTGCGGATGGTAATTTGTTCGAATTTTAATTATGGTCGGTATTCGTGGAAGTAATTTTGTTGTTCCTGTTTTAATTTAGTCTAGGCTTAAAGGTAAAATTATGGGGTTGAGTTTGAGAATATTTAAAGAAGATGATATAAATCCACTCATTATCAGGGTCACCAACTCATAATATTTCCATTGAAAAAAATTCATATACTGCAGTCCAGTTGATAACGAGTGGATCAATGAGTGTAATCCTAGTGAACAACTACTTGTTATTTGGGTTTTATATTATAAGTTCTACTCATATTGACAGGCCTATACAGGGTGTCCCGGTTCAACTGGTTAAAAATGCTAGGGTATAAAGAGGGTTCGAAAGTGCGTCGTTTCCAAAATACAGGGCGTTTGAAATTCAAACAACCTCCTTTCATATTGAATTTTTTAAAAAAGCAATTTGTTTTAATTATTTATTTTTTTTTTTTTTGGGGTGGTTCCAGGTAGAAAATTATACGAATTCTTAAGTCTCATTCCTAAATCAATAATCCCTGAAAATTTGAACAGATTCTGTGGCCCTTCAGATGATATGAAAAGGGGTTGTTTAAATTTCAACACCCTGTATTTTGAAAAAGACCCACTTCCGAACATCGGTGTCTTATCTCAAACTGCTTCTCTATGGTTCCTCATACCCTATAGCATTTTTGACCAGTTCAACGGAGACACCCTGTATATCTAATGGTACTTAAAAAACTGCAGTTTGTGTTTTACTAATGTGAGTTGAAGTTATAATGAGTAAATGAGGGGATTGTTGGGTCCTATCGTTCTTTTAAGTTGCTTAGAGAAAAACCTAATCAGGGTCATTATTCTCGAAATAGAGGAGTAACATTCTCATGAAAACAAAGGTTTTATCTTCGTTGCCCATACTCATATTTCTGCAACACTGACAAAGACAGAGCAATCGTTTCCATAAGTTCTTTGGTGGTTTCGAAAATTAGCATCCAGGTCAATATCATATCTGGGCCCTTATTCTCGTAACAACGTAGGTTCCCATGAAAAAGATTCTTTCTTAGTAATCCATATTTATATTCCCATATCGTTTTCTTTGTCCTACTTGCCTACTATTCTAGGCTTTTTATTGGCCAGATACAAAAATTACATGCAAATTCACTCAAGCGCCGGGAATAATTACATTATTTCTTATTTTCATCACTGAACTTCCACATCATTTTCCTAAAATTCTAAATAATTTTACTGCAATTTCATGTTATTTCTTGGGATTCCGCTTAACTTTTTTGGAATTGCACGTTGCACGTCTTGTCTTAGAATTTCATTGAATTCCATATAGTTTCATTAGAATTCTACTTTAATCTTTAGAATCTTGCGCTTTTTTTTTTTGAAATTTCACGTAATTCTTTAAAACTCAATTTAACTACTTGACTGAAATAAGTAATTTTTTCAGAATTCCATGAAATTCCTTTTATTTACCGGAATTGCATGTAAATTCAGTGGAATTTTATGTAATTCCTTTGGAATTCCGTGTAATTTCACTGGATTCTATCAACTTACTTACTCTATTTCTGTTTCTTTTTCATTTATTGAATTTCTTATATTGCTGTTTTTTTATTGTTTCAAGTCAAAATGTTCGATTTTGCTCTAGAATGTTCTAGAGTGAAAAAAAGGTGATCAAAACCTTCTTCCTTTGGGTTTTTTATTGAAAAAACGCCAGCTCTTCGGGCTCGTAATTTCAATTCAAAACGAAGACACCATTTTCTATCGACTGTCAAAAATAATTACAAAACCTACTTTGAAACGTCAAATTTTTTGACGTTTGTGCGCCAGGAATGTTGCATTTTTATGTATGCATGTATGTACAGTTGCGATCAAAAAAAAGTAGTACAAGAAAAGTCTCCAAAATCTCCTGGTCTATTATAAATTGATTTATTTCATAACTAAAAATAACATATTTATGGCATTTTTTGACACATTTTTAACCTAGAAAGCTCCAGATGACATTATTTTGATATTTTTCCATCCGTTTTTAACCTAGAATATGTCATTGTATATTAAAATTTTGTATGATACACCGGGAGCTCAAATTGGGGTTAACAATTTTTGTACTACTTTTTTTTGATCGCAACTGTACTTGTAAATTAGAATGACATTTTGTCTCATAACTTTATCAATCAATCCGTAATTAAGCTTTAATTGAAGCCCATTTGAATCCTCTACAAATCACTAATTTGAAGTTCCGACGAAACTTCAGTAGTTTGGCAGTTGCAACACTTTTAAGTTTTCGCATGAAAAATTACAAGGCCTACTTGTTTTTTTGACATCGTTTCGTATTTTGGTTCATAACTCTGTCAATTGTCATCCGATTTTGACGTAAATAGCCTTCAATTATAGCCAATTGAATCCTCTACAAATCTCTAATTTGAAGTTTCAATGCAGCTTCAATAGTTTCACAGCTGCGCAGTTTCAAATTCATGGTAAGCAAACAGAATTCACAGCCTCACTTAACTATTGCAAGCCTCGTAATAAGTTTGACTAAATTTTTTAGCTTTTGGTAACACTGTGACGCTAGAGGGTCCAAAATGCCGTCTTTTTTTTAATCACGAGCCCGAAGGGCGAGAATGTTTTCAATTTTGAGCGCATCTATAGGGCAACAAAAAAATGCCATTTTGTATCGATTCATCAAAGAAAACAAGGCCTACTTTGAAATGTCAAATTTTTGACGTTTGTTATGTCATAAGCAGTGTTGCCATATGTTTTTTTTTCAAATCTCGAGCCCGGAAAGCCGGGGTTATTTTAATTACGAGCCCGAAGGGCCGAGGTTATACGAGCTCAAAGGGCCGGAATTATTTTAATCACAAGCCCGGAGGGTTGGGACCCAGTCTATAATTCTATTGGTCATCAAAGTTTGCGTCACTATTTAATCTATCCCACTTCTTCTTAACCGGTAAGTGTCTTATTTCATTTTTCTTGTCTTACTTGTTTATTCTAATTTGAAGTTTCGATGCAGCTTTAGCAATTCCACAGCTGCGTAGCTTCAAGCAAACAGAATCCACAGCCTCACTTAACTATTGCAAGCCTCGTAGTAGGCGGACTAAAATTTTTAGCTTTTGGCAACACTGTGACGCTAGAGGCTCAAAATGGCGTATTTTTTTAATCACGAGCCCGAAGGGCGAGAGTGTTTTCAATCTTGATTCTTGAGCCTACGGTAGTGGCGGCCCGAAGGGCCGGAGTTACACGCGAGCCCGAAGGGCCGGAGTAATACAAGCCCGAAAGGGCCGAAGAAATACCAGCCCGAAGGGCTGGAGTAATACGAGCCCGAAGGGCCGGAGTAATATCAGCCCGAAGAGCTGGAGTAATACGAGCTCGAAGGGCCGGAGTAACACCAGCCCGTCAAAATTAACTCTGAAAATATATACTATATATAAGAAAAGAAACATTCTCTCGAGTCGTAAAATTACAAGGCTTACTTGGTTTTTTGACATCGTTTCGTATTTTGGCTCATAACTCTGTCAATTGTCAACCGATTTTGACATTTCTAGGCTTCAATTAAAGCCAATTAAATCCTCTATAAATCTCTTATTTTAAATTTTCATGCAGTTTCAATATTTCCACAGCTGCGCAGCTTCAAATTCATGGTAAACAAAACAGAATCTACAGCCTCATTTAACTATTGTAAGCCTCGTAGTAGGCGGACTAAAATGTTTAGCTTTTGGCAACACTGGGTCAAAATGACGTTTTTTTTTTTTTAATTACGAGCCCGAAAGGCGAGAATGTTTTCAATCTTAAGCCCACCCACAGGACAACAAAAAAAAACGCTATTTTGTATCGAATATCAAAGAAAATAAGGCCTACTTTGAAATGTCAATTTTTTGACGTTTGTTGTGTCATATAAGCAGTGTTGCCATATGTTTTTCCGGAATCTCGAGCTCGGAAGGCCGAGGTTATTTGATTTACAAATCCTTAATTCCAAATTTTGATACAAGTTCAATAGTTTTTCAGCTGCGCAGTTTTTATAGGCTTTTTATTATCAAGATACAAAAATTATATACAAGCTTACTCAAGCGTCAGGAATAATAATATTTTTTTTTATCCCACTTTATTTCTGTTTCTTTCTTAATTATTGAATTTTTTATATTGCTGTCTCTTTAATATCCCAAGTTCTTGGCCACTCAAGTGCCTGGAATAATTCAAGTTTGCGTCACTATATCTATCTCACCTTATCTCTGTCTTTTTCTTAATTGCCAAATTTCTTATGTTGTTTTCTTTGTCTTACTTTCATAAGAATGGTTCATAAGAACATAACATAACTCAAACTAACCATTTGAGACTGTACTGAACTCGTCTCGAAGTTGTATGCAGTAGCATCCTAAAATATAGTGGCGCACCCAAGGGGGGGTTTTGGGGTTAAACCCCCCCGAAATTTAGCACTGATTTTCTTTTGCCATTTTGGATAATACCTACAAAATTTCCATTCATATCATCATGATGAAAATCCTTTCTTACAAAAAAACCTGGGTGCGCCACTGAACTTGTCTGAACACCAAATTGATATTTTGGAGAATCTTTTTAATGCAAAACATACAAAACTAATAGAGCTACAAATGAGCAAATTGTGTATCAAATCCATGAAAAAGGTTACCTCAAATTTCCAAAACATCTATGAAAAAAACATTTAGTTTAGCTCTGTTCCAACCGACATGGGAACCATTCTAGAACCAGTAATTTCCATTTGTCCATCTGTTTTTCAATGAATTAAGTTACTGGAAATTATCGTTCTAAAAGGGTTTTTATGTCGGCTGGAACAGAGATTAAATATTTTTAAAAAAAGGGGGGAAAAAAAGATAAAAACAATTAATAAAAGCATATAATTAAATCATCTAAAAAGGCTTTTTGGTTATACACTTATACATAACATATTATTGCACATCCATTACAAAAGCGCAAACATTTTACGATTCAGCAACTTGTCGAACCGAATTCGTATCGTCACCAGCAACTTCGTAACTCTGTTTCGCATCCACATTTGGGTCGACATAATTTTGAACTTCCGAAGTCAAATTTGGATCATTCTGGTCGGTATAGTACGGATCCTGGGCGTATTCTTCAGCGTAGGCCTGATTCGGATCGTATTGCTGTTCGTACTGGAGCTGATCACCTTCGTATTGCTGATTGGGATCGTACTGATACTGGTTGGGATCATATTGTTGCTGAGTAGGATCGTATTGTTGCTGGACGGGATCGTATTGTTGCTGATTAGTGTATTCAGGTTGGGCAGGTGCTTCGTATTGCTGAAATGGTGCAAGTTGTTCTTGGCTCGTTTGTCTCGATGAAATAAGTTTCAAGGAAGTTCGACTGTCAGAGCGATTTATTGCTGAGGTAGGGGTGGCTTGGGTTGAGGGTGAGATTCTTTGATTGCTGACTTCATCTATATAAATATTTCAATTATGTCAAAATAATTTATGAATCAAATTTAGTACCTTTGGTTGTAGGATATTGTGCCTGACTAAACCTATTGCTTAATCGATCTAGGCTAGTTTGTAGTTCCCGTATTTCCTCCCTACAACAAAAACATATTTGAACTTGTTTGGTACCTTTTTACTTATTATCCCTACAAATTGTGTCTTCATTTAGCTCCTTCACGTAGCTCCAAACTTTTTCTAATCTAGACATGAGCTCGACATTTTTAGTTCGTAATTTTGCCCTTTCGACTCTAATAATAAACATCAATTACCTTGTGTGTTTTGGCTTTGGGAACCACTTTTACATTAATGTCGATCTTAATCGGTTCCTTGCGTTTGATTGGCGGAGGCGAATCGGACGCGTTTTTTGCTACTGGACCATTCCCTATCAAACACAAGGAATTTTTTATTTAAAAAAAAAAGTGTTTCCCAAATATCTTAAAATTACAAAACTTGTTGGGGAAAATAATGATTCTTACTTATGTTTGTGGCTAGAATCCTCGAGTTTCTGTGTTAGAGTGTGGCACTCGGATGACAGTTTGTCCATGAGTTGATTTTGGGAGCGAATCATGTTCTCTAGTTCGGCTACTGTCGCCGCTGCAACAATAATAGTTATTGTTATAATATGTAAAATATTAAAAAGTTATACTCCAAAATCAACTCATAGATCAGAATTGGAGTCAAGAAATTCTACCACTGTGTGATCAATGTTTTATTATTCTCGGCTTTTGTAGGAAATCTTTTGGTAATTTCCACCACTGTGTGAAGATACAGGGTGATCAATATTTTATTATTCCTGGCTCTTATTGTCGAATATCCTTAACGAGAGCCGGTAATAGAAAACAATTCTATCCATTGTGATTTGACTCAACAAAAATAAAGCCACTGTGTAAAGATACATAATGATCAATATTTTATTATTCCCGGCTTTTGTAGGAAATTTTTTGGTACTCGAAAACAATTTCACCACTGTGTAAAGATACAGGGTGGTCTATATTTTATTATCTCTAGCTGGTAATGTAGAAAATATCGGATGAGAGCCGGTAATAAAAAGCAATTCTACTTACTGTAATTTGACTCAACAAAAATAAATCACTATGTAAAGATACAGAGTGGTCAATATTTTATTATTCCCGGCTCTTGTAGGAAATTTTTGACGAGAACCGGTAATAGACAACAATTCTACCCACTAATTTGACTTAATAAAAATAAGCCACTGTGTAAAGATACAGAATATTTAATATTTTATTATTTCAGACTTTTGTAGGAAATCTTTTACGAAAATAATTCTACCACTGTATAAAGATACAGGGTGATCAATATTTTTTTATTCCTGGCTTTTAATATAGAAAATCTTTGACGAAAGCCGGTAAGAAAACAATTTTACTCACTGTAATTCAACTCAACAAAAATAAGCCACTGTGTAAAGATACAGAGTGTTTAATATTTTATTATTTCAGACTTTTGTTGGAAATCTTTTACAAAAATAATTCTACCACTGTATAAAGATACAGGGTGATAATTATTTTTTTATTCCTGGCTTTTAATGTAGAAAATCTTTGACGAAAGCCGGTAATGGAAAACAATTCTACCCACTGTAATTTGATTCAAAAAAAATAAACCATTGTGTAAAAATACAGGGTGGTCAAAATTTTATTATCTTTGGTTTTCAATGTAGAAAATTTTTGACAAGAGCCGGTAATAGAAAATAATTTTACCCACTGTAATTTGACTCAACAAAAAAAAGCCACTGTATAAAGATACAGAGTGATCACTACTTTTTATTATTATCGGCTCTTGTAGGAAATCTTTCACGAAATCCGGTAATCAAACACAATTCCACCACTGTGTAAAGATACAGGGTGATCAATATTTTATTTTTTCTGGCTTTTAATGTGGAAAATCTTTGACGAGAGCCGGTAATAGAAAACAATTTTACCCACTGTAATTTGATTCAGCAAAAATAAATCATTCTGTGAAGATACAGGGTGGGCAATATTTTATTATCTTTGGTTCTCAATGTATAGAAAATCTTTGACGAGAGCCGGTAATAGAAAACAATTTTACGCACTGTAATTTGACTCAAAAATAAGCCACTGTATAAAGATCAATGTTGTACAAAGAAGGGTCCCTTGTCTATTTACTCAATATATTTCCGTGAGATTTTCCTGCCCCCACTAGCGCTAGAGTTAGAGTGAGAGATCTAATAAGTTTTCTGCCCTTGTCTCATTCTGGAGTTATTCGAATGACTCGAAGCAAATTTCAAATCTTCTTATTATTCCACTGATAAAGATACAGAGTGTTCAGAGGCTCAAATTTCACAAAATCTTGATTGGTACAAACCGCTACATTTCCAATTAAAACTGTACCACCCTGTATACATAAATTAAAACTACAAATTACCATGTTTATTTTCAATATCCTGTATCATCGAACCGAGCTCTTTGTCCTTGGGAGCCGGTAGAGCTATAGCTTCTCCAGTTCTGGGAGTAACCGATTTAGCTCGCTCTTCGTTCAGAGCAACATTCAGATTGAGCTCCTTTTCCAGTGCTGCCACTTGCTCGTTTAATCTAATATTCTCGCGCCTACTATGGATCAAATCGGCATCTGCTCTGTCCATTCTTTGGCGCAGCGATTGGATTTCCGCTTGCAGCCTGGTTATTTCTTGTTTGTACTGACGTTCGGTGCGCTCGTTTACCATGTTTAGGGTGGAGATTTGTTGTTCTAGAGCGCTTTTTTCTGCTCCTGTTGCTCCTATGTCAGATTGAAGAGTAACTAGAACAATAATTTCATGGAATATTTAAAAACTAATATTGATTATTATTACGTATTTTGCTTTGAGTATCCTTTTTTAGCTCATCAATTAAGGCTTGTTTCTGTGCACACTCTCTACGTAAGTCAGCATTTTCACGTCTTTGTTTGTCCAACTCTAGTTGCAGCTTATTGGTTGTTTCCCATTGGACTCCAACTTCAGCTGTAAGCTGTTCGATTTGCTGAGTATAACGGCGCTCCACTGCTGATCTTTCGTCTGAGATTCTTCTACTCTAGAATTGTCAATATATTATTATTGAAAAACTTTTAAAAAATTGTTAATTACTTGGTCAGCAATAGCATCTCTCAGCTTCATATGTTGTCGCTCCAATTCATCTTTTAAGCGTCTTATTTCCAGTTCAGCTGCACTTTTTTCGTATTGGGCTTGTTCAGCTACATCTAAGCTTCGTTTGACTTGATCACAAGTGTCGTTTTCTTTGTCTCGTAGATTGGCCAAAGCTATTTGAAGCTTATTAATTTTGCTTAGCAATTCCTCCTTTTCCCTATGACAATTGTCCAGTTGCCTTTTGAAGTTTTCATAGTCTAAATCTGGTAGTTTTTGTTTGTTGTCCTCTAGGGCTTTTTTTAAATCGATTCTGGCCTGAGTTAGTTGGGCTTCCAGCTCAGAAATCCTTGATTCAAAGACTATTGAAGGGCCTTCAAATATTTTTTTTGGGGTAACAGTTACGTCATTATCTGTTTCAGTTTCAGTATCTAAATGATCAAATACAGACTTGATTAGTTTGGATTTTTGCTTTTCGTGCAAATGCTCGTTTTCGCTTATGACTTCTTTGACTTTTGATAGTAGAGAGGACAATTCGTCTTTGCAAAATCTTGATTCTTTTTCCAGTTGTTCAATGTAGTCTTCTTGGCGTTCAATAAATGACATTAATTCTGGAGGTGGTTGCTGATGAGTTTCTGCGTTTTTCAATGAAGGATAATACAGTTTTCTTGGAGTGTAATTATTATTGTAGCGGGAATTTCTACTTCCTGCACTAATCAGCGATTGGTTGTCTGTCTCTTCGCCTGCACTATCTGCTTCTCTAATTGGACGATAGATTCTACCAAAGATAATAATTATGTATTACAAATATTGAACCACCTACTAATAGACAATTATTATTGAACCATCTACTAATAGACAATTATTTACCTTCTCATTGGAGTAGTACTGTAACTTTCGGCCATTAAAATTCTGAGTCTACCAACTGCTTCACGATAAGCCGTATCGGCGTAATCTGGCTTTTTGCGGAATTCCATTTTCTGAGGTGATGAGCTAGATTTTCTACAAAATAAATGACCAACAACTGTGTCCAGTTTTGTTTGTATTTACCATACATTTTAAAATCGATAACTACTATTGCATGTTCAAAAGAAATAGAATAATGTGATCTAATCACGCGACATTTTTGTAAAATCGATTTTACTACATCTTACTTGGTTCTTTTTCGTTTTTCATTGGACAAAGTTGACAAGGGCCTATTAGTGTATAAACCCCTTAGAGGCCCTAATCTGGGTCGTACCAAATAACTAGTTGTTGGACGTTGTTTTTTGGTGCTGCTTCCAGCTGCTGAACTATACATTCTGTCTGCAAAAATACAATGAATGAATTTTTGAAAATTGAAAACTTCTTACTAGTTTGAGGACAAGATTTGGTTTGAATTGTCCCGGAGGTTTCCGAGGGTTTTTATAATCTCGGTGGTTTTTGGGAGGGTGGCAGTAAATCTTGGGAAGACACGCCAAGCACTGCCTTGCACTAGATTTTCCTAATGATTTTCATACATTTTTGGTGTAGGAAGGTTTTATATAAGTATATTTTTACATTCAGTATTTTTGTCGGAATTATTTTGTTTATTCCAGGCACTTGAAGTGTTCCTTTTGGCTTTTTTGAAGCTTTAAATGTTTTTCAATGTTAGAAGGATTTTCTTTAAAATGACGTTTTGCCTCATAATTTAGTCAATTTCAATCCGATCTTAACGAAATCAGGCTTGAATTGAAGCCAATTGAATTCTCTTTAAGTCTGTACATTCATATTTCCAATGTATTTGCTGGTAATATTTCAAATTTTGATTATTATCGGTTCTTGATTAACTAGAAAATTCTTCAAGTGCCAGGAATAGATTGAATGTTATGTAAGTCCAAAAATTTTATCACAAAAAAATAGAATTTTGATGATTTTGACGATCAAAAATCAGATTTTCATAATTTTTCAATTGAATTTTGGCTTTCTGTCGCGGAAAATATGAAAATTGTTTAGTGGACTGTATGATTTGAGAGAAAATGGAAAAAATGTTTGAACCCGGTACGCACAGATCAGGGCAGGGTTTCTATTGGTTCTCTGGGTACTGGTCCAAACTGGAGCCTGTTGCTGTAGCAGAGTACACTGTAGCTTCTTAGGGCAGTAAAATAAGGGCAGTTTCGTTGTATTGACCGAACCGTCCGATACGATACGAATTTGTACGGGTCGCGTAGCTAGAGTGTGCGTTATCTGCTCTGCAGTCGAGAATATATTATTTTTGAAATCTCAAACAAGGCAGCATAAAAATGCAGCTGCTTCTAGCAAGTGACGTGTTTGCGCATATGATAAACGAAAAAAGTCGCTAATAAAAAATATATGCACAATCGAACTTTGTAGATTGCTCTACACAAACTAAAATAGGCAAAAAGCCGTTTTAAGAGTTTCCTAAACACTCCCTAAGGATCAAATTATCACCCCTCTAGCTCACTTTTAACCATTTTGAAAGGAAGACTCTTATTGGACACGAATTTCAATCAATGGTAAATCAAGGCAGAAATCCTTCGATGTCATTTTACACGACATTGATGCACATTTTGCCTCACAACTTTGTTAACTTCAATCCGATTATGACGTAGTTAGGCTCAAATTGAAGCTGATTGAATTCTTGTCAAATCCTTATATTCAAATTTCCAAGGGTTTTCAGATGCGGACCCTCAAAGTCATAGGCGCCGGAACCAAGGCTTGAGCCCCCGTAGTGAATTTGCTTATTTTTTATATCAAACTTGTGTGTTTTATGTTTTTGTTGTTTTTGCTTTGACAAATAGTTTGACAAATACCCATTACCCAACATAACAGATCTCTTGAAGAAGCTGGAACGCTGCCAGTATTTAACTGCTTTAGATTTAGACAACGAAATCGGCATTCAGCACAAAAAACAGGCATTATTAGTTTTTGCGCATGCCTTTCGGTTTGAAAAACGCGCTGGCTACGTTCCAAAGAATTATGGATAATATCCTATGTCCCATTATATTGAGCAACTTTAACACCGAAAGATGGAACATCCCATCAATTATTTTTATCCATACAAGGGAAAAAAGTATTAGATTTTAGAGTGAGATGTGGTCTGCCTTTCATCGTGAAACGGAGTGTGTGTCTAGTAGCCTAGTCCTGTCTGTCTAATTAATTCTACTTATGTTAATTTTTGGAGCCCAAGCCCCCATGGTAATTTCGAAATTGCAGCGTCTATGCTTAAAGTTAGAAAATCAAGGCAGAAATTTCTCGATGTCATTTTACACGACATTCACGTACATTTTGCCTTACAACTTTGTTAATTTCAATCCGATTTTGACGTAATTGGGCTAATTGAATTCTCTTCAAATAGTTCAAATTCTTGTATTCAGATTTCCAAGGTTTCTCAAATGCGGAACTTCAAAGTTGAAAAATCAAGACAGAAATCCTTCTATGTTTTAAACGACATTGACGCACATTTTGCCTCATAACTTTGGTAATTTCAATCCGATCTTAATGTACTTAGGCTCAAATTGAAGCCAATTAAATTCTCTCAAAGTCTAGAAATTCCGATTTTCATTGATTCCGCCCTTGATTCAAATCAAGAGCCGGGAATAATAAAAAATTGAACATTTTATAAAATACAAGAAAATGATTCTAATAAAGCAACTTCTATAAATCTGAATAAAGAAAAATATAAAAATAAAAAGGAAAAATATTATTCAATAAAAACTTCAACAATGAGAAAGCAAACAGATAGGTATACCTTTATTAATGAGAGAGTATCGAAGACAAGACAAATACAAATTCAAAAATAATAATAAAAGATAAAAATACAAAATAAGATCCTTGATGAAGTAACACAAGAATTCGACAGGGTATAGTTTAACCATTATTAATTGAAACTTCATAGAAAAGGCGGTTCAGTTGATCTCTTTGAAGTCACGTGGGAATCCATAGGCGTCTAAATATTATTATCATGACAAATGAAAACAAATTGGTTAATAAAGAATAAACATACTCCAGATATTTCTATAAAAACTGGAATGACGAACGCCATTGCCCCGAAATTCTAGCTGATTTACTTCTAGAAAACAGTGGAGTTAATACATTAAATAAATGTACAAAATTCACATAGTAGATAATCCTTAAAATTCCGTTTTAAACTATTGAAATAAATCAAATATAAATATTTGAATGGGAATATTATTCCTTTATTAAAAATTCAAATTTGAAATTGATTTTTATTCAATTATCTGTGTAAATTTATACTTTTGTCCACTTCTAAAGAGAATATCTCACACTGTCAACAAGAGCGGCTTAGCTTTGTCGGCAAGTGACAAAGCCTAGCGGCATCGCCAACGATTTTCAAGTTTATTTGCCGGCGTGCGGTGTCTTTGTTATAGTGTACCAGGACTAGGCATAAAAATATAAAAATTATTTTATATTATTATAAGGGGTATTTTTATAATTTTGGGTTTGGGTAGTCACCATAGAGATTCGATTTTTAATTGATAATGGTAATACATACTTTAAAAAGCTTCAATCACGAAAAATTAAGGCAGTGGAGAAACTCATTTCTGCACTAGCGTAGTTTACGACATCGATTCTAGATGGCGGCACCTGGCCTGGCAAACATCTGATTAAATTTATATATTAATAATAGAGCGCAATAATTTTTATATTATTTAAAATAGCAATAATTTAATACTAAATGACTTCCTGGCATATTGCGCTGGAAATTCTTATTATGGTCCTACAAGATCTCCCATCAATAACAATTTGTTGTGAGTTAATTAAATGCAAATTATTTATTTAATTACCGTCAGCAATTAAATTCTAGTTGTTATTAGGCGTCATGGTTCGGTCAGCTAAATTAGCATGGAATTCGCCGTATCCAAGAAAACCCTCATAGCCCTTATCATCCTAGTGACAATTTCCTTTTACATAACATTTCTCTTCAACTCCTGCATAGTTTCAAACATATCAAAAGGGATACCACAAGTATGTACCTTTGTATTACTCAATAATAAACTAATTGCGTTTTAATTATTATTAGTTGCGTCGCAATCAAATAGTACAAGAACCTTTGATGCACTATTCAACTTCAGTTCGTGTTGTATCCCTAATAGAAGGCAATGAGACTGATATTTCGCCTAAATACAAATGGTTCAGGGAACAAGGTCTTAAGCCAGAACGACAACTGCCTAGTGCCCTCATTATTGGAGTTAAAAAAGGAGGTACAAGGGCCTTATTGGAATTCATCCGCATACATCCAGATGTTAGAGCAGCTGGCAGTGAAGTGCACTTTTTTGATAAAAACTACCACAAAAGTTTCCAGTGGTACAGAAGTCATATGCCTCCAACTTTAGAAGGTCAGTTGACTATTGAAAAGACTCCGTCGTATTTTATTACCAAAGAGGCTCCTAGGAGAGTGCAAATGATGAATCCTTCAACCAAATTGTTGGTTGTGGTGCGTGACCCAGTTACCAGAGCAATTTCAGATTATACCCAAGCCAAATCAAAAAAATTAGACATGAAACCTTTTGAGGAGTTGGTTTTTGTTAATGGCACTGTTGGCAGTATTGTGGATACTTCATGGGGCCCCATTAAGCTAGGGCTTTATTACAAATATCTTTCTCGCTGGTTGAAATTCTTTCCTTTATCTCAACTATTGTTTATCAGTGGGGAACGTTTAATCACAGACCCTGCAGTTGAGCTTAAACGTGTTCAAGACTTTTTAGGTCTTAAAAGGGTTGTTACTGAAAGGCATTTTTATTTTAATACCACTAAAGGGTTTCCATGTTTGTTCAAAAGCGAGGGCCACAGCGCGCCTCACTGTTTGGGCAAAACCAAAGGCAGAAACCATCCGTATGTTAATCCAACGGTTTGGCAAAGGTTGAGGGATTTTTATCGGCCTTTTAATATGAGGTTTTATCAGATGACTGGGATTAATTTCGGGTGGGCTTAAGCTTTAAGTATTTTAGTCATAAGCCAAAGATTGCATTTAAGGCGGGTTTTGCTCAAGTATTATTATGCAGCTACTAATATTTTGTTATTTAATTAAAATAATTATACAGCCATTATAGAGTTTTTTTTTTTTTATTTGTATATATTTATGTAGAAAATAGTATATTGTTGTATTAGGAGTAGAAGCTTCACTTTTTTGTGCTGAAGCAGTAGGTTTGCGAGCCGAACGTAGTGAGGCTTGCAATACTGCTGAAGCATAAAAAAGTGCTTTTACTCCGTATGCAGCACACAATTTTGTCTCCTAACAAATGGGGTAAGCTCGGGGGTAACTAGATGGTTAAGCGGCACTAAAAGTACTTTTGCTGCCGTTCTAGCGGCACTAAAAGTACTTTTACTGCCGCTGCGGTTGCCTAGCAGTATAGAAATTAAATTTCTATCACCTCGACAGGTGCTTACCTGCTGGATTTGCCTAGCAGCATAGAAATTAAATTTCTGACATCTTGACAGGGGTTAACAAAGTGACGTTTTTTTGACGTTTGGAGAAAAAAGTGTTTTTGTTGTTTTTGCCATTTAGGCCAAAACAAAATATCATGTGTTATATATTGTCGAACTCGCAATTTTTTTCTCAAACTACTGAACCAATAAGATACAAGGTGTTCCATTTGAAAAATCTTTGTTTTTTCAAATATCTCAGAAGATAAAGCCCCCATATTTTTTTCTAAGTACGCCACTGGATTCTACGTTAAAAAAAAAGACGTATTTTTCTTTTTTGCACTTTTTCTATATCTCCGTTGGGTAAGAAGTTATAGAGGATTATAAAAAACAGCTAATTATGAAAAACACCAACACACAAACCAATATTGTCGGTCAAGATCTGACTACACCATCAAATGACATACTAAAAAAGAGGACGGGAAGCGTATATCAGTTTCTCACTATCTTTGGCCATTTTGGCTGTACCCTATCAAACTATCGAAAATCAACCACCCTGTACAAACAGGCCTATGATCTACTATAGTTGTGGCAAATGAATAGCTGAAAGTTTATAGAAAGATACATCATCATCACAGGTGGCGTAAATGTTTGGCAATTTATTCAAATTGAAGCTGCTCTGTTTCAATTCTTCTTCACTAGAATAAATCAATTATTATTGATAATACATTTATATTTAATTATCAATTACCAAATGAATAAATTAAAATTTGGTTGTTTGCCTTGATTGGTTGCATTATAAACGCAATAATTTGGTTTTATATTATCACTAGTTTGATTAGAATGTTTTGGCATAATATTTCTCATTTGTTGAAAAATATTTTCTATTTGTTGAGCATCTTTTTTGATTCTTTTACTGTCACTTTGTTCTTCTTCTGAGGCCCTTTTGGTTGGTCTAAATTCCTCATATTTAACCAGTTTGTGCCCCAAAGAGGCCAACTTTTTGTATATTCTATATTTTGCAATGCTAATCGTTTGCAATGTTATTTCATATGCTTGCTCAATAGTCAAAGGACAATCATTGCAAGTCACTTCTAATTTATTCTACAATAAATTGTTTAATAAATTGATTAATTTCTTGTACGATATTATTGACCTTACACTTTCTAAAAGAAAAAGCATTTCTTCTGGCCAAATGAAAACGCCTTCCTTGTTTTGGAAACCAAAATTTCTCACAAGATTTTTGGTTATTTTGGTTACTTGGGCCATATTTTTCGTGTTTAGCCAAATGGCTTGTGCCCGGGCCGATCTCTTTTCGATTTTTTGATATTCCAACACGGTTTTGAAGTAGTTTTGATGTTCCTCGATACGATTTACTTCGTCTGGGGTTTTGGCAGGGAAAAATAACTTTTGTACCGGCAACAAAGGCAGTTTCACCAAGGGCTGTCTGTGGTCTTCTATACATTTTTTCGCACTAAAAGATTCAACAATTAGAACAATAATTTTTATTATTTATTAATAATAATTACAAAACATCCATGTTTTTGTTTATTTACAGTTTTCTAACCTCACTTTACAAAATGTCAAAATAACTTTCATATTTCAAAAAAAATTGTTATCCTCCTCTAACTTATATGAAAAAATAAGGATAGAAATGACATCGACAAATATGAATACTGAGCGCTGGGATTAGTCGCCATCTTTTTTCCTTTCAGTGAGAAAAACAAGGATAGAACATAATAAGGCAACTCCGCAAACATATTCGAAACAAATTTGCTTGGCTGCCACGCCATATTGAAAGTTAATTTTTCTAAGTTAGAAAATTCAAAAGTTCTAAAACAAACCAAACAAATGTCCCTTTTTAAATTCTGCCGTGCCTTTCCAGGGGCCCTAAATTGTTTAAAATCAACAAGAATATTGATAATTAATAAACAAACATGTCGATGGTTATCGTCCGCAAATGAAGCCCAAAACAAACAGCCTCCTAAAACAATCTATTATGGCCCTTTAACGCCTCATGTAAGGGCAGTAAAGGTAAAAATTATTAAACCAAAAACTCGATTATTATTACATGAAATTGTCGTAGATGTTTTCCCTTTCCAGCAGTGTAGTAGGCCTGGCAGTACAGCCAGTGCTGTACAACGAAATCCTGTCCACTGGCAATATCCCCATGATCCTTGCAGCTTATTCATTTATAGGTTTTTTCACATTACTTACACCAGTTTTACTACACTTTGTGACGAAAAAATACGTTTTGGAGTTACAATTTGACGAGCCAACTAGCACTTATACTGCCCAAACGTTTAATTTCTTTTGTAAAATCAAACAGGTAAATAACTATCATTGCTCAAAGTGTTTAGGGCCAAAAGTTTTCTTGTAGACAAAATTCAAAGTTGAAGACATTTTCGTGCCGGATGTACCAGGCATGTTTGAGACTTTTAAAGTTAAAGGCAAGCCCTTGTTTGTTGACCCTAGGAGTTTTGATCATCCAGAGTATTATGCCAATTTGATGGGGTATGATAAACCGATGGACTTTAAACTTTATGAAAAACCATCCAAGGATGCCAAATAATAATAATTAATTGTTTTGTGATTGTTATTTATTATAAGATTTGTTGTAAATATAATAATTATTATAGACAATATTGATGTGTATGTTTATTCTTTCCATATCATATATTAGGAAAGAGGGTGCTGAAAAAGTCTATATAATTCAATTTTTGATTATTCCCGGGCCTTGATTTGAATCAAGGGCGGAACCAATGACTTTCCCTTCGCTTCCCTTGATTTTTTTAACTTTGTTCGAGGCTCCGCATCGCTGAGAAACTCTGAAAATTTAAATATAAGGATCTAAAGAAAATTTAATTGACAATTTTTTCATTCAAAAAGTAAAGTGAGTGGAGAGTTGAAATTTTGAGAACTTGTTTGTAAAGGTTCAATGTAAAAAATACTGAAAACTCAAAGCGATTGAGTATATGCATACTAATAAAAAAAAATACTTTAGGTAAAAGTCATAGAAAATCACTTAATTTAATTGAGCATTACTAGTGGCGGCTCGTCAGAGGAGGCAGGGGAGGCTAAACCTCCCTCAAAAAATTTTTTTTTTTTTTTTTTTTTTTTTTTTTTTTTACGGATATGCGCACTCGCAAGGAAATGTCCTATCACGCTCGAGAAGCGGCAAGTGCGCGGAAATGTCGGTGTATGTTGGTCTTGAAACGGTTCAGGTTGTAACCTGCAGGGAAAACCGTCGCAGGGAGTTTATTCCACAGCGATGCTGTTCTCCAGAGATATGAATTCTGATATAATGAGGTTCTTGGTGCCTCTAGTTTGACAGTAAATTCATGGTTACCGTCTGTTTGACGGGTTCGCCTGGTAGGTGCTACTCTCGGTGGAATCATACGTGCCAACTCTTCAGAGCATTTTCCGTGATAGTACCTGTAGAAGAGAGATAAATCGCCCACAGATCTGCGATGTTCGAGACCATCCAAGTTACGAGTAAGTGCGGGGTCATTGATCAGCTTGATAGCTCGTTTTTGCACGGTATTCAAAAGCATTAAGGTATGTTTGGGTGCTGCACTCCATATATGTGAGCAGTACTCCATAGTTGGTCGAATCTGGGCTTTGTAGAGTGTCAGCAATTGGCTTGGTGTGTACAGATGTCTTGTACGAAATAGCACCCCCAGCTTTTGGGAGGCCCTTTTAGCAATATCTGCCACGTGACTGTGCCAAGACATGTTGGTCTCTGCAGTAACCCCCAAGATGTTCAACTGACTCTGTAATGTGACAGCACTTCCAGATAGCATGATGTTTGGCTCACCGGTGCTGGTCTTTTTTGAAAACAGAGCTGCTTGGGTTTTCTGCGCGTTGAACTGTACAAGGTTTTTGTTACCCCAGTCCTCTATTATCTCCAGGTCGTTATTTATCTGCGATATTTGAGTTAGTCTAAGATGATGGAATTCATGTGCGGAAAGACCTGTGGGTGGTATGAGTGAGGAGACTACATTGCCATCGTCTGCAAAGCAATAAAGTGGATTTACTGTTTTATCTATGAGGTCATTTATGTAAATCAGGAAAAGAGTTGGCGAAAGGATTGCTCCCTGTGGCACACCAGCATTTATTTGGTAAGAGTTGGAGTTCTGGCCATCCAGTGCAACATAAATGGATCTGTCCTTTAGGTAACTTTCAAACCAAGTGCAAAGTTTCGGCGATAATCCCATTGCTTTGAGCTTGTTGAGCAGATTTTCATGCCAAACTTTGTCGAATGCTTTAGATATATCTAAGGCAATTGTTCTTGTTTCACCCCGCAACTCAATCGCTTTTTGCCATAAGTGAGTGACGTATGTAAGTAAATCGCCAGTTGACCTATATTTTCGAAATCCGTATTGCTTATCGTTGATAATTTTGTACTTTTCCAAGTACTTGGTTAGGTGATTGTTCACAACTCTTTCCATTACTTTTGATATCACCGGAAGTAGAGCAATTGGTCTATAGTTTAACGGATCTGTCTTTTTTCCTTTCTTTGGAATGGGTTGTACTGCGGCAGACTTCCATGATGATGGATATACTCCTTGCCTGTAAGACAAATTGAATAATTTAGCGAAAGTTGGGGTGAGTTCGTTGGCGCAATTTTTGAGTACTATTGCGGGAATGCCATCCGGACCCATTGCTTTGTTTGTATCCAGCTTTTTTAGGGATTTTCGTATTTCTCTGTGACAAAAGTGTACCTCTGGCATACTATGGGAAACCCTTTCAATGAACGGTGGAGTTTTTCCGTTTGGCACTGTTAGGTTGGAGTTGGAGGAAAACATTTGGGCAAGCATATTGGCTTTTTCCTCTGATGTTGTGGCTAAGTGATTATTTTTATCTGTAAGTGGTGGTATGGATGACTTGGTGAAGTTAGATCCAACAGCTTTTGCAAGAGACCAAAAAGACCTAGAACTACTTGGACAATTCAGCAACCTGTTTTTTATTCTTTGATTGTATGTCTCTTTAGCGGAGTCAATAGTAATTTTGCAACTATTTCTGGCTTCTATAAATTCTGTGTGGTTTTGAGCGGTTTGTTGTCGTTTCCAAAGGTTATATGCTCTGTGTTTTTTCTGTACAGCCGTTTGACACTGGCTGTTGAACCAAGGTTTTGCATTAGCTCTACGTTTAGTTGTATGTGGGATATATGCGTCCATTCCAGATAAGATTACTTGTGTTATTTCATTACAGCAAATAGTGGGATCAGCTGTTTTAAAGCAAACCTCTTGCCATGGAAAATCCAGGTAATACTGTTTTAGGTCATTCCATTTTGCCGATTTATAGTGCCACATTTTACGAGGAAGTGGTTGTAGGCTTGGTGGGATGAGCATTTCGCACTTTGTTATTATAAGTTTATGATCGGACGAACCAAGTGGAGCATCTACTTGAATTGTGTACGAGTCAGGATTGGTGGTTAGGAACAAGTCTAAAAGCGCTGCAAATTCGCCCCTTTCTGAGATACGGGTAGGTTCATCGACAAGCTGCGTTAGACCACAACTTATGGCAAAAGCTTCTGCTTCTCTGCCTTCGTTATCTGTTTTGTTGTGGTGTTTCAGCCAGGGTATATTATGGACGTTGAAATCGCCTAAAAAGGCAATTTCCGCCTGTGGATAGTTTGACTGTATACTATCACAGCTTTCGGATAATGTCGCGAAAAAGTTTTGGTAATCGGTGTTACTTGGCGGTCGGTAGAGGCAGCAGATAAACTTGGTCGATGACTTTGAGGTGAATTTTAGTCATATGATATCAAGGTTCGCTGGTTCTAGCTTCTCCTCTCGATGACATGAAAGGTCATTTTTAATGTACACACAGATCCCAAAATTATGTCGAAATCGGTGGTGTAGGTCATAGCCGGGATAAAAATAGTTCACAATAGGTGTTGCAGAACTGATTTTAGTTTCAGTGAGAACAAGGATGTCAGGTCTTTGTTCTTCAAGATGTTGGTGAACTGAATTCAAATTGAGGGAGGTTCAATTTTTTATTCCTGATTTCTAATTAAAATTATAATTCACAAATTACACTTTCCAATTTTTGATATTTCAATGTAATTTAGAAAAATGTGACAACATTATTTCAATCAATCCCGCCGCGCCTCCACGACAGAAATTTGTGAATCTGGGATACTCAGTAATACCGGCCCCAAGGGCCGGAGTCATATGCGAGCCCGAAGGGCCGAAGCAATACAAGTCCGAAGGGCTCGAGTGATACGTGAGCCCGAAAGGCCAGAGTTATACGCGAGCTCGACGGGCTACAGTTATTTTAATCACATGGCTCAGTCTATAATTCTATTGGTCAGTGGATAATTTAGAGCCAATTAAAAACCGGGAGTATTTAAAATACGAGCCGGGAATATTCAAAAACTTTAGTTTTATCAAATTGATTTTGGAATGTTGGTTTTCTTAAGATTTTTACTTTTTTCAGAAAACGGTGGTTTTTGCAAACATATACTACTTTATCGTTGTCTTTGTCTTACTCACTATAATCAATAAGGAAACCTTGTAATGTCATTTTCATTGAAATTAAACTAAAAACAAGTTTCCTATGATTTATTTGGGGAATTTTAATTATTATAATCATTATTAATTATTTATTAAATTGAATTTTAAACAAAAAACTCTTTTAAAATGTTATTTTTGTTTTCCGAGATGTGATGTGACAACGTTGCTTTTAGTTGGCCATTTTGAAGTGACGCCTTGTGATTTTTTGCCAGTTTTTTCTCGAATTTTCGACTTTTCCGGAGTTTTTTAATGGAAAAAAGCGATTTAACATATGAGGCTTGAGTTTTCTTCATTTTTTAGTCAAAATTTCTATTTTTAAATACCATAATTAGCAAAATCCCATTTAAAATGCTTTTGATGTGGCAACATCGCTTTGTGGCTAAATTCAATCAAGGAACCATTTTTGACAGTCGGCCATTTTCAATTGACATGTTTACATTTTTATTTAGTTTTTCTTTGAATTTCCACTTTTCAGTGGGAAAAACTGATTTAAAGTACGAGGCTTTGAGTTTTCTTTATTTTCCACCAAAAATTTCCAGTGTTTTAACGGGGTAAGTGAGAAAAACTTGGGTTTGAAATGTCATTTTCGCTGGTTTTTTTTTTTTGGAATTTTTATTTAAGGTTTTTCGGGTCCGAGGATCGTTTTCTATTACTTTTTTTCTCGAAATTTACAAAATAAAAAAAATAAACTTTTTTGACGTTGACAGCTGTCAAATCGATAGTTGGCGTCGTGAAACTGCCTTGTACCGGGGTTTGATTTTCGTAGCTTTTATATTAGAACGGGGAAAAAGTCGAACATGTGTCAACTTTGACAGGTGATATCTGTCGATATTGCCAAAGTGTCGTGCGACAAAAGTTTTATCCGAACGAACCCGTTCATTGTTAACTGATTTTAATACTCCGGCCCTTCGGGCCGTAATCTTTGAAACAAAAAGACGTCATTTTGTATCGATTGTCAAAAAAACCCAAAGTGTGAAATTTCAATTTTTTGACGTTTGTTGTATCATGCTTATTGATCGAAAGAATTTACTTCAATTATGAACAATTAATAAAAAACTCAAATATTTTTGCGGGGGGGAAGGAGTCAAGGGGGCATTTGCCCCTACCCCCAAAGACCTTCAAATTTTATACATAACCCTTCAAAATTAAAATAAACAATCCGTGGCTCCCAAAAATTTCGCGACTTCAGCGCTTTATTTTCGCGCAACAAACACTTCCTGCAAATTTGCCCCCTCCAAGACAAAATCCTGACTACGCCAGTGAGTCAGACACAAATCTTGACTCATTTTTGTATTCACATTTCCAAATCGGAAATGATGACGTCAAGTTTCAACACCTTGGCTTGAGAATAAGGGTCATTCTCGCTAGTTAAATAGGTACCCGAATAGAATTTAAATTTGTGTTCATCATATCCTCATGACATAAGTCAGTTATTTCAAATTCCTATATACTAGACAAAGATAGACTGCTCATCGCCTCATTAGAAAAAAAAATGCGCCCATAGCAGGAGGAAAAGAAACATTTTCCTCTCTTGTTTAGGGGCCGAAAATGAACTATCTTGACATGGTCAAGACATAATTCTAGATTTCAATCTAGATTTCAAAAAAGTAGTAAAATTTAATGAAATATTTAAATTACTGACAAATCACTGGCAAGGTGTTTTTTTAATGGCAAATGCCAGTAATTACTGGCACTTTGTCGTAGTGCTGATTTTCTGGACACAGGTCTCTCGATTCTTGATTACTCAATCGACACTGGTCCTTCACGTCGTAGTTCTGCCGGTTTACTCGCTCTTTCTCGAACACTGATTTTCTCCCGCCAAAGTTGTTTTTTTATATCACTGGTCCCTCCATTGTCTTGAATTTCTTTACTGTTTCTGACTTCGATTTTTCGTGGTTGAATCATTCGATCAATTAGTGTATTTGGTCTCCTTTTAGTCCCCTATGTGGTTTGTTAAGTGGGTATCATCATATAGGCTCGTGCATGATTTATTTGATCTTTTAAGAAATTTTTCGGCTCCTTTGGAATGTTAATTGTTGAAAGCACTTAAAAAAAAGGTCCATGAACTTTTGCTTTAGTCACAGTCCAATGTAATTGGCTTTCAATAATTTCCGGATATCAATGTTCAGATAATTTTTAATTGAAGTTTCTGGTTGTGCTGTCTAAGTGATGATCTCTCCTGGGGTGGTTGTTTGGTAAGTCCTTGTTATTTTTAATTAATTTTCGGTAGTTGGATGTGTGATTTAAGCGCCACTGCGTCGAATTGCATATTGGAAAGGGACACTGATGGTGTTGAAAACGCCCAACTTCCGCGCCTCAGATCAGGGACTATAACCATTCTTCTCCAGAAATCAGCCCCCAAAATCAACGGATGATTCCACGGCCAATGATTGATGAGAATTTGATTGACTTAAATTGGAGCTTAATTACGTTAAGATCGGATTGAAATTAACAAAGTTGTGAAGCAAAATATGCGTCAATGTCTTTTAAATTGAATTTCTTTCTCGTTGTTCGCCTTGATTTTTCAACTTTTTAAGGCTCCGCCTCTGAAAACTTTGAAAACTTGAATGTAAGTATTTGAAGAGAATTCAATTGGCTTCAAATTAAGCCTAATTACATTAAGATCAGATTGAAATTGACAAAGTTATGAGGCAAAATGTGCATCAATGTCTTGAAATGATTCTTGCGTCAACTTCTTTAAGGCTCCACTTCTACAAAACGATTTTTTTCCCAAAAAAATTTGATCCAAATCGTAGTAACTTTGATTCAATTTCCACCCTTCTCAAAAAAAATTAGGTCACACACCAATATAAGGGCGTTATATTTAAATCAAATGCCTATTAATCCCCTTTGGGCTTCATTTGATCCAATTTATCCGAATAAAAACCGCAACTGCATTGATTTATTTCGTCAGTTTTTTCGCGATCATGATGGCCAACTGGACCCGAGAGCCTTATTTCAATGCAAGGTAAAACTTATTATTTATTTCGAATTTAAATTCATTAGGATTGTAGGCTTGCAGATGCAGGAATGCCTCACAATTTAGGCTGGAATGTGCCTCCTGAAGAGTTGGTCCACATTCCTGAACATTGGTTGATGTATCAAGAGCCTGATAAGAGTATGCATTTGCTTTTGGGAATGGTTTATGTGTTTTTCTTTATGGCTTCTATAATAGGAAATGGGATTGTTTTATGGGTTTTTACTACGTAAGATGTTTTGATAAACTTATCTGAACTAATATTAATATTTTTCTAGAGCAAAATCATTACGAACAGCTTCAAATATGTTTGTAGTAAACTTGGCCTTTTGCGACTTTATTATGATGCTTAAATCGCCAGTTTTCCTATATAACTCTTTTCATTATGGGTTTGCGATGGGGCATTTTGGGTGTCAAATATTTGCTGGAATGGGTGCTATGTCAGGTATTGGGGCTGGTATGACTAACGCTGCCATAGCTTATGACCGATATACCACAATTACTAGACCGTTTGATGGGAAACTTACCAGAACTAAAGCACTGCTTATGATTTTGTTTATTTGGTTTTATGCCACGCCTTGGACTGTGATGCCTCTGCTGGAAGTTTGGGGCAGATTTGCACCTGAAGGTTACCTAACTGCGTGTACTTTTGATTATTTAACCAGGAGTTTTGATAATAGATTGTTTGTGGGGACTATTTTTACGTTTAGCTACGTTTTTCCAATGCTAATGATTATTTACTTTTATAGTCAAATTGTTAGTAAGGTTTTCAGTCATGAGAAAACTTTAAGAGAACAGGTAATGATATAATAGCATAAAAACTATATTATAATGATTCAATTTAAGGCCAAAAAAATGAATGTGGAATCATTAAGGGCCAATCAATCGCAAAACAGTGAATCAGCGGAGCTACGGATAGCTAAAGCAGCGATCACAATAACGTTTTTGTTTGTGGTTTCTTGGACTCCGTACGCTGTTTTGGCTTTAATTGGTGCTTTTGGAGATCAATCGTTGCTCACTCCAGGAGTTTCGATGATTCCGGCTTTGAATTGTAAACTAGTAGCGTGTATCGACCCTTACATTTACGCCATCAGTCATCCCAAGTTTAGGTAATAATTGAATTGTCCAGTGTTAACACAAACATTACATATAAAACAATTACAAATCTTTTAGTTTACATAGTATTTACATAAACTTTACGTAAATAATATATTGATGTGTTTACTGGGTTGTTATCAACATTTTAGGATTGAATTGCAAAAACGCCTACCTTGGCTGGCGATCAAAGAAAAAGAAGTGAGCGACGCTCAAAGTACCACTTCCGAGCAAACGGCGGTACCACAACAAACTCAAGCTTAAACATGCTTGTTTTATAAAAATTTGATTTTTCTCACAAAGAAAGTTTTCTTTTGCACAACCATCAATGACGACTGCGGCAATGGATATTTAGACCAATTGTCAATGGAAATTATTACGTTTTTAATATTTTTTGGCATGTTTTTATAGGAAAATGTAATAATGTTTATTGATGATTTTGGGAGTAAAAAAAAATTGTAAAAATAATAAATATACTTGAGTTAATCCCTGTAACAATAAATATTTGGATTTTATTTCCCATTTAAGAATGTTCACACGTGATTTATTGTTTCTGGAATACCAAGTGACCTTCCAGAGTATCTAGCCTTACCCATTCAAATCGGCGCTGTGTGGGCAGACCTTTATTTCCGGACTACTCGTGGGATATAGATCTTTCAAAAACTAAAGGGCTCTCTGCAAGGAGGGATCTTACAACCGGGCAAGGAGGCTCTTCAAAAGAAGGCCTATCTAGTGCGTCTAATTTATTGAAAAATCTTTATTCAAACTAAGTACACAAACAATTATCTTCCAAGTTTATTTTCAACCAGTTTATGTATCTGGACACTCTTGTGTAGACTCCTGGATAGCCTGGACGTCCACAACCGACTCCCCAAGATACGATTCCTATATAATACAAAAAGAAATATTAATAAATCAGCAAAGAATAATTTTTACGTATACCATTTGGGCTGAAAAACGCCCCAGCACCTTTTCAAAAAAGACCAAATTTCCAATATTCAATTGGATAAAAATGATCAAAAACTACCTTTTGGTCTAAATAACTCACCAGCAATCTCGTATTTATCTCCGTTGTGTACAAGCAAAGGCCCACCACTATCACCTTGACACGAATCCTGGACTCCTTTTCCAGCGCACAACATATATGTAGTAATTCTTGAGGCTCTATATTTCATAGCTCTACATTGGCTAAGGCTCAATATTGGTACTTCGACTTCTTGGACAATATTGGGCAAGGCTCCACTTTCACTGGTCCTGCCCCAACCTATCACCGTGCCAGCTTTACCTGCAGGATCTGTAACTGTAAACAATTTTGTTGTCAATATTTAGGAATTTTATGGAAATCTGACACAAAGTTTCAACTTTGCAAGCTCATATTTTCAAAACCGTTTCAAATATTGGAATCAAACTTGTTTCATCTTGAAAAGCATTGAATTCTGATTCAGAATAGTTGTTTTTACATTGGAATATGTGAAATATTAACGTAGAAATTCGTAAAAAGTTTTACTTGAATCTTGAATGAGAATGACAGAACTAAGGAGAGTCAAAAATGAGCCTCATTCTCAACAGTTTTTTACTTTAAAATGATCAAAATTCAATATTTTTCTTCAATTCCGGATTTAGAAGAGCCTGGGAATCAAGTTTAAATGGATTAAAAATTAAAATATAAAAGTATTGGAAACTCAATGAAATAATCAAAATTTTAACTTTTCGAGAGCCTGGAATAGGATTTTTATGTTTCCCCATTTCAATTCTAGGAGCATCAGGAATAATATTGGTTTGATACCTTTTGAAATTATGATGTGACACTTTTCTGTAAAAATTCATATTTATCTAACTGTGTTTTCATATTGAAAAACATCAGTCGATCAAATAGGAGTTTATAATGTTTTTGAAGGCTGCGGTTGAATAGATAGTGGTATATTATCCATATATTTTAGACAGACTTTTCCTAGTGAAACATTATCCATTACACGTTGAAAAGTAGCAGGAGCATTTTTTAAGCTGAAGGGTATACATGTAAATGCGTAATGTCTATGATCTACATTAAATGCTGTTTTAAGAATACTTTTTTAAATGTCGTCATATTTGCTCTTTCCTCAAATTTCCATTACCCTATATTTTTTCGGAGTTCTACAGTATTTATTCCATTTTTGTAAGTAACTGTAAAACTTACTTTTAAACTCGATTTTCTCAAAAACCGTAAATGTTCGCAATTTAATAACATACTTTGTCAGACATTACTTACTTGAAGGTAAACATATTGGTTGTATATTGCTACCATAATCCACCGGTTTCCGTAGTTTCAACAAGGCAATATCGTGATTGTAATTTTCCATATCAAAGTTCCTATGTTTGATTATTTTTGCAACTGCCCGCATTTTAGCTTGGACATCGGTTGTAGTTGATTGATCATGATCACCTAATATTATTCTTATTTTTGAACGCTTTAAACTACAAATTAATAATTAATTCAAATAGTTTGTTAATTGAAAATTAGTTACTTTCTAACACAATGAGCTGCAGTTAAAACATAGTTTTCTGAAATCAGTGAGGCTCCACAATGAAAATGTCCATCGTAGACAATCCTGGCAATCCAAGGATAGTGGTTTATTCCGGCAGGATGGCCTCCTACTATTCTGTTTTCGTGTTTGGATATACCACATTCTATAAAGTTTGAATATTAAATTGTTCAATAACAAACAAAATACATTACACTTACCACAAGTACAGTTTCTTGTTTGTTCTTCATTATTAATGTCATCGTCATCATCATCTAATATTGACTCAGATGATGAGCCTCCTCCTCCTACGCCCAAAATATTTGAAAAGAAATTATTATTGAAAAATATTCTAGGTTGTCTTTGAGTTTCTGAAGTATTTTTCTATAAAAAAAAAAGCAAATATAAATAATTTGTTAATAAATAAAGTACCTATACTTACCATAGCTTGAATATTATTAACAATTAACAAACACATAAATGTTATAACACAAATGATAATAATGTTCATCCTAAAAAGGTAATTTTGTTCCTAAAAAGTAAAAGTATGTTGCGTCAACGACGAGATTTCACTGAAAAATAAATTCGTATAGCGCGAGATAGTCTTTCACTTCTCTGTTCGTTTTGAAGAAAGTCGCGTCCTCCTATAATAAATGTATCGGAACAAACAAAAATAAAACAATAAATAATAATAAAAATGTCTATATAATTTATTGGAAAGTTTGTTTTTTGTCCAGCACTTTTTTCAATACAAGTGCAGACTCTTTTAAAAGGATTTCCATTAGCTCGTTGACCATTTTGTTTTTGATTAGGGCCTCGTCTTGAGCAAAACTAGTCCAAGTGCCTTCTTCTGCTTGCATTTCCTATAATAATAAATAAAAATCTAAACAACATATTGTCTGGCTAGATGATGGTACGATGTTTGCATGCAACTAGGTATTTTAATTGAATGAAATCAGCTATTTACAATTGTAGTTTCAGATTTGTTGGCCAGACAATACATTTATGAATTGGATATTATATATAGTACTTCAGTTTTTGTAAGTTGATTTTCAAGATTTTTCATGTTGTTATTTTCCAATGGAAAAATTTGAAATTTTGGGAAAATGAACTTGTAACCTTCCTCTTCACATGCAAAAAATTACAAATTTTTCCCTTTACTAGTTTTCCAGAAAAACTTTGAAATATGTGAGACTGTATTTTCAATTAGTTCAATATTATTGTGGGCTGATTTCCAAAATTCTTCATGTTGGTATTTTCCACTGGAAAAATTTGAGATTTTGGAAAAATGAGCTTCTAAGCTTCCTCTCCACATGCAAAAAGTTCCAAATTTTTCTCTGTACTAATTTCCCAGGAAAACTTTGAAATGTGTGAGACTGTGTTTTCAAATAATTCAGTTATTGTAGGATGATTTCTAAAATTCTTCATGTTTTTTTTTTTCACTGGAAAAATTTGAAATTTTGGGAAAATGAGCCTCTAACCTTCCTCTTCATATGCAAAAAGTTTCAGATTTTGCCCTTCACTAGTTTTCCAGAAAAACTTTGAAATGTGGGACACTGTATTTTCAATTAGTACAGTTATTGTAGGTTGATTGTCAAAATTCTTCATGTTGTTATTTTTCACTGGAAAAAATTTGAAATTTTCGGAAAATAAACCTCTAAGCTTCCTCTTCATAGTTCACATGCGAAAAGTTTCAAATTTTTCCCCTTACTAGTTTCCAGGAAAACTTTGAAATGTGTGAGACTGTATTTTCAATTAATTCAGTTATTGTAGGTTGATTTCCAAGAATTTCCATGTTGTTATTTTCAATTGGAAAAATTTGAAATTTTGGGAAAATGAGCCTCTAACCTTCCTCTTCACATGCAAAAAGTTTGAAATTGTTTCCTTCACTAGTTTTCCAGAAAAACTTTGAAATGTGTGAGACTATATTTTCAATTAATTCATTTATTGTAGGTTGATTTCCAAGATTCTTCATGTTGTTATTTTTCCATTGAAAAAAAATTGAAATTTTTGGAAAATGAGCCTCTAACTTTCCTCTTCACGTGCAAAAAGTTTCAAATTTTGCCCTTCACTAGTTTTCCAGAAAAATTTTAAAATGTGTGAGACTGTATTTTCAATTAATTCAGTTATTGTAGGTTGATTTCCAAAATTCTTCATGTTGTTATTTTCCACTGGAAAAATTTAATATTTCAGGCAAAAAAGCCTCTAACCTTCCTCTTTACATGCAAAAAGTTTGAAATTTTTTCCCAGTACTAATTCTCTAGAATAGCTTTGAAATGTGTGAGAATGTATTTTTAATTAATTCAGTTTCAAGATCACACATATTGTCCGGCCAATGGATCTGAACCTACGGAAAAAATTCGGAGGAAAATGTGCAATGTTGCCACGTTTAATCAATAAAAGGTAAACATTTTATTAGAAATACCATCAACTTTTGTCGATTGGTGGAATTTGAAACCCATATGTAAATTACGTCTCCCTATTGGCCAAGACTTATACTAAAATATCCAGTAGCTAGTTTGATCATTATCGATTTTCGAAAAAAATCCGGACGTAACTATAAACACTAGCTGACGTCACCCGTATAACCTCACTTCCGATGAGAAGACAAACATGTCATTGAGACACAAACGATATTTACATTTATTTTTCCTCCTATATAGCTATCGTCTATCTGTATAAATCTCAATGGTATAAAAATAGTCCTTATAATGTTTTGTTTGTCCCTCCATCGAAAGTGAGGTTATGTGTATGACGTCAGCTAGTGCCTGACTGGGTATTTTTCACAACATTGTAGCAACATACTTGTTTCAAAATCTCTTCTAAATGTTTCTTCTTTGGTGGTTTGCAGTTGCGATTTCTGTCAAATCCGAACAAATCTAGAAGTTTTTTGGTCATCAATTTGTTCAAACCGTTGACGTCTAAGGGCTTGTTTAAAAGGGCGGTTTTCGTGCTGAAGTCCATCCACGAAGGGCCGGCTTGTGTGAACTGGCCATAATGGTCTTTGGCTATTTCTTTGCACAGATCGAAAACGTATTTGTAGCACCTAAAAATGATTAGGTATGTAGATTTTGTGAGAGAAAATTCAATTTTTGTCTATCCTCGGCTCTTGAATTTTTGTCTATTTTTCAACCCCACTTTTCTGTACGGATTTTAAGGTAAGTACCACTTTTCCGCACTAGTACCGTTATTATTTATAATAATATTGTCGTAGAAAACCTAAGAGTGTTCCTAACTCGTGTGGAAAGTCTTCTTTCTCCTGCCAATTGCAATCGCGTCCGGAAAATTGGCACTTTTCGATCTCAAACATAAGTTAAATTTAAATAAAAATCCATATCCGTTTTGTGTTTTGTGATTTTCCTCATAGATGGCAGTCGTATCGGTGATTCAAAAACAATTAAAGTAGGCTTTTGGCGGCCATTTAAAAGTAGGGTAATTCAATCCATATGGCGACCATTGGTCAAACAATGAAGGATTTCGTTTATCTTCAGAGAACTGTGACGTTTTGTTACCATAAAACTGTTATATTGGTTAAAAAGGATAATTTTTGTAGTTTCAGAGTGTATTAATAACAAACAAACACACATCCCGGATGTTTGACCGTTGCCGCCATATTGAATTTGTATTTTGACAGGTTGTTAAATTATCCTATTTTTATACAGAAAATAATGTGATGCAAAAAATTGAATTATCTATTGGTAATGTTTAAAGAAAATCTAATTATTCATCAAGAAAAGTGAACATTATCAATTAGCTAACATCGCAGTAGGCTTTGGACGGCCATTTTAAAATGGAACAATTCAACAATCTGTCAAAACACAAATTCAATATGGCGGCAACGGTCAAACGAATGTGATGAGTGTTTGTTTTTTGTTTATACACTATATAAAAATTATTCTTTGCGAGTAATAGAATGTAAGTAAAGGAATGCAAGGATAATACAGACTTACAGGCTCGTTTTTGGTAATGGCCGCCATTTTCGTGTGTCACCATTTCCGACGTCATGACTAGTCGTCAGCCGCTCAAACAGCCGACGTCAAGGCGAAAAATAACATGCTGCCTACATCACAACTGGTGATTTGGCGAAAGAGGGTTTCCACACAGGCCTACTTATGAATCTATCGCAAATATAAGAAAATCTTCACTGAAGAAATAATATTGAAACTCGAAAACGCAAAATTTTACAAAATTCAACAAACCCAAATAAACAACGATCTTTTAGACTTGTCATTTGGATAATTATGACGTCATGAATCCTAGTACGTGTAGTATGATGTTTATTGGTCGCTAAAATACATCTATTCATGTTTATTCTATTCCAGGCTCTTGAATTTTCTTCATCCGCCAGATTGTATACCTACCTAACATTTTATCAGAAGGTGAATAAACCGGCCCTTATTAAAACAAATTCAAGAGCCGGGAATAGACAAAAATTGATTCTATAGCAACTTCACTCAACTAACAGGGCGATTTGACGTTCTATCATTTCAATATGGCGTCGTGGGTATAATAAACTTGTCAACCTCAAATGTATGCTTAAATTCAATTCCAATTCTAATTGCAACTTATGAATGATTAATAATCAATTGAAATTGAATGTAAAGGTACCTTAATTTCTTCGCGGTCGTGTTGATTTATTGGCTGGTTCAAATTAAGGATATTACATTACATATTACTAGCAAAGGATTGCTCATCGGCCTCGATTTTTCAATTTAAAGTCATATGGTGTTGCACCGTTGTCGACGTCATCAATGGTGTTTTTGGCTGTTTTAGACAAAAATGTATAGAGAAAAATTCAAAATTAAATAGAAAAGACAGACATTCATATTTTCTTTATTCCAGGCTTTTGAATTTTGGAGTCTGGAATAAAAAAAATATGAGTGTTCGCATTTTTCCATCTCAATTTTTGTTTATATTATCCTACAATCGTGCTTGTTCTTTCTCACTCATTCAAATTGAGCTTACTTTTCTAGTGATGGCATCAGTTATCAAATATGAGGTTCCGCCGCCAGTTTTTTTCCTAATTTTAAATAGAAATCTGAAACTAAATCACGCCTCGACCGCCATATTCTTTTTCATTCTCAATATGAATATATAAAATTTTGAAGAACGAATTAAAAATAAGACGGCAATAAGGCAATTCGAACTCAAGGATATTACACACTACTAGAAAATGGCTGATCCGCCTCGAATTTTGGAATTAAGGTACCATATGGTGTTGCACCGCTGTCGACGTCATCACTACACCATTTCTAGTTTTAATTTGGAAAATAAAAAGTTAATTTTGATGAAATGCTATTTTTCTTACCAAAAATGTTTGTGGTAAGTCAGTTTTTCCGAATCAATTTTTGTATCACCGGCAGCCGCGTGCGGAAAAATTCATTTTCCGCACTTGTTAGGTAAATAGCTATTTTGATACGAGGAATTAAATTTTCCCTAATCTGCATGGAAATTTTCAGATAAAAATGTAATTTTTCATAGAAAATCGATGGTAAGTGGAAACTGTTAGATCACTACAGTGGCGACAATTGCCGTCCTATTTTTGGAATCCTATATGTTCGTATTGAAAATTGGCAAAAATATGGCGGCGGGATCTCTATTGTCGTTACTGTGGCTGGGTTCGGTAATAGTTCATTGGTAATTGCATCTGCGAGCAAAAAGAGTAAATTTTGACGGACGTCACGTTATCACTTACCTTTTTTCATATTATGTCATCTATCAAATTTTGCTCGCAGATGTAATTACCGAACCCAGCCTGTAAAGGTTCAGTGATTCACTGTTGAAAATAAACATCAAAGTAGGCCTTGGGCGACCATTTTGAAATTGTAATTTTCAAGAAAAATGGCCGTCGTATCATTTTATGTCTATTCCCGGCTCTCGAATTTGTTTCAATTTTCAACAAAGATAATTCAAGAGCCTGGAATAGAGAAAAAAAATTTCTAACTCAATTTTTAAAATTTATCCTACAATCGTGCTTTCTCTTTTTCGCTCAATCAAATTGAGTTCACTTTTTTAATGGTGGCATTAGTTACCAAACATAGTTGAACAGTGATTCATTTAATCCGCTCACCAGCTGCTTATTTTCTATCTTTCTTCAATAAACACTATTGAAAAGAGACAATTATCATTTGATTTCACGTTTCGAAAACATCAAAGTAGGCTTTGGACGGCCATTTTAAAATATTGTTATTAACAAAAATGGCCGACGTATTATTTTGCTCTGGGTTTTTCTTGAATATTTCCCGATTTTGAGTAGATTTTCGTGCGGAAAAGTGTCTTAAAATGGAGTTTGTCATACGAGGAATTAAATTTCTATATTCGGCATGGTAATTTTTGTCATTTTTCATAGAAAATATGTCCATGGTAAGTGAAAACTGTAATAGCTAACTTCACCTTTCAATAAGTCAAAGTAGGTCTTGTATGAGCATTTTATAGTGATTTCCATTAGTAAAGCCAGTGCAGAAAAAAATACCTATTTTTCTCTTTTCCTTATGCAAGCTGGTAGAAAAAGACACAAATATACTCAGTTCGTACTAGTTTTTTTAATAGAATTCAATTGTTGTATTTCCAAACTAGTCCACTATACATTTATATTGAAAATTGCAAGAATATGGCTGCGAGGGCGTGGCACACTTCTATATTTACCAATGAAATATTCAAAATTAGCAAAAATATGACGGCGGGACCTTTATTGTCGCAACTGTAAAGGTTTATTGAGTCACTGTAATTATTAGCTAACTTCATCTTTCAAAATAAACATCGAAGTAGGCCTTGGGCGGCCATTTTAAAATTGTATTTTTTACCAGAAAAATGACCGTACTTTGTTTTTTCCCAATTTTCAGTAGATTTTAGTACGAGGAAATCAATACAAATTACCCTAGTTCATGCTAAACAGTCCATGCAGATACTACAGTGCCAAAATGACTACTTAAACATTGGTGCACAAAAAGCCAGAACTTTACCTTCCGTGCACCGAGTACCCACAACGACAGCGCCTCTTTGGCACTGAGAAACGGATGATTAGACGTCGACGCGTACTCTACGTCCTAAAATCACCAAAAAGATAGTTAAATGAACGATGTGTAAACATTTCGTGAGTGGCACACCAATGACGTCATAAAAACCTTTTGTTTTAAATAGCCTTGAATATTGACATGAAAATCTAATAGGACGATGTTTGACGTATTGTCAATTTTTTTATTATTCAAGATGGCAGAGTGGGCATAATGAGCTTGACGTCCCTAAGAGATTTGTGTATTTCTAAAGTGTTTTTTTTTTTGTTTATAGAATTTTCTAGTTTTGGCGTTGCTTTGCTGCAAGGTTTCTAAATCTAATAGGAAGCCTGGTGAAGGGTAAATTGATGACACAGTGCCTTATGAAGATTTGCATTATTTATATTATGTTGAGGCACTCCAGATGACGTCATAAAGTTATTAGGTAATCTATTTCTCTCAAACAACCTTGATTATAGTGTATATGTTTGATATTCATTTGTCTCTGAACCACTTTATATTCATTATAAATAAATGTCAAAATTATCAAGGCATTTTAAAACATGCCATTTATCCAAGGTTATTTGAGAGAAGTTGCCTGATAACTTTTATAACGTCATCTAGGATGCTTCAACATAATGCATATTTCAATAACGCACCTTAGATGACTTCATCAAGTTACCCATTACCAGACAACCTAGCAGTTTTTGACATCGCAGTATGCATGTAGCACTTGTATTTAGGCCTCTCTATTCTTTTCATCAAATTGATCTCTGAAACAGGTAAAAATAACATACATTTATGTGGGGGCAATGGTTGTTTATGTTTATGCCCACGTCGCCATCTTAAATTATCAGCTAGTTCGAATCAAGGATATTACACACTACACAGGATAAGGATAATCTCAAACCTCAACTTTTGGCGTAAAATTTATCAGAGTTTAAAACATTTTAGGTCAAAAAAAATTAATTCCTAAACGTTAAAATTTTGTTAGAATTATTTTTTCTACATTTAAAATTAACTAATTGGGGTCTGCGGGCGACGTCGCAATTATTATGTGATGTCGTCACTGGCAGACCCTGCCGATTTCGAGGATGAGCAATGTTGTTAGTTTACGACTGCTGGCGCAAACAACTAATAACATAGTTGATGACGTCGACAACAGTGCGCAACACCATATGACATTGATTTCAAAAATCGAGGCCGATAAGAAATTCTGTAGTTTAGCGTAATATCCTTGTGAAAACTAATGCCACCTTGTATATCAATGACGTCATAAAAGTTATCACGCAACCTCTTGTTTTGAACAGCTTTAAACATTGACATGAAAATCTAATAGGACAATGTTTGACGATTTCTGAATTTTCTTATTATTCAAGATGGCACTGTGGGCATAACAAACTTGATTACTATAAGAGATTTGTGTATTTTCTGTCAATTTCTGAAGTATTTGCCTCTGAACCGATTTATAATTGTCATAAATAAATGTCAAGATTGATAAGGCATGCTTAAAGATGAATTTTTATATTGTCATTTGGGGTGCCTCAACTTCGTGAAACACCCCAGATGACGTCATCAAGTTACCCATTACCAGACAACCGAGTTTTTGACATCGCAGGCCCCTCTACCATTTCCATCAAATTAAACTTTAAAATAAATGGATAGAAATAACACACATTTATGTGGGGGCACTATGTTTATGCCTACGTTGCCATCTTGAATTATCAACTAGTTTGAATCAAGGATATTACATACCACAGAGGATAGGCGTAAATTTCAAGTTTTGGCGTAAAATGCATTATCTGAGCCCTAAAAAACGTCAGTCGCAGACCCTGTTGACTCGAGAATTGCCAAACGTACATCTTATGAGAATGAACAATATTTATGGTAAGTGAAAACTACAATAGCTAACTTCACTTTACAGAAACGTCAAAGTAGGCTTTGGGCGGCCATTTTTAAACTTACAAAAATGGTCGCGTGTTTGATTTTTCTTGGAAATTTCCCGATTTTATTGCGGAAAAATGTCTAAAAATGGTCTTCATGGTGCGTGGTATTAAATTTTTCATAATAAGCACGTTAAAATGCCCATTTTTCAAAGAAAACATCTCCATGGTAAGTAAAAACGAAAACTGTCTCCATATTTCGATTAATTTGATCACCTGCCATCTTTCTTCAACAAACACGATTAGAAAAAGACAACTTACATTAGCTGTTGATCGAGGCTTGATCGGATCAGCGCGGGAATTTTTAAATTGTATTGTTTATATTAACTACATACTTTTAATTATCCAATTGCACTTACCCTTTATTAATATTCTTGCCAATCAAATTCAAAATATTATCCGAAATACAAACATTATCCAGATTTTTGGACAAATAAGCCTTGTGCAAAATCTTAGCCGAATACTCAGTAATTTGGGCGATTTCTTCTTTACTTGCAGGTATAACTGAAGGGCTTTTTTGAGTTGTTTTTAAGGGTGAAGGCCTATAAGGCGGGGGAGGCTTATTAGGAATATTTCTCACACAAAATGTCTTTTGTTGCTGCTCTTTTAAAAGCCTAATTTCTTTTTCAATTGCAAGTTGTTTTCTGTGCAACTCTTCAGCTTCGTTACCCAAAGAATATTTCGCTTGAGGTTGTCTAGGCATTAAATTCAATATTTTGTGTTCAATTTTAATTAAATCTTCAACTTCTTTTTACTTCTTGTAGCCATTTCAATCTTCGTTGTTCTAACATTCACACACAAATACTGTTTACATACACACACACACACATATACATGAATGTTTTGAATGGATGCGCTGACTAATTTTAGGAGGTTTGGACTCGAGCCAACAGGATATCTATAAATAGTCTAAACACAACATTTAAACAACTTTATTTCACCAAAATCCTGTAGTATCTTTAACAGGCAAAACATTACCAATATCAATAAAATCCTTAAAACCGCTTTTTTTAACTTGAATCTTAAACTCGGCACAATCACAATTTTCAGGCCAAGATGCCGTAATATTAATCATACAGCCTCTGCCAATCATACCTTTTTCGTGCGCAGCAGCTAATTGATTAACAACCCTCCTTTCCACTTCATATTTTATAGATCTAGCCCCATAACAAACATCATAACCATCGGCCAAAGCCGACTCAACATTTCTGTCCCATTTAATGTCAATCTTATGTCTATCTTTGGCTCTTTGAGCCCAACACTCGAGCTCACGTTGCACCAGTTGCAACAATTCCCTTCTGGAAAAGGGCAAAAAATACACAATTTCATTAATACGCCCTAGAAATTCGTCTCTTTTAAAGTGACGTTTCAATATAGGCTTGACCACAGCATCCTTGAATTTCCTGGAAATTATAATATCATCAGACAAATTGTTATTGCGTTCAAGTTTTAATTTTTCAACATCTTTGCGTAAATTCAAAGCATGATTGGCAATTTCCTGGCTGGCCAAATTCGATGTCATTACAAATATGGCATTTTTGCACTCAATGGTTTTGCCTTGACCATCAGTCAAACGGCCTTCGTCGAATAATTGTAAAAGGACTGTTAAAACATCTGGATGAGCTTTGTCAACTTCATCAAACAGGACAACAGCGTTAGGGCAAGTTTTTAATTTGGCAGTTAGTTGTCCGCCTTGGTCGTGACCGATGTAGCCGGGCGGGGCTCCTATTAGCTTGGCTACTTCGTGTTTTTCTTGATATTCGGACATGTCCAGGCGGATGAAGGATTCTTTTTCGTTTTTGTGAATGTAGGCGGCCACTTGTTTGGCCAGTTCGGTTTTGCCAATGCCTGAGGAACCCAAAAATAAGAATACTAAGGGGTGGTCTTCGTCGGTCCAGCCGTTTTCTTTTCTTCTTACAGCTAAAAACAAAGGAAATTGTATCTAGTATTGACTTACTGGAAATAGATTTATGTTTACTGTGTTGTCACAGAAATCACAAACCAGTCAGAATGAATTTCATTGGTTGAAAATGGTTAGAAAACTAGTTGTCGGTGATTTGGACCGATCAAAAACGCTATGACTGGTTTGTGATTTTTGTGACAACACACCTCCTATTGACTATTTAAAGGGAAGTTTATTCTGAGTCACTCTGTAGAATATTCAGAGGCCTTGGGTGTTGAAGTGGCAACAATCAGCAAAATTTTCAACTTTGTATCTTTTGAACTTTTGAATCTTTATAGTCTCAATGTGCTTTTGCGTTGGACTGTCAATGTCTTCGAAGATTATTGAATAGTTCATAGAATTTTGGGTTTATTTTAAAGACATTTTGGGAAAATGATCCTCTAACCTTCGTCTTCACATGCAAAAAGTATCAAATTTTTCCCTTTACTAGTTTTCCAGGGGTGAGACTGTATTTTCCACTGAAAAAATTTAAAATTTTGGGAAAATGAGCCTCTAACCTTCCTCTTCACATTTGGAAAGTTTCAAATTTTTCTCTCCACTAGTTTTCCAGGAAAATATTGAAATGTGTGAAAGTGTATTTTCAAATAATTCAGTTATTATAGGTTGATTTCCAAGATTTTTCATGTTGTTATTTTCCACTAGAAAAATTTAAAATTTTGAGAAAATGAGCCTCTAACCTTCCTCTTCACATTTGGAAAGTTTCAAATTTTTCTCTCCACTAGTTTTCCAGGAAAATATTGAAATGTGTGAAAGTGTATTTTCAAATAATTCAGTTATTATAGGTTGATTTCCAAGATTTTTCATGTTGTTATTTTCCACTAGAAAAATTTAAAATTTTGGGAAAATGAGCCTGTAACCTTCCTCTTCACATTTGGAAAGTTTCAAATTTTTCTCTCCGCTAGTTTTCCAGGAAAACTTTGAAATGTGTTAGTGTATTTTCAAAAAATTCAGTTATTGTAGGTTGATTTTCAAGATTTTTCATGTTGTTATTTTCCACTAGAAAAATTTAAAATTTTGGGAAAATGAGCCTCTAACCTTCTTCTTCACATGTGAAAAGTTTCAAATTTTTCTCTCCGCTAGTTTTCCAGGAAAACTTTGAAATGTGTGAGTGTATTTTCAAATAATTCAAGTATTGTTAAGATTTTTCATGTTGTTATTTTCCACTAGAAAAATTTAAAATTTTGGGAAAATGAGCCTCTAACCTTCTTCTTCACATGTGAAAAGTTTCAAATTTTTCTCTTCACTAGTTTTCCAGGAAAACTTTGAAATGTGTGAGTGTATTTTCAAATAATTCAAGTATTGTTAAGATTTTTCATGTTGTTATTTTCCACTAGAAAAATTTAAAATTTTGGGAAAATGAGCCTCTAACTTTCCTCTTCACATGTGAAAAGTTTCAAATTTTTCTCTCCACTAGTTTTCCAGGAAAACTTTGAAATGTGTGAGAGTGTATTTTCAAATAATTCAGTTATTGTAGGTTGATTTCCAAGATTCTTCATGTATCTATTTTCCACTGGAAAAATTTGAAATTTTGGAATAATGGAGCTTCTAACCTTCCTCTCCACATGCAAAAGGTTTCAAAATTTTCCCTTCACTAGTTTTTCAGGAAAACTTTCAAATATGTGAGACTGTATTTTCACTTAATTCAGTTTTTGGAAATGGACTTCTAAGATTTTTCATGTTATTATTTTCCACTAAAAAAATTTGAAGTTTCAGGAAAATGAACCTCTAACCTTCCTCTTCACATGCAAAAAGTTTCACATTTTTCTTTCTACTAATTTTCCAGGAAAACTTTCAAATGTGTGAGACTGTATTTTCAATTAATTCAGTAATTGTAGCTTAATTTCCAAGATACTTCATGTTGTTATTTTTCACTAGAAAAATTTGAAATTTTGGGAAAATGAGCCTCTAATCTTCCTCTTCACATGCAAAAAGTCTCATATTTTTTGCCTTTACTAGTTTTCCAGAAAAACTTTGAAATGTGTGAGACTATATTTTCAATTAATTTAGTTATTGTAGGTTGATTTCCTAGATTCTTCATGGTGTTATTTTTCATTGAAAAAATTTGAAATTTTGGTTAAATGAGCCTCTAACACTCCTCTTCACATGTAAAGAGTTTAAAATTTTTCCCTTTACTAATTTTTCAGGAAAATTTTGAAATGTACTGTGAGACTAAATTAACTACAAACTGATGTGAAGTTTCTAAAGCTGACAAATAATACTGATGATGGCGAAAGCTCAAAATTTCAATAAATTGAACGAATCAAATAAATAAATTTACTTGCTGCAACAATAGCTATAGCTCCCTCTTGTCCTACAATATACTGCTTCAACCGATCTTCCAATGGAAACTTTCTACGCTCTTCCAGCTCCTTTTCTTTTGCTTTTTCCTCATACTACAACAAACCAAATACAATTAAATTAACCCTTTACTGGTAAATTAAGTACCTTTTCAGTTTCCACCTTTAAAAATTCCTTAAGAGGTCCCTCTTTGGCATAAACATAAGGTTTTTGTCCAGCTTCGTTTTCAATACAAGGGTTGGCACCTTTTTCAATTAACAACTTGACTATTTCAAAGTTATCCATTAAAACTGCATAATGTAAAGCAGTGAAACCCATGAAAGTAGCCTTGTTGTTTAGAGTATTTGAAAATTCCTCATCTCTTATCATCAAAACTAATAAATTAAGCTCAAATTAGTAATTAGTAATAAACTAATTGGAATTCCTTGCCTTCAATAGGATGTAAACCTTTTGTCTGTGAAGTTCTGCCAGGGTTCTTGTAATTGTCAGTACTATTTGGGTTGGCATTATTGTCCAATAGTAATTTTACAATGTCGTATTGGTTGTTAACACTGGCTACCATTAATGGGGTCCAGCCTAATGGATGGGTTATATTAACATCCATACCATTTTTGATAAGGCTAAAATTGTAATGTAATGTAATAAGAGGTTGAAGAATTGGTTCAATGGTATAATTTTCGTATACCTACAATGTATTCCCACTATTCCCACCACTAACTCGAGAAGGGTTGCCTATATAGCCCTGTAGACCTAAAGACATAACTTACTTGTTAACTTCATGTGTAAGTCCATATTGTATAGCCTTAAAGAATCTCTTTTCCTGCCTGCTTGGTAAGTTATCAGCGTCACATAGAGCTACCGCAAAAAATGCAAAATGTTTGGGTAACCAATTCCAATAATTGTGCCATTTTGGCTTATAATGATGTTGTAAACTTATAGATTTCAAGTTGGAATTAAATGGGTTTTGGGTTGAGGTGCGGTAATGTTTGCGCAATGAAAGTCTTTCTAAGACTTTAATGTTGGATTTGAGCAATGTATAAATGCGTGACATTATTGTGTATTAGTAAATTGAGATTTTGAAACATTTCATTGGACAAAAATTTAGATTCAAGTATTTGTGAGGTTATGTTTGACAAATGAGTGAAAATGAAGTTGCTTGATAAGATCAATTTTTGTTTATTCCCGGCTCTTGTATAAAAAGGCCCAAGTTATTCATTTTTAGGTAAACTTGCTGGTAAGTATCTGTAAGATAAATTTATTTCTATTGGTTGAATCATTGTTTGGTACGACATTTCATTTCGGTATGAGTAGTACTACTAATTTGTTTTGGGTAGGACCAAGCCTAAAGCCTAGTTCATATACTTGTGAAAAGCCAATAATGATAATGATCCTATTGGTTAATTTCAAAAATGTCAAGCGGCGGGAAGCCAATTCAACCAATGAGATGGTAATGCGCAATTATAGGTTTGTTCCAACCCATCAAAAAACCGTCCCAAAACAGTTTGGGAACCACTCTGTATACGAATTGCGGTTTCTGAGCAAATATTTCAGGTTTTGCGCAAAATCCTGACGGTAACATTATGGTTTTCTAATGGGTTGGAACAAAACAAAAAAGCGTTCAGCCCAAAGGTTTTTGGGTAGTGAATGAAATTGAGTCGTCACGTTCGAATTGTTAACGCTCATTCAGTCAAACACAGTCAACTCGGGTCGATTAAAGATAAACTCAACATTTATTAAATGACAATAAGACAAGGATCAATAATCTTTCTTAATTCAAGATGGCGATGTGGGCATAGTAAGTTTGACGACCGTGAAGGGGTTTTTACAATCAATTCCAATTGATTACGATTTAAATAAGAATTGAATGTGAACGTGCCTATACGGTTGTAATATTAGGTGTACTATTCCCACGTCGCCATATTGAATCAAGAGAACGTCAAATCGCCCAATTAGGTATTTTGTTAGCAATTATTATAAGCAAAATTTAACAGATGTCACGTGATTTGACACGCGAGAAAAAATGTTCACGTGACGTCCGTCAAAGTTTGTTTTTTTTGCTTGCAGATGCAATTACTGAACCCAGTCTTTGATATTTCTCATTCCCTCAATTTATTATTATTATTCAATATGGCGACAGTTGACATAACAAACTTAACGACCGACATTTAATGCCTATTGATTGCAATTTGAATAATAATTGTAAACGTACCTTTACGGTTAAGTTAATTATGCCCACAGTGTCATATTGAATATTAATAAATTACCTATATGAATGGAGTTACTAAAAGATCAATCTTAGTTTATTCTCACTCAGTTCTTGAATTTGTTTAAATAAGGCCCGGTGGATATTGGATATTGAAATTATTCACCCATTATAACCTATCTTCATAAGTCTCCTTTAGTTCGAATTTCAAGCCCGCCACCATTCCAAAGTACCAGTGATGACGTAGGCAGCATGTCGTTTGTCGTGCAAATAATTTTTTTTATCATATAGGTATCGGAACTACGATCGCTCGCGCAAATTGCTAAAGACACCGTTGATGACGTCGACAACGGTGCAACACCAATGTGACCATTAATCGAAAAATCGATGAGTAATCTTGCTATTAGTGTGTATTATCCTTGATTTTGAACGAACTAATAATGGTGACATGAGCATGATAATACGATTACAATTCATAAGTTGTAATTTGAATTGGAATTGAATGTGAACCCTTACGGTTGTCAAGTTTATTATGCCCACGGCGCCATATTGAGATGATAAAACGTCAAATCGTCCTAAATGTCAGTTGAGTGAAGTTTCTACAAAATCAATTTTTGTCTATTTTTGGCTTTTGAATTTATTTTAATAAGGGCCGGTTTATTCATCTTCTAACAGGTATGTAATGCAATCTTAAGGAGAATATACATTCTAAGGAGTGCTTATCGTTTTTGGTAATCGCCGCCATACTGGTTTTCAACTGTTTTCAACCATTGTTGACGTCATAACTAAGTCGTCAGCTGTTTAAAGAGTCTACGTCAAGGCGAGAAACGTCATGCTGCCTACGTCACAACTGGTTGTTTGGCGTGGGAAGTTAGGGGGGGATTTGTTATACACAGGCCTTATGAGGATAAGCCATCCTGTAGTAGTAGTGTGTGTATCATCCTTGATGCAATCTGACGGATAAAAATATAAATTTTATTCCATTGGTCAGCCATTCAATCGCCGACTAAAAAAATTATATAGTGAATTCTATTGGTAGAACCAATTTGGAAATATTTATTACAATGTCGGTATTACAGGGCTCTTCCAATAGAATTCGCTATTAGTAGGCTTTGGAAATATCTACTGCAATGTTGGTATTACAGGTGTTTTGTTTGAGCGCCAAATTCAAATTTTGGAATTTTCCAAAGCCTACTTGGTCGCTTGTCAAACTGTCATGTTGCTACATCGACTTCGATTACCAGCGTTGCCAACTTTAGGAAATGTTGTTTCGTTTCTATCAGAGGCTCTTGAATTTTCTTTATTTGAAGAAATTTAGGAAAGATTCGAGAGCCGGTAATAAACAAAAATTGAGATAAGTGTAGAACAAAAGGTTTCTTCATCTCTTTCTTATACAAGTTAGTAAAAAAAGACACGAATACACTTAGTGCGCACACTGGCGCCGACTACATGGGGGCATTGGGGGCGTGCACCTATGAACAACCTCTCATGGGTGTGAAGCACCCATGGGAGATCTCGTAGGGATTGTGGAAGTATAAATGTGTTTATTGGTCATTCCATTCCGTGTGGTAGCATCAGTATCATTTAATTTAAATTTACACAACTTTGTATAAGAATTATACAATGGCCGTCGGCTGAGTTCCTTTTTGTCATCTTTTTTGTTGATTTGTTCCGAAATTTTGACAGGCACGTGATTTGTGAATTAAAACTGTCTTATCCAGTCACGTGTCTATCAAAATTTCGGACCAAATCGACGAAAAAGATGACAAAATCGAACTCGGCCTATACAAGTGGTGTTAGTACTCTGTCCTTCCATTATGTGGTCAGTTCTATGCTCTACTACATAGGCATTATAGGTAATTTTTCGCGAGGAAAACCAAGCATACTCGATTTTGCTCAGATGTTATGTGATCAATTTTGTCATACTCCCTTAACTCCCCCACTATCAAATTCTGGAATAATCGGGGATCAAGAACACTTAACTTTTTCTATGAGAACAGGCTGAAAATCATCTATTCTACATTTAAAATCGATGAAAAAATTAACTCCACTAGCACAGCCTGAATGGCAAGCATTCCATTGAGGTCTGCAGGTGACGTCATCGCTATGAAATACTGATAGTGACGTCACTCGCAGGCCCAGAATTGGTTGGGGAGGGATTTAGGGGAGTATGACAGTACAATTCACACATAACATCTGAGCATATTCAGATTATGTTTGATTATCCCAGTCCCGCGCTTGTGCGCGGGACTGGGATAATCAATAATAACTGGAAAGATACGGCGCAGGGGTTGACAGTGACAGTCTGACAGTTGACAGGGGCGGCTAAAACAAATAAACAAAATAAAACGTCACTTAGAGCGTGTGCGTAGTGCGTAGCAATTAAATGAGGAAATAGTATATTGTGCAACAAGTGTTGAAAATAGTACTTTTCACACGCGTGGGGAAGTTCGGTGACACGAGCCGCAGGCGAGTGGCACACACCGCACGAGTGTGAAAAGTGCTTTTCACACGCTTTAAGCCTAGTACTCATAACTGCGAAATTCGCATTTTTTTGACATTGCGTTGACAATTTGACGTTTTATGCGTGTATCAAACGTCAAATTATCGAAGCAATGTCAAAAAAATGCGAATTTCGCAGTTATGAGTACTAGGCTTTACACACTATAGACTACGACTGCGAAATAAGAAGGTATATTTATCTTGCAGATAGTTACCAGCAAGTTTATCTGCAGATGAATAAACCAAGCCAGGCCTTAATAAAGGAAATTCAAGAGTCTGGAATAGAAAAAATATGAATTTTTCATAAAATATGTCGTTACTGTATGAAAAGGTTGAGTCCTAGGTGCTTTCCAGTGACCCATTTGAGTTACTCCTGAGCAACTCAGGACTGCTCCACAATTGCTTCGCGCGTTCCAGTGCTTAGAGTGTCGTACTCTTGAACTACTCATTTCTGTTATCCTCTGCCCCCTCGTGCACCAACCTTTAATTCGGTGTTCCATGCCCAAGTCCGAAATGGCGGGGGTTAAGACGAGAGCGTTCCAGTGCTGGTTATGTCGAACAGTTCAAGAGCGTCACACTTTAGGAGCATGATACTCTAACAATTTAGGCACTGGAAAGCAGCCACTGTAACAAATGTAAATAAGTGTAAAGTGTGACCACGACCTAAGAACAAGGGCGTTTCTCATGGCGTTTCCGATTGGCGGAACTAGTGCAATTTTTTCTATTTCTGTCTTTTTCTTCTACAGGTCGATTAAAAGGATGCAAATACACTCAGTGCGCACTGAATCTACCAATCGGAAACGCCATCAGTTATAATCAGTGCAAAAAAAAAAATATTTCTATCTGGTTCTTTCACAGGTGGAGAGAAAGAGATGGAAATACACTTAGTGTACATTAAATCTTTCAAACAAAAACGCCATATGAATATTTGACATGTCATTGCCGATACGTTTAGTATGAACCGCGCCTTGGAAAGAGTTTACATCGATAAAAAAGGATATCGTATCGATAAATCGATAAACCCTCCTCTCAACATTATCGATACTGTACCATTCCTAAAAATCATTAGTTCGCCATCCGATTCCTAGATGGCGCCAGTACTAACGTCAACAAAAACTCAACGCCACCTACCTCTGCGCTGTCGCTATTATTTTTATTCGTGTCAAAGATGGATTCCGGTCCTGACGTGTTAGATTACGAATCGCGTGCGAAACGGCCGAAAATCGACTTGGACGACCCTAATGGCGGCGAATTGCGGGACGGCGATGGATTTTCTCGATTTTCGGCGACAATTCCGTCCCCGATCGGCCACGCAGAAGGTAAAATTTCGAAAATATATTTTTGATACAAAAATTCAATATGGCGCCGCGGTCTCGTTCCGACATTTTGTAGGTGTGGCTCGACTATTTTTGATTTTTCCCTAGTTTTTTTTGCCCAAAGCCTATTTTTATTTCTATGTGTTGATGATTTTTGGTTGCAATAAACGTTTTTATTTCCTATTTGTTATTTATTTACCTTATTTTTGTTTATTTATGTTTTTCTGTCAACAGTGTCAATGTCAGCTAGTTTTGCAATGTTGCCAAACTTTGTATAAATAATGATATTTTTCATAAAACAAATTTTCCAAAAATGTTTTTTTCTTTTCAAGGACTAACAACAGATTGTGATTCAGGATACGAAGCCTCCAACTTGGAATCCATACAGACCCATTCACCACAACATCCAGATACTCAAGAGAGCATGTCCAACTTATCAGCGTCATGCTGTCCCACTCCCACTCATGAAAACAATGATACTTCACAGGTAAAGTCTTGAATTTATAACATACAACAAAAACTAACATTTTTCTCTATAGGAAAGCTTAGAAGAAGAGGAAGAAGAAGATGATGATGAGGATGATAACACATCAACAGTCAGTAACCTAAGTGACATAAGTGGCCTGTCAAATTTGAGCGGTCAAGATTGGAAACCAATGGCAGGCAGCATGATTTGGATCCAACAACAAATGCAAAAAGGCATGAACCCCAGAGCCATTCTAACAGATTTGGGTGTAGATTTAGATTTAATTCCCACTTACGTGGATGATCTTACCCTATGGAAAATTGTCATAAATGTCTTAGCAGAGCCACCTAGAAGGCACAAGCTAAAACACATTAACACCTTAAACGATGTAGTAAGATTATTAAAAGGAGCTCAAAAAATTATAGTCCTAACAGGGGCTGGAGTGTCAGTATCTTGTGGCATACCAGACTTCAGATCTAGAGATGGCATTTATTCACGTTTAGCAAAAGAATTTCCAAATCTACCAGATCCTCAAGCAATGTTTGACATTGGCTACTTCAGTCAAGATCCTAGACCGTTCTTCAAATTCGCCAAAGATATTTATCCAGGCAAATTCAAGCCAAGTCCTTGTCATAGATTCATAAAACTCTTAGAACGTCATTGTAAGCTACTAAGAAACTACACCCAAAACATTGATACATTGGAAAAAGAGGCAAACATTGAAAATGTTATAGAGTGTCATGGCTCATTTGCAACAGCTACTTGTACAAAATGCGACCACAAAGTCAGTGCAGACAAAATAAGAAACATCGTCTTGGCTCAGAAAATTCCTATGTGCGAAGTCTGTCACGAGAACTCAGAAATTTCAATGTCAACTGATGACTCGACAGAACAAACTCCTGACTTTAAAAGCCTAGTAATGTCTGGAATTATGAAGCCTGATATAGTATTTTTTGGTGAAGGCTTGCCTGATACTTTTCACGAATCAATGACAGCAGACAAAACAGAATGTGACTTGTTGTTGGTGATTGGCAGTTCCTTAAAAGTAAGACCAGTGGCGCTGATTCCAAGCTCCTTACCTGCTCATGTGCCTCAGATTTTAATCAACCGTGAACCTTTGTCGCACTGTCATTTTGATGTAGAGCTTCTAGGAGATTGTGATGTCATTATAAATCATTTATGTAAATTGTAAGTAATAATGATTATTATAAATTAAATTTGATTTATTAGTAATATTGTATAGGTTGGGTGAAAATTGGGAAGAAGGCATTTATAGTCAGCAACAGTTGGTGGAAGTTCCAGAATTATTGCCAGAACAATCAGAAAAACAGTTTGACATAAGCAAGTGGCGAGGAGTGCAAGGGAAATTGTCTTGTTCTGATGAGAATTTGCTTTTGGATTCAGAAGAATGTGAAGCCAATAGTTCGTCAAATCAAACATCTGGCCCTTGTATATTAGAAGGTGAGTAAATATGACACATTTCAATTATTTATTCAAAAACTATTTAAAGCACAACTATGAGATTTTGAGGGAATATTTTTGAGGTTTAGAGGTAAAACATACCGAAAATTCAAATTAATTGAACAAAAAATTGCAAGGTTACAAAGTTTTTAAAATTGAAAATTTTTTCTAAAGGGCTAAATATGACATGTCTCTGCATTTTGACAATTTACTCGAAAACTAGTTGAAGCATAAACATGACATTTTGAGGTGATATTTTTGAGGCTTAGAGGCAAAACATACTGAAAATTCAAATCAATTGAATAAAAAATTGCAAAGTTACAGGATTTTTAAAAATGAACATTTTCTTCTATAAGGCTAAATATGACATGCCTACATTTCTTGACCATTTACTCAAAAATTAATTGAGTCTCAAATATGAGATTTTGAGGGAATATTTTTGAGTCTTTGAGGCAAAACATACTGAAAATTCAAATCAATTGAATAAAAAATTGCAAAGTTACAAGATCTTTGAAATTGAACATTTTTTTTTTCTATAAGGCTAAATATGATATGCCTCTATATTTTGACCATTTCCTCAAAAACCACTTGAGGCTCAAATATAAAATTTTGAGGGAATATTTTTGAGTCTTTGAGGCAAAACATACTAGAAATTCAAATCAATTGAACTAAGAATTACAAAGTTACAAGATTTTTAAAAATGGATATTTTCTTCTATAAGGCTAAATATGACATGCCTACACATCTTGATGATTTGCTCAAAAAATAATTGAGGCTCAAATATAAAATTTTGAGGGAATATTTTTGAGTCTTTGAGGCAAAACATACTAAAAATTCAAATCAATTGAGCTAAGAATTACAAAGTTACAAGATTTTTGAAATTGAACATTTTTTTCCAGATAAATCCTTCAAGGAAAGACACACAAGTACAGACTCGGTAGCTCGCGATTCTGGCATTGGAGAAAATTCGAATTTCGCAGACTTGGAAACAGAAGCAAATACCAGCGAAAAAACCGAAAAGGTAAGCAATTTTTGGCAGTCCAAGGACAAACGCAGCCTGGCAGAAAGACTGCCCGCCAACAGTTTCCATTTGCTATTGCCCAGCAGGTACATTTTTCCAGGGGCGGAGGTTTATAGCGAAGAAAACGACGATTCGGGCTCTTCTGATGAGTTGTCTGAGTATTGTTAGGGATTGTTTTTGTTGTTTGTTGTTGTTTATTTATGTAAAATATTATTTTTTTATTGCAATTTATGTATATTTTGAATGGATGGGTGTATTATTATTAAAACTTATCTCAATTATCTTTTGCGTAATTTAATTGTACAGGGTAATTTTTTATATTTATCCACCTCTCTTAACTTTTTTGTGCCACTGTGTATAAAAAAAATATAAATAGATCTAAGTTGCACAGTGGCACAAAAATTTTAAAGGGGGTGGAAAAATATAAAAAAATTACCCTGTACTTATAATAATTAATGAATATGTTACTAATTAGTGTAAATGTAAATTTAAGAGTTGGAATAATAGAAATGATCTCCATAAAACCCTATTGTTGTAAATTTGGCGGGAAATTTTCAAAAAAAAAAGTGCAATAATACTTAAATCATACAAAAACAAGAAATTTTCCAGCCCTAAAATCATCTCATATATTTAACTTTGTAAACTTTTCGACTGATTATTTATTTTAAATCGCTTTAATGTCAATTAACCCTCTACATTAATGTAATATTTAAGGGTATTTTTCCTAATTGTTAAGGGCCACTTGGCAAAGTAAAAGTCTTATGATAAATTTAATTTTCTCTCGTAGCTCGTAGGACTTTGTTATTTATTTTTTAAGGGCGACCATATCATTAACGGATTGTTTGGTTTCCCATTGTGCACAGATCAATATTTTTTTATGAGACGACAATCGAAAAATTGAGTATTATGTTAGTTTAATTTATTATTTTGTAAAAGGGAGCCGATTATTTAATTAATTGTAGACTCACTTAGGGTTAATTTCTCAATAGGAAGTTACCCTTAAGTTGAGCATAACTCCAGGGTGAATATTGCAATTGGACATGTTTAACCAACCTGGGCCTGTATTCTCACAAATGGGGAACAGCGTTCTCTTGTGACGAGAATACAGGCCCTGAAAGTGTGACTCTCTATTGAGAAACTGACCCTTATAGATTAATTATAATTATTGATATTATTAATTTATACTTTACAAAGATTGATATCTTTTTGATTTAAGTATTGTTTTTTTATTATTTTTTTTTATAGAAACTTTTTTTATTTAATTTATATTGATTTTGGGTGTAAATATTATTATATTTAACAATAATTATGGTTCTAGAGCAATAAAATCTATAGTTTCTTCTATAAAATGTTTGTTTTAATTATCCTCAAAATATACCTTTTTGCGTTTCTGTTCTCCTGATACAAATTTGAATTTTTGAGAAAATTTTAACAGTTTTATTTTGTATCAGGAAAGCAGAAATAGGAAGAGGTATTTTCCATTTCCATGCGTTCCTGTGTTCCTGATACAAAAAAAAAATTGTATCAGGAGAACAGAAATATGAAGAGGTATTTTTCATCTCTTCACGTTCCTGTGTTCCTGATACAAAATTTTATTTTTGAGAAAATTTTAAAAATTTATTTTGTATTAGGAGAGCAGCAATGCAAAGAGGTATATTTCATCTCTTCGCGTTCCTGTGTTCCTAATACGAAATTGAAAATTTCGAAATTTTTCAAAAAGTCCGATTTTGTATTAGGAACACAGAAACGTGAAGAGATGAAAAATATCTCTTCGTGTTTCTGCTCTCCTGATACAAAATAAATTTTTAAAATTTTCCTAAAATTTTTATTTTGTATCAGGAACACAGGAAGGTGAAGAGATGAAAAATACCTCTTCATATTTCTGCTCTCCTGATACAAAATAAAAATGTTAAAATTTTCCCAAAAATAAAATATTGTATCAAGAACACAGAAACGTAAAGAGATGAAAATTTCAGGAAAAATACCTCTTCATACTTCTATGCTCCTGTTTCGAGGTATTTCTTTTAAAATTTTCACATTAAGAGGTGAACATTTGGATTTTTTTGAATAAAACACAAAGTAATAATTTTTATTTGTTTTTATTAATATAAACAATATGGAATCATCATAAATAAATTTGATAAGGATAATTAACAAATTTCTGTCTTCTTGACTTCGTGGCGAAGGAAAATACGCAACGAATTCGTCATCCTGTCAAGAAAAGGTAAAAATTAGTCAGTTTTTTAGTAAATTTCGTGAAAATGCTAATAAACAATTGATAACCATGACATCACTTAGGGTGCCCATGCCCAAACACGATGCAAATTTCCATTAAAATGACGTCATTTATTTCCCATTACCAAATAACGTATTAATTATGTCATACCCACGTCGCCATTTTGAATTATCAACTAGTTAATCAAATCAAGGATATTACACATTATATAGGATAGGTTATCTTCATAAGTTCTATGTAGATCGAATCTCAAATTCTTTACCACGCCAAAGTACTAGTGATGACATCGATAACAGTACAACACCATATGATCTTGACAACGTGTCAACTATGTTATGTTCACGTCGCCATCTTGAATTATTACCTGGTTCAAATCAAGGATATTACACACTACATAGAATAGTTTATCCTCATAAGTTCTAGGTAGATTGAATCTCAAGCCCTCCACTACGTCAAAGTACTAGTGATGACGTCAATAACAATACAACAACATATGATCTTGATTCTAAAAATCGAAGTTGATCAGCCATCCTGTAGTAATGTGTAATACCCTTGAGTTCGAATTGCTTAAAATTTTGTCCAACGAACCTATAGAATATGACAGAGTCAAAATGGCGGCCAAGTTTACACTGAATACTGATTTATGCCATTCATTTATTTTAAAATTTTACAAAAAATTATACAGTGTAAAGCCGGCTGATAAATTATCAAAAGTAACGAACTTTTCTTAAAGAGGTTTTGTTATTTTTCACTCTGTAGATATGAGTATAATTACCGTCTGATTTTTGATTAATACTTCAAAATTTATATTGAAAATGAAGAAGAATATGGCGGCGAAGGTGTGACTTATTTCTAGAATCCTATTAAAAATTAGAAAGAATATGGCGTTGGAACCTCTAGTTTGGTAGCTGATGCCATCACTAGAGAAGTCAACTCGATTTAAATCAATGAAAAAGTAAAAATCCTCTATTTCAGGCTTTTGAATTTTCTTTATTGAGACAAATTCGAGAGCCAGGAATAGACAAAAATTGATTTGGGAAAACTGACTTACCATAAAGGTTTTTGCTAAGAAAAATGGCATTTTATCAAAATTAGCTTTTTATTATGCAAATTATAACTAGAAATGGTGTAGTGATGACGTCGATAACGGTGCTACACCATATAACCTTAATTCCAAAAATTGAGGCCGATCAGTCATCCTGTAATAGTGTATAATATCCTTGAGTTCGAATTGCCCAATTGCGGTCCTATTTTTCATTAATCCTTCAAAATCCTATGTACAGGGTCATTTTTTATATTTTCCCACCACTCTTAACTTTTTTCTGTCACTGTGTATAAAAAAAATGTAAATAGAAAAGGTGTAGTGCTTGAAAAATAGTTCTCAGAAAACATAGTTTTGTTTATACAGGGTGTTGCAAAAAGTTTAAAAAACGGAAATATTTTTTTTTTCAAATGGGACACCCAGTATATTTTGACATTTTTGGATTTTGCGAAAAATTCTAGACATATTTCATGTATAATGTTATATGCCTATTTTCAACTGTTTCGGAAATAATGACAGTAGAAAATTGACTTTTTTGCAACTTTGAGAGGCTGTAAAACAGGAATGTAAAATTGGTGGTTTTACAGTCTGTCAAAGTTGTAAAAAAGCAATTTTCAACTGTCAATATTTCCAAAACAGTTGAAGATAGATATATGACATTATGCATTGAAATATGTCTAGAATTTTTCGCAAAATGTCATAAAATACAGGGTGTCCTATTAAAAAAAATTTTTTTTTGTTTTTTAAACTTTTTGCAAAATCCTGTATAAACAAAACAATTTTTTCCGAGAACTATTTTTCAAGCACTACAACTTTCCTATTTGAATTTTTTTTATACACAGTGGCACAAAAAAGTTAAGAGGGGTAGGAAAATATAAAAAATGACCCTGTACCTATTCATATTGAGAATGAAGAAGAATATGGCGGCGGAGGCGTGACTTGCTTCGAGATTTTTATTTAATATTAGGAAGAACATGGCGAAATTTTGGTTTGGAATTTATTGGCATTTTTTTTGAATTTTTTGGAATCAGTGGTACGACCATCATGAGCGTTGCAAGGGAGGGAACACAAATTAAATTATTTTTTTTTACAAGCGCGCGAAAATCGCATTTTTACACACCGATTTGCGTATGGAAAGTACCACTTTACCATACAGGGTACGCGAAAAAAAAATTATTGCACCACGTGCGCGAAAAAAATTGTCACAGTGGTACTTTCCGCACGCAAATCGGTCCGTGAAAACGCGTTTTCTTGTAAGAGAAATCGAATCCAAAATTTTACATCTTGCACAAAACGCCGTTGCATGCGGAAAAATATAACTTTCCGCACTTATTTAATAAAAAACCATTAACTGCGTTCCTTTTTCATTAATTAAAAAATTAATTATCAATGCACTTTTACTTGTTACATCACGTAAGAGTTAAATATGCCCCTCTCTTCTACTTGCTGTAGTGCAATTTCAAAACTAGACTAGAGGGGAACCTACCAATGATAATATTATTATTAGTATATGATTGCTAGAAACGTAAAAAGTTTAACAATAAATGGGTTCAAGATCGTTGTACGTGCAATAAGTGGTTCCGGTACCCAAGGTAAAAATTTTTAGAATCAAACTTTTCTGTCACGGTTATTTACCTGATAAAATTGATATTTTGCAATAGAGTATTATTTATGTATTATGTGATAAGAGAGGTATACGTATAGCGTGGCAGTGTTTTTGGTTAAATATGGGCAAGTTAATAAATAATAAATTTTTTAGTCAATTTTTAATAACATGAGCGGAAAAATGTTTGAGGAAACGACAAAATCGAAAATCCCAATGCCGTCGCCGACCCCTTTTCGAAAACAACCCAGTCTACGTAATAGCAATATTAATACAAGAAACAGGTATTACTGTCAAACAAATTATCCCCTATAGATAAAACTTGGAAAATCGATAACTTACCCTCGTTTTTAGCCAAGAGAATTGTGCAGGGGGCGGTTGCCAGTCTGCCAACGGCGCTGCACTGCAAAGGGGCGGCTCGTTCATGGAAAATAATGGAAGATTTTCGCAGCAGCTGAGGCCCAATTCGGTCAGAATTGGAGGAAAATCCGAAACAAATCCGCCTACGGAAAGAATCAGAAGTTTAGTAAGTAATTTTATTAATAAATATTATTATTAAAAATAATCACAAGTTTTCATGGTACATTTAACTTAAAGCTTATCAGAGCGGCTATTTTTCCATTTTCTTGTTTTAAGATGTCTAAAAATGGAACTTTCTTTTTATTTCCAATAAATATAAGACGGATGTTGATAATGTTGTAGATTGGATCTTAATAAAATCTTGTATTTTTGGGCCTTATTACAAAGCAAATTTGAAGTCAATGTAAAGTTCAGAAGGCTTTTGAATAAGCGTTTTTATTCTCTTGTGAAAGAAAAATCTCCATACAATTCCTCGATTCACAAATCATTATTGCAACAATTCGAGCAGCGCATGAATAAGTTAAAAATGTATACACGAGAATTTCAGTTTTACTGTTTGAATTTTACATGCCGTTCTTGCATTGCATTTTCTTTTGCTCGATATTATAGTCTAGATTTCACCACGTCATTGGCAACAAGAACAGTTATAATTATTAATAAGTAAATAATGAACAAGTTTAAGGTAAATTCACATGTTGTTAATAATAATTTTTAAATAATATTTTTGTTTGTAGTCGTTGTCATTGTCCAACACTCGAATAAACAGTCCAAAATCGCCCGGGACAACTTCCATGATAAGCAAGAAATATTCGTCCAGCCAATTGGATTCTTGGGACACTGACAGCATAACAAGTATAGGTAAGTAATAAAGAATTTAATTAGAGTTTAATTACCTTGAAATTAAATGTCTTAGTATCATTGATTAATATTAAAATAAAATAATTATTGTATCTTCTTCAGGAAGCAGTGTGGCGTCTTGTGATCACGCCAGCATTGCCCGAAACGGTACAACTTTTTCCGGAAGAAGTATGAAGTAAGTTTACTTATTTCCCAATAAAAATTATGTTACAAAAACTATTTTAACAGGTATGTGTTCCACTGTAATCAACAAGCAGACGTTGCAGGAGAAGATTACCTAACACCCACTCAACGAGCTCACCGGCAAGTAAAAAAACTCAAATACTTATTGCAACAGGCCAAAAACGATTTAGAGCAAAAAGACAGCGACATTTTAAAACTTACCAAAGAAGTAGTGGAGTTGAGGCTTTACAAAGCAGCTTTAAATTCACCAGAAGATAAATCAAACAGCAGTGAAGCTATAACAGTCAGGGAAATTACTCCCGATGAAACTGACAATCAGCAACCGAGTGAATTGCTGGCATCGTTTGCTGATTCTGGTCATTATGAAGACGGTACTAACTCTTCTATTCATTCAAACGACGATTATTCCAGGTTAGTACAAAACTTTGAACTTCAATATCTTGAAAAGTATTAGAGCTATTTAATTGAATCTTATTTTATGTTGAAGATAATTTAATTCTGATTAAAAACAATATAACTTTGTGTTGGAACTTTTCAAATATTAACAATGCTATGGACGATTTTGACAGCTGGATTCATAGTTCCGTAAGCATATCGGTATCCATATCCATAGGAATTAGCCATAAGAATGTAAGAAATCAAATTCAATTCATAATTAAACGCAACGTAAATGTAACACTCTGTAATGTATAGGAGGGCGAGAATCAGCTGAGGGCGGACTCTCCCTAGGATAATAAACGAATGTGAACCGAGTCCGCCCGATTCCGTAGCGGTAACATAAGAAATGGAATTAGACCATTTGCTTATGACTACGTTATGCTTACGGTTACTGCATATATCTTATGTTGGACTGTGAAGCATTAGTTCATTTCCCTTATGGTTAATTCTTAAGGATATGGATACTGATACCGTTAATGCTTACAGAACTATGAATCCAGCTTAGACAATGGGTACATTCAAGCAATCCCAGCGGCTTAGCTCAGCCTCTCAGCAGGAACTTTATTCTCGAAACCAAGAAACAGCATTACTCTGTCATTATCAGTGTTTTGCTGGACAGCAAAGACAGAACCTTCGCTGTTTTTTTGGTTTTGAGAATAAAGTTCCTGCTGAGAGGTTGAGCTAAGCCGCTGGGACCGCCTGAATGTACCCAATGTTTACCTTTTGGAACCAAAAATGCACAATCAACTTTCCATTCGAAAAAACAAATTGTAAAAACGCTTTTCCACTAATTTTGACCTCCTCTTTTCATTGGTAAAATCAAAAATTGAAATTGATGAAAATTTGAAAAAATCACTTGTGCAAAATACTTCCAATGATTACAGTGATTCTCAAAATTTTCAGAATTCATATTAATTAAAGTTTCTTCTCTATAGAAAAGTCAATTAAAAGTTGTTAACTTCCCAAATAAATTAAACAACAATTTGCAATACTAAATAAAGTTTGTAATTATAAAAATGGAAAATTACTTTCTCTTCTCTAATGTCGATTAAAGGCGATTAACCAGTCGGTTATATTGACAGATAAACGATGCATTTAACGTCATTTATAACCGATTGGTTGACAAATGACGTTTGCTTCATTGATTATCTGTCAACTATGACCGACTGGTTAATCGCCTTTAATCGATGTAACTTTCAACAACACAATTTTCTTTGGCGCTCTTTTTTGATTGACACACTTCTGTATCGACTTTTGACAAAAGACATTACTAAATGACATTACATGAACATAGCCACAGATGCTAACTTCAACTACTGATTGGTTTTCATAAATCTGAATTAGTTCTACTCTAATTGCTCCAATCAACAAAAGTGCAATTTGGTTTAGAATTTCCAAAACTTTCTGTAACAATAACAAATTATTTTTAGGTCTCCTTATAAGCTCAAACTAGTAGAAACTTCAGACAAAAGCTGCACAGCACACCTTTCCGAAAAAACCTCTTCAGAGCAAAGCAAACTGATAATGGAATACGAAAAACGCATCCAAGAACTGGTGCGCACCCACGAAGAAGACACCTATCATCTCAAGCAAAAGCACAACAACAAAATCGAAGAATTACTACAAAGAATCACGGAAATAAACGCAAGATATTGGGATCTTGTTCCAGAGCTCGATATTGCCAAAGATAAAATACGCGAACTCGAAATACAACTGGAATTGGCTAGTGAGAATTTGCAAAAACATCAAGAGAAAAATAAGGAGGAAGTTGAAAATTCTGTTATGGAAATTGCCAGGCAACATCCAAACAGAGTATCAGTTCCGGAGCTTCTAACAGAACTGCAAGTGACCAAAAACGAGCTAGAAAATATCAAGGTAAGTAGGTTTTTGATGTGTAAACATTTGGCGGAAAATGGGACGAAAGTGTGAAAGGGAATGAAACGTCATAATCCATAGTTATATGTTATTGGTATGCAAAGTAGCATCAGACAATTCGAACCCAAGGATTTTACACACTACTACAAGAATATAGTAGATTTTAGAATCAAGGTCATATAGCGTTGCACCGTTGTTGACGTCATTAACGGTGTCATTAGCTGTGTGCGGCGTACGTCCAAAGAAAATGTGCACCAGCGGCATAAATTAACAAGATTGTTCATTCTCATAGGATGTACGTTTAGCAATTCTCGAGTCGACAGGGTCTGCGATTGACGTCATCGTGATTTGACCTATAGTGTTTTAAATTGAGATAATGCATTTTACGCCAAAAGTTGAAGTTTGCAGCTATCCTCTATAGTATGTGATATCCTTGATTCGAACTAGTTGATAATTCAAGATGGCAACGTAGGCATAAACATTGCCCCCATATAAATGTTTAAAAAAATTAATTTGATAAAAATGGTAGAGGGGCCTAAATAGAAGTGCTACATGCATACTGCGATGTTAAAAACTCAAGTTGTGTGGTAATGGGTAACTTGATGACGTCATCTAAGGTGTTTCATAAAGATCTGCATTATGTTGAGGCACCCCAAATGACAATATAAAAATTAAAGCATGCCTTACCAATCTTGACATTTATTTATGACAATTATAAAGTGGTTCAAAGGCAAATACTTTAAAAATTGACAGAAAATACACAAATCTCTTATAGTAATCAAGTTTGTTATGTCCACAGTGCCATCTTGAATAATAAAAAAATTGAGAATTCGTCAAACATTGTCCTAATAGATTTTCATGTCAATGTTCAAAACAAGAGGTTGCGTGATAACTTTTATGACGTCATTGGTATACAAGGTGGCATTAGTTTTCACAAGGATATTACACTAAACTACAGAATTTCTTATCGGCCTCGGTTTTTGAAATCAATGTCATAATGATGTTACACTGTTGTCGACGTCATCAACGATGTCATTAGTTGTTTGCGCCAGGAGTCGTAAACTAAAAAACAACATTGCTGATCCTCGAAATCGGCAGGGTCTGCGAGTGACGTCATCAATATCAGTAGATAATAATTACGACGTCGCCCGCAGACCCCAATTAGTTAATTTTAAATGTAGAAAAGATGATTCTAACAAAATTTTAACGTTTAGGAATTAATTTTTTTTGACCTATAATGTTTTAAACTCTGATAAATTTTACGCCAAAAGTTGAGGTTTGAGATTATCCTTATCCTATGTAGTGTGTAATATCCTTGATTCGAACTAACTGATAATTTAAGATGGCGACGTGGGCATAAACATAAACAACCATTGTCCCCACATAAATGTATGTTATTTTTACCTGTTTCAGGGTTCAATTTGATGAAAAGAATAGAGAGGCCTAAATACAAGTGCTACATGCATACTGCGATGTCAAAAACTGCTAGGTTGTCTGGTAATGGGTAACTTGATGAAGTCATCCAAGGTGCGTTATTGAAATATGCATTATGTTGAAGCATCCTAGATGACATCATAAAAGTTATCAGGCAACCTCTCCCAAATAACCTTGGATAAATGGCATCGTTTAAAATGCCGTGCTAATTTTGATATTTATTTATAATAAATATAAAGTGGTTCAGAGGCAAATGAATAACAAAAATATACACTACAGCCAAGGTTATTTGAGAGAAATAGGTTGCCTAATAACTTTATGACGTCATCTGGGGTGCCTCAACATAATGTAAATAATGCAAATTTTCATAAGGCACTGTGTCATTAAGTTACCCTTCACCAGGCAACCTATTAAATTTAAAAACCTTGCAGCACAACAACGCCAAAAATAGAAAATTACATAAAAAAAAAGACAAAAACACTTTAGAAATACACAAATCTCTTATGGACGTCAAGTTTGTTATGCCCACGTTGCCATCTTGAATATCAAAAAATTGACAATACGTCAAACATCGTCCTATTAGATTTTCATGTCAATATTCAAGGCTATTTAAAACAAAAGGTTTTTATGACGTCATTGGTGTGGCACTCACGAAATGTTTACACATCGCTCATTTAACTATCTTTTTGGTGATTTTAGGACGTAGAGTACGCGTCGACGTCTAACCATCCGTTTCTCAGTGCCAAAGAGGCGCTGTCGTTGTGGGTACTCGGTGCACGGAAGGTAAAGTTCTGGCTTTTTGTGCACCAACGTTTAAGTAGTCATTTGGCACTGTGTAGTATTTGCATGGAATGTTTAGCATGAACTAGAGCAATTTTTATTGATTTCCTCGTTCTAAAATCTACTGAAAATTGGGAAAAAACAAAGTACGGTCATTTTTCTGGTAAAAAATACAATTTTAAAATGGCCGCCCAAGGCCTACTTCGATGTTTATTTTGAAAGGTGAAGTTAGCTAATAATTACAGTGACTCAATAAACCTTTACAGTTGCGACAATAAAGGTCCCGCCGCCATATTTTTGCTAATTTTGAATATTTCATTGGTGAATATAGAAGTGAGCCACGCCCCCGCGGCCATATTCTTGCCAATTTTTAATATGAATGTATAATGAACGAGTTCAGAAATACAACAATTGAATTCTATTAAAAAAACTAGTACGAACTGAGTATATTCGTGTCTTTTTCTATCAGCTTGCATAAGGAAAAGAGAAAAATAGTTATTTTTTTCTGCACTGACTTTACTAATGGAAATCACTATAAAATGGCCATACAAGGCCTACTTTGACTTATTGAAAGGTGAAGTTAGCTATTACAGTTTTCACTTACCATGGACATATTTTCTATGAAAAATGACAAAAATTACCATGCCGAATATAGAAATTTAATTCCTCGTATAACAAAGTCCATTTTAAGACATTTTTCAGCACGAAAATCTCCTGAAAATCGGGAAATATTCGAGAAAAACCAGAGCAAAATACTACAACAGCCATTTTTGTTAAAAACACAATTTTAAAATGGCCGTCCAAAGCCTACTTTGATATTTTCGAAACGTGAAATCGAATGATAATTGTCTCTTTTCAATAGTGTTTATTGAAGAAAGCTAGAAAATAAGCAGCTGGTTAAATGGATCACCAATACACCAATGTTTGGTAACTAATACCACCATTAAAAAAGTGAACTTAATTTGATTGAGCGAAAAAGAGAAAGCACGATTGTAGGATAAATTTTAAAAATTGAGTTGGAAAAATATTTTCTCTATTCCAGGCTCTTGAATTATCTTTGTTGAAAATTGAAACAAATTCGAAAGCCGGGAATAGATATAAAATTATACGACGGTCATTTTTCTTGAAAATCACAATTTCAACATGGTCGCCCAAGGCCTACTTTGATGTTTATTTTAAAAAGTGAAGTTAGCTGATAGTACAGTGAATGAATAAACCTTTACAGTAACGACAAAAGAGATCCCGCCGCCATATTTTTGCTAATTTTAAATATTTCATTGGTGAGTATAGAAGTGTGGCATACCTCTACCGCCATAGTTTTGCCAATTTTCAATACGAACATATAGGATTCCAAAAATAAGACGGCAATTGCCGCCACTGTAGCTAATATAACAATTTCTACTTATCATCGATTTTCTATGAAAAATGGCATTTTTATCTGAAAATTACCGTGCCGATTATGGAAAATTCAATTCTTAGTATCACAAACAGCATTTTTCACCCTAAAATCGGTAAATTTTCGAGAAAAACCAGAACAAAATACAATTTCGACCATTTTTGTAAATAACACAATTTTAAAATGGCCGCCCAAGGCCTACTTTGATGTTTTTGAAACGTGAAGTTAGCTAATGAATAATTTTCAGTTTTTTTGATGAAAAATTAGATTTTCTTTAAAAATTTAATTCCTTGCACCTTTTTCCCATAAAACTACCAAAACGCAATACGGCAATCCAATGACCTGTCAAAACATCAATTCAATATGGCAGCAATAGCCAAACATCTGCGATCTATGTTTTTGTGTATAAAAATATCAAAACCCAAAAATGGCGGCCATGGTGAAACTATGAAATTGGCACCAAGGATTTCGTTTACCTTCAAACAACAACTGTTTTTTGTGTATAATTTGTGGAGTTTTAAGGGGATTTTCAATTGCTCGAAAAAAATAATTTTCATATAATGTATAAACAAAAAAATAAACACACATCATAGATGTTTGCCCGTTGCCGCCATATTGAATTAATGTTTTGACAGGTCGTTGAATTGATCCATTTTAAAATGGCCGTCCAAAGCCTACTTTTGATGTTTTCTGTATGTAGCAAATTGTGCACTTGTAAAGTAGAATCTTTGTGCATGACATTTTCCTCATTTAACCCATGACAATATTATTTTCTAGGCAATGTACCGTCAACTAACGGAAGCCAAAAGCCGGAACAAAATCGATCCGGAAATAACGCTTCAATTCCTTAAATCCGCCGTCTACTATTTCCTGACCGACAAGGAAAATTCCAGCGGACACCTCAAGGCAATTCAAAGCATTTTGGGATTTACTGCTAACGAAATTACTAATATCGAAAAGGCTAGGGCCACTTAAATGTTTGCTTTATTTAATATATTAGTAATGTTAGAACCAACTATAAAGAACTGGTGACGTCATCATTGACAAAGAAGGCAAATTTCCTTCTTTCTATTTGAAGTGAGACAAAGTGGTTTCTTAGCTAGTTTTATCTATATTACAGTGCCTAAGAATAGTTTTAATTTACTTTTTATTATGCATTTTGATGTTAGATAGGATTTATTATATAATAATGTACACATTCCGCCCAATTATTTTGTGAGACTATTTTACTGTTCCTTATTTTTACGTTAGTGCTATATTAGTGGTTGAGGATTTATTTTAATTGAATTTCATTGGTCGGATGGTGCAATTTACTGTTTCTCTTTTAGAGTATTTTATTAAATAAAAATGTTGTTGAATGAAAAATGTGTATTTATTTAAAATTCCCGGTCTATCGTTTGGCGGCAAACGCCCAAAATGACAGCCAAAAAAAAAGAAGAAGACCTAAGACTTACCGGTTTGGTATCGATTCCAATAATTGTACTTAATTTAGTACACATTTGTCCATAATCTAGTCTGAGCATAAATTGTAGGTGGCAGTAGTAGTAGTGGCCCCGTTTGTCCATTTTCCATTTCATCATTCGCAATATGCAAAATCCCAATATTTTCCTAAAATGGCAAACATTTTAGAAGAAAAACTACGCGAAGCGTCATGCTTAGGTGACCTAGAAGGCGTAGAAACCTTGCTAGCACGCAACACCGACGTTAATTCCCAAAATCCAGTTAACGGATGGTAAATATTAAAAATACCCTTAACCTCACTTTTTCCCAAAAATAAAAAAGTCAAAATCCCCAACAAAAAAAAAACTACTTAAATAATTATTGAAGGACTGCTTTGCATTGGGCTTGCAAACGAGGCAACGAAAGAGTCGCGAGGCTTTTGCTGAGCCACGGGGCTGACAAAAATGTGAGAAATTTCAAACAGGAAACACCCAGCGATATTTGTACTTATTCGAACATTAGAGATCTATTGGGGGCTGCTGGTAGGCTTCCGAAACAAGGAGATTGTCAAACATTCGTCCCGAATTATATTAGAAACGCCCCACTGAATGGACAAGTGGAATTGGGCATCAAACAACCAGATTTTCTTAGTAGTATGCAAAAAACTGCCTTGCCAACAACACAAAATGATGGTAAGTGACAGAGGGTGTTTTCTTTAATTGAATGTCAATATTTAAAGAAGCGATTTTAAGAAGAAAACTGCATAATAAACGTATAATTTCTTATTGTATTTTATTTTATATTCTGTATAAATCAGGCTTAAGAGAAATCAGAAATAAGGAAATAAGTGACATAACATCAATGGCTGTCAAAATATACAGGGTTGTTGTTGTGGCAATTCGAACCAGCTGAAAATGGCGACATGATCATAACAAACTTGACAACTGTGAAGGTGTGTTTACATTCGAATTGAATTGAATGTAAACGTACCTTTATGGTTGTCGAATGTATTATGCCCATCGACGCCATATTACGCAATCCAATCCATCTGTCAAAACATAAATTCAATATGGCGTGGCGTCCAAGCAAGCTTGTTCTAAATATGTGTTTTTATGCGTGTTTTAATTATTTTGCCTCGAGTTTTGCTTGCAACTTTTATTTTGATTATTTAATAAAATATTTACGTAAGCTCTTAAGTCTGGCAGAAACTAGATATTTTTTGGCCCATGTGTGGCCGCCACGCCATCTTGAATGATTCAATGTTGCCAATGTTTACCATTTCTAAAACGGATGACGTCATCTAGGGTGCCAAATGGAGATTTGCATTATGTTTTAACGTCATAAAAGTTATTAGGCAAAACGAACTTTAAAAGAAAACTTGCAGGCAACCTACTTCTTTCACACAACCTTGAATTCAGATCGTGTGATTCAATATGGCCGCTAAGGTCAAATATTGTGGTGGCGTTCATAAGAAAAACATTATTGTGTTTTGGCCCTTATTGAAAATGCCAAACATGACAATGTCAAACCCAAACGTCCAGAATGTGACAAAATAAGTTATTTTTTATTGATTTTTATCAGTGACTTAAATATAAACAACATGGTTTTTGACCTGAACAGCCATATTGAATTTCGTTTAGCAGGTCAATAGATTGCTTAATTAATTCAGCGTTCCCAAATTACGTAAAACCTCATGCTAAACCTCCATTTGACTTAATTTTTGAAATATGACAATTGGCAACACAGCTTTTTTGTTGAAATGTATGAAAACGGTCGCCTATTCCAGAACAGGCTTTAAAAAAATGTACAATATTTCCTATCTGCGCCTAATAACTTCTATGACGTCATCTGGGGTGCCTCAACATAATGCAAATCTTCATAAGGCACCCTGGATGACGTCATCAAATTACTTATTACCAGACAATTTTTTAACTTTAGGAATCTACAATGATTCAATTCAATAAACCACAATAGAACAATTTGACGTGCTCTCAATTCAATATGGCTTCGTTGGCATAAGACACTCGATAACCGTGAAGGTGCGTTTACATTCAATTCCCATTCAAATTGCAATCAATTTTGGAATTGATTATAAAGGTATGTTCACAGTTGTCAACTTTGTTATGCCTACATCGCCATCTTGAATTATCACTTGGTTAGAATCAAGAATATTACACAATATAGGATAGCCTATACTTATTTCCTATATAGATCAAAACCGTTTTCTCGTGTTTATTTTTTTAACCTTGGTTCAAACAGTAAATGGAAACACCATTGCCTGTTTTGAACCAGTGTCAAAAAAAATTAATGTGAAAAAACGGCTCAAATCTCAAGTCTCCCCACCACGCCAAAGTACCAGTGATGACGTCGACAACGGTGCTACACCATATAACCTTGATTACAAGCCCGGTGAGCTGTTTTGTAGTACCCTTGCGTCAAAATGCCCTATACCCAAATCAATGAGGATATTTGCAATGTTGCCAAATTTACTGTTTTTAAAATACTATGCGTAATTTAACTTTTTTAGATAAAAGTCCCACTTAATTTTTATTGTAATTAATTCAGCGTTACTATAAACCTCCATTTGACTTGGTTTTTGAAATATGGCAACACAGCTTTTTTTGCTGATATATGTATCAAAACAGTTTCCTATTCCAGGACAGGCAAAAATTATCACGTGATTCAATATGGCCGTTCAGGTCAAATATTGTGGTAACGTTTATAAGAAAAGTATTTTGGCAGTTGTTGTTGTGAGTGCCAAACATGAAAATGTCAAACGTCAAATCTCAACGTCCAGAATGTGACAAATGAGTAATTTTTCATTGATTTTTATCATCAGTAAACTAAATGTAAACAACATGATGTTTGACCTGAACGGCCATATTGAATTTCGTTTGACAAGTCAATGGATTGCCGGATTTCCAACCTGTGCCGAAAGTTGTTGAAAATTGAATAAAAAAAACTTTTCTAACGTTGACATTTGTCAAAAAATTTTGACACTGACAAATAGTTCACGACATATATCCGTCATGTACCTACCCAAATTTGGTGGTCGTAGCTTGTATGGTAAAGCGGGGAGATGTGTCAGTTTTGACAGGTGACATCCGTCAATATCACCACAATAGACCTATCTATTTTTACCTGTATGTGCGCGCAACACGAGGCAATGCATTTTTATTGGCTGACTAGTACAGGTGTAAAGTAATCCTTTTGCACCCTGGGCATCTCCTTGTCCTTGTTCATTGCCCATGGTTTGACAAGGATAAAATTATGCTTGATATTCAACTTGACGTAGCTTGACAAGTGTTCGATTTTCAATTGTTTGTGTTTTTGATTGACAAATACGTTGCATGTCACGCGGTTTTCCTCCTTCCTTTTTTATCCCGTGCAAATAATAAGAACGGACTGCTATACATAAGTCTAACATAAATTGGTACGTTTTGCCTCGTCTTGCGCAGTAAGCGTTTTGCGTCTTTTTCTATCTAATAAAGTTTTCGTATTATTACCTCTTTGTCTGGTAAAATAGATAGGTCTATGTCGGGCATCAAAAATTCTATCCGAATGCAAATTTCAACATATGTCAAAAAAAGACACTTGATCTTGTCAGATTGTTATTTTTTGACATATATCAATGTTAATTTTTTTTTTTAATTTTGAGGCTGGGGGATCGTTTTTCGACTATCGTAAATTTTTTTCGCCAAAAAGTGGAAAAAAGCTTTTTTGACGTTGACAGCTGTCAATTTTTTTTTGACACTGACAGATAGCCCAAGTCGAATAATCGTTATGCACCGATTTTGGTGGATGTTGTAGCTTGTATAGTAAAGCGGAGGAACAGGCAAACGCCTCTATTGACAGAAATTCCTGTCGCATGACAACTGTCAAAAAAAAAAAAATTGACAGGTGACGTAAAAAAAATCTGGTACAAGACGTGGGAAAATTTTGGAATTTGTTTCTGTTTGTTATATTTTTGACATTGACAGTTGTCAAATTTGAAGTTAGAATTTTTAAAGTATTATTTTCGAGGTCGAATCTATATAATTAGATTTTTTCCGCCGGTTCAGAGAAACTTCATTACTCGATGCCGTCTCCTCAAAGAACCTTGACCTGAGCCTACAGTGACTCAATAAACTTGACGTTCTCTCAATTCAATATGACGTCATGGGCATAAAACACTATAGGCACGTTTACATTTAATTTCCATTCAAATTGCAATCAACTATAAAAGTACCTTCACGGTCGCCATTTTGAATTATCATCTGCTTCGAATCAAGGATATTAAATACTACACAGAATAACCTATTCTCATAAGGCCTGTATAGATCAAATCTCAAATTCTCACCGCGCCAAAGTACCAGTGATGACGTCGACAACGGTGCAACATCAAATGACCTTGATTTCTAAAATCGAGGCCGAAGAACAATCCTGTAATAGTGTGTAATATAATTGGGGTCGAATTTTCTAATTACCGTCCTATTTTTGGTTGGTTCTGGAGGCGAGATTTCTATTTAAAATTAGGAAGAATATGGCGGCGGAACCTCCATTGTCGATATTGTCTGTGAAGGTTTTTTTGAGTCACTGTACCTGGGGCTACCAGCCAATGAAGGAGTAGCAATACGGTGTTTGGCCCGAACGGCCATATTGAATTTCGTTCAACAGGTCAATAGAATGCGAAATTAATCCAGCGTCCCAACATTACTTAAAACCTCTAATGCCAAACTTCCATTTAAGAACAGACCAAAAATCACCTTTTCTACATTTAAAATCGACAAAAAAATTAACCTACTAGCACAGCCTAAATCGTAAGCATTCCATTGAGGTCTGCGAGTGACGTTTCACTATAAGCTGCTTAAGTGACGTCATTCGCAGGCCCAGAATTTGATGGAGAGGAAGTTAGGGGAGTATGACACAATTGACATATCACATAGCATAATCAAATTAGTTTTGATTATCTTCGTGAAAAATTGCCTAATATTTCCTACCTGGGGCCTCGAGCCTTCAATCTTATAATTTTTATGACGTCATCCGGGGCGCCTTAACATAATGCAACTCTCCATAAGGTATCTCAGGTGACTGTAGTATATGTACAGTACAGGCGATGATGACGAGAATTCCAGTACTGTCCGCCCAAGTTAAGAACACCGGTTGAAAGAATTTGAAGAATTTAAGTTCATAGAATACATAGCTGTCACGTACACTAACTACAAAAAAATGAGGCGTTCAATAGAGAGTTTTCGTTGTATTGGCAAATTCGAACGGTTAACCATAACGGATACGAAAACAAAGCCGCTATTTGACAGATCGTAAAAATAGTTTTCGTTCAATCCGCTTAACGTTAATGTTAAGTCGAATTCGACAAACATAACCTTTCTTTAATAGTGTTTATCATTGTGTTAATATACGTTTTGTATACTTTGTTTTAATTTCTTAGTACCCAAAATTCATTAATTTTCCCTGTAGGCTTTACAAAATTGGCTACTACAAACGCCTATTTAGATGCATCGTCATATAGGAGGGGTTGTTGGCAAATATTTCTTCTAATGAAATAATAAATGCTTAAGAGAAGTTCGTGTCCTATTGGTATCCAATGAAGAGGGGTGATTCGTAGGTTAGGACAAAAAATAGAAGGCCTGTTAAGTCTTTACCAGGTTTCGCCCAAAAGTTTAGGGCTTCATCAGGGCTTGTACTTAAAAAATGATGTGGCCAGAATTATAAAAAATAGTGCGAGATTTTCAGGATGGAACACTCGATTGCACATAATATAATAAATAATATTGTCCTCATCCGTGAAACGATTTCTCGATCTTTTGAGGGAATTTAGTATCTATTTCGAAAACCAAAAACATTTAAAAACAAAAACAAACCACAACAAAAACATAGGAAATACGCATGCTTTCCGTTTTCGCTATGGTTTTGTCTTCCGTCCGTAAGCTCCCGGCACTTATCGGTAACGATAACGATAAATGCTAGCTCAAATGTCAAATTTGTCAAATAGCGGCTATCGGAATCGCTTTTAAAAGACAACGAAAACTCTCTAATAATTGTTATTCGTTAACAATCAAACGCATTTTTTGTAGTGAGTGTACATGACAGCTATGTTTTCTATGCACTTAAATTCTTCAAATTCTTTCAACCGGTGTTCTTATCTTGGGCGGACAGTAGAATTCTACTTATCGTGATCCCAGCCCTAGTTCGAATCAAGGATATTACAGAACACACAGGATAAGCTATTCTCATAAAGCCTGGCAGGTGATCCAATCTCAAGCCCCCCTACCATACCAAAGTACCAGTGATGACGTCCACAACGGTACAACACCATATGACCGATGAGGCATCCTGTAGTAGTGTGTAATATACTTGGGTTCGAATTGCCTAATTTTTTGATTGGTCCTTTAAAATCCTATGCGTTTATATTGAAAATGAGGACGAATATGGCTGCGGAATCTCTACTGTTGCCGCTATCTGTAAAGGTTTATTGCGTCACTGCAATATTAGCAAACTTCATCTTTCAAAATAAACATCAAAGTAGGCCATTTTAAAATTTTGATTTTTACCAAAATGGCCGAAAGTAAAGGTTTATTGAGTCACTGGGTACATTCAGGCGGTCCCAGCGGCTAAGCTCAGCCACTCAGCAAGGACTTTAATCTCGAAACCAAGGAACAGCGTTCTCATAAGAACGATTGCTCTGTCATTGTCAGTGTTATGCCGGACGACAAAGACAGAAACTTCGTTCCAATGAGAGCGCAGCCGCTGCCACCGCCTGAATGTACCTATTGTATTTGGGGCTATTAGGATCTATATAGCTACCAGCCCTCCTATTATGTAGTTCAGATGAAATAAATGAAATACTGATCTAGAAACAACTGAATGACTTTTAGAATCTTTACACACTGTATTTCAAAAGTTAAGATTTCTTCTTAAAATCGCCCCCCTTAAATTATGATCATTCGAACACCCTGTATACCACATTATTACTTTTCAGATCTAGTGCTAAAAGTCCGCCTCAGCCATTCCCCAGACCCGGACTTCATCGAAATCGAAATTCCTAAGTGGAAACTGACCTACAACGCCCTCCTGAAAATTTGCTGCGAAGAATTGCAAATAGCTGAGTCGCAAGTGGAAAGAATCCGAAAATTGCCGAACACTAGATTGCGAAACGACAACGACGTTAAACGATTAACCGATTTTCAAGCTTTGGAAATTGTTTCAATTACTACTGATAAAAGTGGCAATTGCTATCAGAGCATTGATTGCAAAGATCAAACTATATTATATTAGAATTAAGTAAATATACATAAAACTAAAATGCCTCTTTTTGGTAAAGACAAAAAAGCCAAAAGCAAAAATAATAATGGCAATAAAGACTCTACTAGTGGTTTATTGGAAGACAAATACATACTTAAAGAACAACTTGGCACAGGAGCCTTTTCCGAAGTAAGACTGGCTGAAAGCAAAGAAAAACCCAATCACTTATTTGCTGTCAAAATAATTGACAAAAAAGCCCTCAAAGGCAAAGAAGATTCCTTGGAAAACGAAATAATGATTCTGAGAAAACTAAAACACCCAAACATTGTCCAGCTACTAGAGACTTTTGAAGACAAAACAAAAGTCTATTTAATAATGGAACTTGTCACTGGCGGAGAACTATTTGACAGAATAGTAGAAAAAGGCTCTTATACAGAAAAAGATGCAGCCCACTTAATCCGCCAAGTCTTGGAAGCAGTAGACTACATGCACCAACAAGGTGTAGTCCATCGGGACTTGAAACCTGAAAACCTACTCTACTACAGCCCTGACAAAGACAGCAAAATAATGATAAGTGACTTTGGCTTATCAAAAATGGAAGATGGCGGTATAATGGCTACAGCTTGTGGCACCCCTGGCTATGTAGCCCCAGAAGTTTTAGCCCAAAAACCTTACGGCAAAGCAATAGATGTTTGGTCTATAGGAGTCATATCTTATATCCTACTTTGTGGCTATCCACCTTTTTACGACGAAAACGATGTTAACTTGTTTGCCCAAATACTAAAAGGCGAATTCGAATTTGACTCACCTTACTGGGACGAAATAAGCGATTCTGCCAAAGATTTTATTAAAAATCTAATTTGTGTCAACGTAGAAAAACGCTTTAGTTGCAAACAGGCTTTAGATCATCCCTGGATTTCGGGCAATGAGGCCTCGAGCAAAAACATCCACGGCACCGTTTCTGAGCAACTGAAAAAGAACTTTGCCAAATCAAGATGGCGGCAAGCCTATCACGCTACAGCTGTCATCAGGCAAATGCAACGAATGGCTCTGAGCAGCTGTCAAAAGAGTCCTCAGCCGCCCCAATCTGCTGGCAGTTCGGGCGGGGAACAATCTAGGGGGAGTAGCGCTTCGTCGTCTGGTAAACTGTAAAAAGAAATGTTTGGAGATTAATATAAATAGTCTTCCAAATGATTGAATTTATGTGTATGAGGCTTTAGGTTTGTTTTTTTTGGCAACCGTTGCAATGTTAATGACATTAAAATCTGTCAGTATATTAAATGTCAATAAGGGGTTAAAATATTTTCAACATGGTGACGCTTACTGGAAGTTGACGTCAACTTACTCATATTAAATGAAACACCCTATATATATTATTTGATTTTCACTAGAAAGATTTCAATAGACATAATGAATTTTGTTTCTATTCCCGGCTCTTGAATTTTCTCTATTTAGGCCTGGTTTATTTATCTGGTAATTTTCAGCAAAATAAATTCTATTGGTTGGCGGATAACAACTGGTCAACCAATGGGATTAGAGATTGCGTTTTTATAAGTCATATTGTATCAAAAGGTGAATAAACCAGCTCTTGAGAAATTTAAGAGAAAACGAGAATTCAGTAGCCAAGAATAGATTAAAATTGAGAATTAAATAAAGAAGAATTAATGCAAGGTTTTTCTTTTCTCTCATTCGCAGACAAATTTGCAAAAATCAACCAATCAAAACATAGAACTGACAGATTTCAATATATGTAGGTATTCTCATCTTTTTCTCTCAGCCTGTGCTCTTTAATCTTCCTCTTACACGCAAAAAGTTCCAAAATTTTCCCTTTACTAGTTTCCCAAAAAAACTTTGAAATGTGTGAAACTGTATTTTCAATTATTTCACTTATTATAAGTTGATTTTCAAGATTTTTGATGTTATTTTCCACTGGAAAAATTGAAAATTCTGAGAAAATGAGCTTCTTACCTTCCACTTCATATGCAGAAAGTTCCAAAGTTTTCCCTTTACTATAGTTTTCCAGGAACACTTTGAAATGTGTTAGACTGTATTTTCAATTAATTCAGTTTTTGTAGGTTGATTTCCAGGATTCTTCATGTTATTATTTTCTACTGGAAAAATTTGAAATTTTGGGAAAATGAGCCTCTAATCTTCCTCTTCATATACAAAAAGTTTCAAATTTTTCCCTTCACTAGTTTTCCAGGAAAACTTTGAAATGTGTGAGACTGTATTTGCAATTAATTCAGTTTTTGTAAGTTGATTTTCAAAATTCTTCATGTTGTTATTTTCCATTGGAAAAATTGGAAATTTTGGGAAAATGAGCCTCTAATCTTCCTCTTCATATACAAAAAGTTTCAAATTTTTCCCTTCACTAGTTTTCCAGGAAAACTTTGAAATCTGTGAGACTGTATTTGCAATTAATTCAGTTTTTGTAAGTTGATTTTCAAAATTCTTCATGTTGTTATTTTCCATTGGAAAAATTGGAAATTTTGGGAAAATGAGCCTCTAATCTTCCTCTTCATATACAAAAAGTTTCAAATTTTTCCCTTCACTAGTTTTCCAGGAAAACTTTGAAATGTGTGAGACTGTATTTTCAATTAATTCAATTTTTGTAAGTTGATTTTCAAAATTCTTCATGTTGTTATTTTCCATTGGAAAAATTGGAAATTTTGGAAAAATGAGCCTCTAATCTTCCTCTTCATATACAAAAAGTTTCAAATTTTTCCCTTCGCTAGTTTTCCAGGAAAACTTTGAAATGTGTGAGACTGTATTTTCAATTAATTCAATTTTTGTAAGTTGATTTTCAAAATTCTTCATGTTGTTATTTTCCATTGGAAAAATTGGAAATTTTGGAAAAATGAGCCTCTAATCTTCCTCTTCATATACAAAAAGTTTCAAATTTTTCCCTTCACTAGTTTTCCAGGAAAACTTTGAAATGTGTGAGACTGTATTTTCAATTAATTCAATTTTTGTAAGTTGATTTTCAAAATTCTTCATGTTGTTATTTTCCATTGGAAAAATTGGAAATTTTGGAAAAATGAGCCTCTAATCTTCCTCTTCATATACAAAAAGTTTCAAATTTTTCCCTTCACTAGTTTTCCAGGAAAACTTTGAAATGTGTGAGACTGTATTTTCAATTAATTCAATTTTTGTAAGTTGATTTTCAAAATTCTTCATGTTGTTATTTTCCATTGGAAAAATTGGATATTTTGGGAAAATGAGCCTCTAATCTTCCTCTTCATATACAAAAAGTTTCAAATTTTTCCCTTCACTAGTTTTCCAGGAAAACTTTGAAATGTGTGAGACTGTATTTGTAATTAATTCAGTTTTTGTAAGTTGATTTTCAAAATTCTTCATGTTGTTATTTTCCATTGGAAAAATTGGAAATTTTGGGAAAATGAGCCTCTAATCTTCCTCTTCATATACAAAAAGTTTCAAATTTTTCCCTTCACTAGTTTTCCAGGAAAACTTTGAAATGTGTGAGACTGTATTTGCAATTAATTCAGTTTTTGTAAGTTGATTTTAAAAATTCTTCATGTTGTTATTTTCCATTGGAAAAATTGGAAATTTTGGGAAAATGAGCCTCTAATCTTCCTCTTCATATACAAAAAGTTTCAAATTTTTCCCTTCACTAGTTTTCCAGGAAAACTTTGAAATGTGTGAGACTGTATTTGTAATTAATTCAGTTTTTGTAAGTTGATTTTCAAAATTCTTCATGTTGTTATTTTCCATTGGAAAAATTGGAAATTTTGGGAAAATGAGCCTCTAATCTTCCTCTTCATATACAAAAAGTTTCAAATTTTTCCCTTCACTAGTTTTCCAGGAAAACTTTGAAATCTGTGAGACTGTATTTGCAATTAATTCAGTTTTTGTAAGTTGATTTTCAAAATTCTTCATGTTGTTATTTTCCATTGGAAAAATTGGAAATTTTGGGATAATGAGCCTCTAATCTTCCTCTTCATATACAAAAAGTTTCAAATTTTTCCCTTCACTAGTTTTCCAGGAAAACTTTGAAATGTGTGAGACTGTATTTGCAATTAATTCAATTTTTGTAAGTTGATTTTCAAAATTCTTCATGTTGTTATTTTCCATTGGAAAAATTGGAAATTTTGGGAAAATGAGCCTCTAATCTTTCTCTTCATATACAAAAAGTTTCAAATTTTTCCCTTCACTAGTTTTCCAGGAAAACTTTGAAATGTGTGAGACTGTATTTGCAATTAATTCAATTTTTGTAAGTTGATTTTCAAAATTCTTCATGTTGTTATTTTCCATTGGAAAAATTGGAAATTTTGGGAAAAATGAGCCTCTAATCTTCCTCTTCATATACAAAAAGTTTCAAATTTTTCCCTTCACTAGTTTTCCAGGAAAACTTTGAAATGTGTGAGACTGTATTTGCAATTAATTCAGTTTTTGTAAGTTGATTTTCAAAATTCTTCATGTTGTTATTTTCCATTGGAAAAATTGGAAATTTTGGGAAAATGAGCCTCTAATCTTCCTCTTCATATACAAAAAGTTTCAAATTTTTCCCTTCACTAGTTTTCCAGGAAAACTTTGAAATGTGTGAGACTGTATTTGCAATTAATTCAGTTTTTGTAAGTTGATTTTCAAAATTCTTCATGTTGTTATTTTCCATTGGAAAAATTGGAAATTTTGGGAAAATGAGCCTCTAATCTTCCTCTTCATATACAAAAAGTTTCAAATTTTTCCCTTCACTAGTTTTCCAGGAAAACTTTGAAATGTGTGAGACTGTATTTGCAATTAATTCAGTTTTTGTAAGTTGATTTTCAAAATTCTTCATGTTGTTATTTTCCATTGGAAAAATTGGAAATTTTGGGAAAATGAGCCTCTAATCTTCCTCTTCATATACAAAAAGTTTCAAATTTTTCCCTTCACTAGTTTTCCAGGAAAACTTTGAAATGTGTGAGACTGTATTTGCAATTAATTCAGTTTTTGTAAGTTGATTTTCAAAATTCTTCATGTTGTTATTTTCCATTGGAAAAATTGGAAATTTTGGGAAAATGAGCCTCTAATCTTCCTCTTCATATACAAAAAGTTTCAAATTTTTCCCTTCACTAGTTTTCCAGGAAAACTTTGAAATGTGTGAGACTGTATTTGCAATTAATTCAATTTTTGTAAGTTGATTTTCAAAATTCTTCATGTTGTTATTTTCCATTGGAAAAATTGGAAATTTTGGGAAAATGAGCCTCTAATCTTCCTCTTCATATACAAAAAGTTTCAAATTTTTTCCCTTCACTAGTTTTCCAGGAAAACTTTGAAATGTGTGAGACTGTATTTGCAATTAATTCAATTTTTGTAAGTTGATTTTCAAAATTCTTCATGTTGTTATTTTCCATTGGAAAAATTGGGAAATTTGGGAAAATGAGCCTCTAATCTTCCTCTTCATATACAAAAAGTTTCAAATTTTTCCCTTCACTAGTTTTCCAGGAAAACTTTGAAATCTGTGAGACTGTATTTGCAATTAATTCAGTTTTTGTAAGTTGATTTTCAAAATTCTTCATGTTGTTATTTTCCATTGGAAAAATTGGATATTTTGGGAAAATGAGCCTCTAATCTTCCTCTTCATATACAAAAAGGTTTCAAATTTTTCCCTTCACTAGTTTTCCAGGAAAACTTTGAAATGTGTGAGACTGTATTTGCAATTAATTCAGTTTTTGTAAGTTGATTTTCAAAATTCTTCATGTTGTTATTTTCCATTGGAAAAATTGGAAATTTTGGGAAAATGAGCCTCTAATCTTCCTCTTCATATACAAAAAGTTTCAAATTTTTCCCTTCACTAGTTTTCCAGGAAAACTTTGAAATGTGTGAGACTGTATTTGCAATTAATTCAGTTTTTGTAAGTTGATTTTCAAAATTCTTCATGTTGTTATTTTCCATTGGAAAAATTGGAAATTTTGGAAAATGAGCCTCTAATCTTCCTCTTCATATACAAAAAGTTTCAAATTTTTCCCTTCACTAGTTTTCCAGGAAAACTTTGAAATGTGTGAGACTGTATTTGCAATTAATTCAGTTTTTGTAAGTTGATTTTCAAAATTCTTCATGTTGTTATTTTCCATTGGAAAAAATTGGAAATTTTGGGAAAATGAGCCTCTAATCTTCCTCTTCATATACAAAAAGTTTCAAATTTTTCCCTTCACTAGTTTTCCAGGAAAACTTTGAAATGTGTGAGACTGTATTTGCAATTAATTCAGTTTTTGTAAGTTGATTTTCAAAATTCTTCATGTTGTTATTTTCCATTGGAAAAATTGGAAATTTTGGGGAAAATGAGCCTCTAATCTTCCTCTTCATATACAAAAAGTTTCAAATTTTTCCCTTCACTAGTTTTCCAGGAAAACTTTGAAATGTGTGAGACTGTATTTGCAATTAATTCAGTTTTTGTAAGTTGATTTTCAAATTCTTCATGTTGTTATTTTCCATTGGAAAAATTGGAAATTTTGGGAAAATGAGCCTCTAATCTTCCTCTTCATATACAAAAAGTTTCAAATTTTTCCCTTCACTAGTTTTCCAGGAAAACTTTGAAATCTGTGAGACTGTATTTGCAATTAATTCAGTTTTTGTAAGTTGATTTTCAAAATTCTTCATGTTGTTATTTTCCATTGGAAAAATTGGAAATTTTGGGAAAATGAGCCTCTAATCTTCCTCTTCATATACAAAAAGTTTCAAATTTTTCCCTTCACTAGTTTTCCAAGAAACTTTGAAATTTTTGAAGAAGAAACAGACAGAAATACATATTTTTTTTCTTTAGAAACGTCATAAGGTGATTGTAAATACATAAATAAATGTATAGTAATAATAATTATATTAAGAAACAGAGCTGGGCAAAGCTCTCACTGAAAGGGCTTGAAGCACTAAGCCCTAAGCCCTTTCTCAAAGTGCTTTCAATTCCAAGCACAAATTCCCTTTTATTTTCAAAAGTGCTTCACAAGCACAAAGCCCTCAAAGTGCTTTGGGCTTGGCAAGCACAAAGCCCTCAAAGTTATTTGAAAAGGGCTTGTGTTTCAAGCCCTTTTCAAAAAGCTTGGGGGTGCCTTAAAAAGTGCTTTGAAGCTCTTTAAATGTGCTTGAAGTTCTTGAAATGTGCCTAAAGTACTTTGAATTTGTGATACAATTCTCAAAACTACCGCACATACACTCATCAGTTGAATTAGTATAGTAGAAATAGAAATGAACTTTAAATTTTACAAAGTAGCAGTAGTGCTTTATTTTATTTTTTAAGATGAAGTTCTGGGGTACTTGGGGGGGGTAGTTGGAGTACTACATGGTAATTCAATTTTGTGGTTTTCAAATTGTTAAATGAGGAAAAGTGGAAAAAATTCCAGTGATGAAGTTAAATAGGATACCTTATATAAATTAATTATTTATTTGAACAATCATTAAATTCTAAGCTCAAACCCAAAACCTCCATTATTAATAAAGAAAAGAAATTGGAGGGTCCTAGTTCAAATAATAGAAAAAAAAATAAGCCACAAAACACGTCGATCCAAAATTTTTAGGTAGGGGATAGGTTGAATGATTGGTCAATTCAAATTCCTTTCAAAGTGCTTCAAGCTCTTTTAAAGTGCTTCAAGCCCTTTTAAATTGCTTGAAGCCCTTTTAAAGTGCTTGAAGCCCTTTTAAAGTGCTTCAAGCCCTTTCAAAGTGCTTCAAGCCCTTTCAAAGTGCTTCAAGCCCTTTCAAAGTGCTTCAAGCCCTCTAAAAGTAATTGAAGCTCATTGAAAGGGCTTGAATTACTTTTTTCAATTACAAATTACCAAGCACTTTTCTAAAGTAATTGACTTTGCAAGCCCCAATTACAAATATATAAAAGGGCTTGAAGCACAGGGCTTTCAACTCCTCAAAGTGCTTCAAGCACTTTTACAAGCACAAAGCCCTCAAGCCCTGCCCAGCTCTGTTAAGAAACTCAAGTAATTCTTAAAGGACTAGTTTATCAGTGGACAGTTATTTAGTTTAGCTACCAATCATCATTAGATAACTGTCCATTAATAAACTGATCCTAAGTCACTTGAAGTTTGTGGTATATTATAAATCGGCCTCAAATAAATTAATTTAGCATGACTTATACAGAAAATAAATATGGCGGCATTTATACACAAAAATAAATTCTGTATAAACGCCTCAAGTATTTCTTGTAAATTTTAGCAAAAATGTATAATATGCTTTATATGTGATTTTTAGACTTAAAACGAATCTCACAAATATTTTTTATTTTATTGGGACTTAAACTGTACTCGAATAAGGCTTAACTATTGGACAATATTGTTCCTTTTTAAAATGTATTTATTAATGATATTGGGGAGGGTGTTTGTTTGTCCAAGTTAGATTAATAAAAAAAAATTGCTTAAACATTCCGCTACCCTGTAACTTACAGTTTTCCTTTGCATATTGTAAATAAATTGTGATTTATTCTTTTAAGAGCCGGTTTATTCACCTTTTGATAAAAGCTAAAGATGAATAAACCGGGCCTAAAAAAAAAAATGTTAACTATATTGTAAAATTTTTATTTTTTTACACGGTAGCTGTTTAGTTGAAAGATGAAAATTGATTTTTCACAGTCTAAACTTAAAATAAAATAAAACTGTGTCATAATAATAATTATTTCAAAATAAAGTACATTATAAGGAAAAATCAAGTGTTTTATTATTATTATTATTATTATTTATACATTAATTATTATTGTTTCGTCTTCTTCCTTTTCACCAAAACATCTCCAGTAGGCTTGACAATAACCTCAGCATTATATTGTGTAGTCAATTCTCCCTTATAAGCCTTATAAGCTTTAGGCTTCTTGTTTATTAGCTTAGGCACTTTAATTTCATTTGGATTCTTCAAAGAAAAATATATTGGTATACTAGAACCTCTGTGAGCGTATACATTTAGGCTTCTGATGTTTTCAATGCCTCCAGGGAATTTCCGTTTAATAAATTGTACAACGCTTTGTACATTGTCCATCAAATGTTTTAACTTCATTTTGCTGTAGCCAACTTGTACCATATTGCTGTCGCTTTTCAGGCTTATTTGGAAAAAGGCCTTTTTCAAGGCTTGCTCTAGGTGGTCCTTGAGTTTGGGGATGTGTAGTTTTATCGCTACAGGCACTTTGCGTTTTTTGTAGAAAATGCTGCCACATTTGTGGACAACTTTACCACTAATTCTGCCATCAACTAGGAATATGTCATAGAGATCTACTAAGCGGTTTTTGAGCTCAAAAGTATCATACTCGGTCCTGAATTCGTGGAAAGTCATAATTTTCTTGATGTTTGTTACATTTTTGTTTAGTAGAATTGCCTCATAATGCTCCACATGTTTTTCGTGTTCTTTATTCGGAATACCTTTTACATCAGGTACAATGAGGCAAACATCAGCGTCAGGAGGCAAAGGAGAATTCTTCAAAGGTACTCTGAACACTTTTTTTACAGCCCCTCGAGCCTTGGGGATTTTAAAGGAGTTGATTTGCAGGAAAATCGGAAATTCTTCGCTGAAAAGCTGCTTTTGCAGGTTCGGATTTTCCGAGGCGAATTTCACTACGCCTTTTAGTGCCGCCTTAACGTCGTCCGGATTTATTTGTACAGAATCGAGCTGCATTTTTAATTATTTAGTAGGAAATTATTGTTAAATAATAAACACGATGGAATATGGACGTAAAAGTGAGGTTATGTTATAATAGCGAATTCTTTTAGACAATCCATCTGTCAAATAGGAAAATTCAATATGGCGTGGCGGCCAAACAAGTTTGTTTTGAATGTGTTTTTATGCGTATTTCAAATTATTTTGCAGTTTTTACTTGCAACTTTGATTTTGAGTATTTAATAAAATATTTGTTGACTAGGTACCTATATAAACTATTAAATCGGGCAGAAATTAGATATTTTTTTTATGTTTTTTGGCCCATGTGTGGCAGCCACGCCATCTTGAATGTCACGTGGTTTATTTATTGAACGTAAAATGTCGATATTTCAAATGATCAGGAAAATTCATATTTTTTCTTATTCCAGGCTCTTGAATTTTCCTTATTAAAGCCCAGTCTATCCATCTTAAGGTAAACTTACTGGTAACTATAGCAAAATTTACCTCTCTATCAGCAAATTCTATTGGAAAGGTTAGTGCACATTGAGTGTATTCGTATCTTTTTCTACCAACTTGCACAAGAAAGAGATAAAAAGACATTTGTTTGTCAATTTTTGTTTATTACTGGCTCTTGAATGTCCCAAGTAAAGAAAATTTAAGAGCCTGTAATAAAAACAACATTTCATTAAGTTGGCAACGTTGTTAATCGATATCAAATGTAGCAATACGATAGTTTGACAAGCAATAAAGTAGGCTTTGGAAAATTTCAAAGTTTGAATTTGACGCCCAAATTAGACATCTGTAATACCGATATGGCAATATTTGTCTAATTGCATATTTGTCACGAAGGTGAATAAACCGGCTCTTATTAAGACAAATTCAAAAGCTGAGAATAAACAGATTTTGAGATTAAAAAAAACTTAGAATTAATTAGAGAAGAAATATAGAAAAATCAAGGAAAAATAGTAAATGAGTTCATGTTATTTCTATTCCAAGCTTCTGAATTTTCCTTAGGCCCGGTTTATTCACTCTTCTGTTAGACTGTCGAATGGGCAAAGTGACAGATAAAAACGCAATCTCTAATCCTATTGGTCGGCTAGTTATCCGTTAACCAATAGGATTATAGAATGGTAAATTTATCTTGCAGATAGTTACCAGCAAATTTATTTAAAGATGAATAACCGGCCCTCATTGAGACGAATTATTCAAGAGACAAAAATTGATTTTGCAGTAATTTCACTTAGTTAGATGTTGATCGAGTTACTGAGTTCAACGTTTCCGAAAAGACCTAAATTTGTTATACCCACGTCGCCATATTGAATTATTCGCTAATTAAAATCAAGGATATTATACACTACTACAAAAATTTGTAGTCGGCTTCGATTTTTCGATTGAAGGTAATATAATGGTGTTGCACCGTTATTAACGTCATCATCGGTGCTTTTAGCTGATCACGTCAGCAATTGTAGTTTAGAATACCTATACATCTATGACAAAAAATATTATTTAAACGAAAGACGAAACGCTGCCTACGTCATTACTGGTATTTTGACATGGTAGGAGACTTTAAATTCGAACTAAAAAGGCGTTATGAGGATAGGCTAATAATGACGTTTGTGATGTTTAATTTCGTAATATCTCTTTCATCGATACGACTTACAAATTTTTATCGAAACATGGTATCAATAACTTGGCCTCTACTCTGCTAATGTCCTGTCCAAGGACCTTATTCTGTAAGAACGAACCGTTCGATTCGGTAAAATTTCTTCGATTGTGACGTCATTTTTGGTTTGGTTTTCGCGCTACTAAACCGAAAATGACGTCACAATCGAAGAAATTTCACCGAATCAAACGGGTCGTTACTTACAGAATAAGGTTCCAATGAGCAGTGTTTTTTAGGGCCAAATTATGAACTAACTGGTAAACGTCTGGTTGTTACCTAGCAGGTACTTTCTATTATCTAATGCATAGAAAGCAAGGATGATACACACTACTACTATAAGATAGTTTATCCTCATAAGGCCTGTGTGTAACAAATCCCCTCTTACCTCCCTACGTCAAACAACCAGTTGTAACGTAAGCAGCATGACGTTTTTCGCCTTGACGTAGACTCTATAAACAGATGACGACTTAGTTATGACGTCGGCAATGGTTGAAAACCAATATGGCAGCGATTACCAAAAACGAGGCCGATAAGCACTCCTGAGTGTGTATTCTCCTTGTATAGAAAGTACCTGCTAGGTAACAACCAGACACTTACCAGTTGGTCCACAATTTGGCCCTTAGCAACAAAAAAAAAACAAGACCCTGCCTGATAAAAATTGGTAAAATCTTGCAGATAGTTACCAAGGATGATACACACTCAAGGTTGGATGGGATGACCGGGCAAATGCCCGACACGTCTCAAATTAATAATAATATTTTAAAATGTATATATTTGACAAAAACATCATGAAAACTATCTAAAATAATATTTAAACTGAATAATATGCGTGAGGTCCGAAACCACTGGTGAAGGTTTAGTTGAGAATGCAGTAGAATCCGCGTCAGCAGTAAAGAGTACGGTGACGACACGGAAAGCTGCGCGAAGCGGGTCACATTTCTCTCCCTCGTCTATCTCTCGCTGTCTGCCGTGACCTCGGTCGTGAGCTGAAACCAGCAGCGGAGTATCTTTTTAGACAAAATTTGGATAGAAAATAAACTTAATAAATATATTTACTGGCCGTACGACTATGAACCACGTGCTTGGCGTTCGGCAGCATTATGATAGTACGGTTAATCTTCAAAATTAGGTTTGTGCGCATTTGACGTCACCGTACTCTTTACTCTTGACGCGGACTCTACTGCCAATCTGAATTTGTGAAATTACACGATATGTTGGTCAAATTGCACGTTTCTACACGCTTTCGTCTCAATTACACGAAACTGCTTTGACAGTTAACTTCTGGAATTACATGTAATTCAAAAAGTTAACTTCAAGTTAACTGTCAAAGCAGTTTTATAATACCCGCCTTTATACACACAACCTTGGTGGTACCTATTTAGTAACATCAAGAAGAAAGTATTTTTTTTTTTTGTTATTTATGATTTTGGGAAATAAGTCAAATTCACTCAAATCTGAGGGTTATTTATCGCTCCTCAACCAAAAATAAAGATGTGGCAACGACAGAAAAGCAATCCGAAAGTAATCTAATTACTAATTACTCTGGTTCCTGGAAAAGTGGTTACTTTTGGACCTCAGTTTTTCTGCAAGGACGCTACTACAGGATAGAGCCTATCCTCATTAAGCCTGTGTACTTCAAATCTCAACCCCCCCCCCCCTCTATGCCAAAGTATCAGTGAAGACGTAGGCATCGTGTCGTTTCTCGTCTTGACGTTGTCTGGTAATGGGTCACTTGATGACGAATTTGGGGTGCCATAATATGGAGATTGGAATTATTGTTAAGGCACTCAAAATGACATATGTAATAGAGTTATCCAGGCAACCTATTTTCAAAATAACCGATGAGCATTAGTAGTGTGTATTATCCTTGAGTTTCCTGAAATCTTTGGTTTGAGCCTAGCTCAAGGCAAGGTTCTTAAAAGTTAATAGGTTGCCTGGTAATGGGTACCTTGATGACGCATTTGGGGTGCCTTATGATGAGATATTGATTGATGATATTACCTATCTGTAATAATATCTAAAATGAAAATTCCAAAATATTCTTTCGTTTTCTTTATAGTAAAATTTGGCTGGCTGAAAAAAATTTCCAGGGCCAGTTTGTCTGAGCCCATCCAACCCTGTACACACTACTACTACAGGAATGGCCTATCTTCATCATAAGGCATGTGTGTAACAAATCTCCCCTTTCCCCCCCAGGCGAAATTACCAGTTGTAACGTAGGCAGCATGTTATTTCTCGCCTTAACGTAGGCTTTTTGTTCAAACAGCTTACGACTTAGTTTATAACGCCGGAAATGGTAACCGACAATATGGCAGCCAATCATTGGATGTTGGATAGTTACCACCAAGTTTCTCTAAACGTGAATAAACCAGACCTTATTAAACCAAATTCAAGAGCCGAGAATAGATAAAAAATGACTTTGTTACATGTCAACGATGTCAGAAAATTGTGAGATTTGAGAACTCACCTCGGGTATTGATAATTCCGCCAAAAAAAACATGTTTTTTTGTTTGCCAACCATGCGCCATTTGGACAAGTCGTTGGATTACGGTCTGTTCCCACAGGAGTCTTTGACAGTTTGCAAACTGTCAGTAAGCATCGCCCATACATGTTTTCAATGTTGTCGTTCCAAGATTAATCTGTAAATCAGCTGAGCGATAATCTGTCATATCGATAAAGATGTTACAAAATGTCATTAAACACAAGAAGACATTCGATTGCAACATTTTTAATTTTTATCGATACATCGTATCGATACTTAAGTCCACCTCTAAACTGCTTTTTGAGTTTTGACTTATGACTTTGACATTGACTGATCTGTCTTCCTTCTACAAAAAAAAACAAGACCCTGCTGACGGTGGTCCTGTTGGGGAAATTCCCAGTTAACAAGAAAATTCTACAAAGAAAAACCACAAATCGAATAGAAAATGCCCAAAAATAAAGGTAATTATTAGTTTTAATCACTTACAATTACGTACAAACCAAAAAATTGTCAAAATATTACAAGGAAATTACGCATGTTTTTCAATACCTACACACAATTTCTAGGTAAGGGAGGTAAGAATCGTAGAAGGGGAAAAAACGAAAACGAAACCGAAAAACGTGAGTTAATTTTCAAAGAAGACGGCCAGGAATATGCCCAAGTTACCAAAATGTTAGGAAATGGACGTCTTGAAGCAATGTGCTTTGACGGAGTCAAACGTCTATGCCATATTAGAGGGAAACTTCGAAAGAAGGTAAAAAACAATAATTCTCCCAAAAATTCTTAATTTTAATTGATTATTTAGGTTTGGATTAATCAAGGCGATATCATTCTGATTGGTCTGAGAGACTATCAAGATGCTAAAGCGGATGTAATTCTCAAATATACTCCGGATGAGGCGCGTAATTTGAAAACCTACGGCGAATTTCCAGAATCTGTTAAAATTAGCGATTATGTTACTTTTGTTGAGAATGATCTGGATGAGGACATTGAGTTCGGGGATGATGTCAGCTCAGGGGATGATGCAGATCCAGTTGATGGAATATAATTGATTGAATAAACAAATATATTGAGTTTTTTGCCCTCTAATTAATTGATTGTGTATTTCCCTTTTAGTATAGTATAGCTCATACTATGCTTATTTATGTATTATATTTTTTTTTGTATTGAAAAAAATACACACGAATTGATTTAATTTTGTTTAAATTCTAATAATTTTAAGTCTTTTACAGTCCAAGCACCAAATTTTGCTTTTAACCTTTGCCAATTGTCTTGATAGGTTTTATTTAGATTTTTTGCTTCAATATAAGACATATTTGCATCTCCACCTTCTAATTTACTTAAAAATACTTTAAATAATTCTAATTTACATATTGTCAATCTGCCTTTTGCTGAAGTTAAATGCTTTTTGGTAACTCCTTGCCTTTTGCCATTGATAGCTGCTTCACAAGGCTCATTTTTACACCAGGCAATACTTGAAGCACAAGCAACTTTATTATCAGCTTTTGCAAACTTAAATTCACCTTCTTCAACTTCATAAATAATTAAAACATTTTTCTTATAAGGCCCTATCAGATCAACATTACTAAATCTTTTATATAAAGCCCTTTCTAAAGAAAAATTACAATTATTATTCTTTAATAAAATCATTGAAGCCAAATAAATAGGCTCATCTAAAAAGTTCATTAAAAGGGAGCCTTGTATACCTAAATAACACCATTTAGCTAGTTTGTCACTGCACGAAACTGAAACAGTAGGATCTCCTCTTCCAGGCTTAGTCCTTACAACTCCTAATAAGTGATATTCTTGCCCACAACCCTTAGGATCTTGTTGCCCAATACATTTAGCTCCTGTTCTGTTTATGTCCTCAATTTTTCTCTTTTTAACTACAAAATCCTCTTCAATTTTGGGACAAATTGCAGCATCCCCACAAGGTACCTGACTACTGAAAAAATGAAACCTCACACCTGGTTTCAATGCAAACTTCCTTGTAGCCTCATTAAAACAAAAAATCTTTGATTCTTTTTGCAAATTGTTATACAAATACTTGATAAAGGCCCGTCTGCACATTATTTCAGCGTGACTGTCGTTCAATATTGTGCCTTTGGGGCACATTTTCGATTTCCCAATGCATTTGGAACCGGTGCCCAAAGCTACCACTTCGAAAGTTGAGTTTTCTTGTTGCTGCACTAAGCAGGACAAAACTGTCCATTCCTTGTCCGTGGGTTTGCCTGTTTTAGGTAGTTTGTTGAATTGTTTTAGGCACAAATCCAAAATTAGTTTGTCCATATGGAAAGTGAGGTTATGTGTATTATAGATAAAAGTAGATGATATTTGTCTCTTTTCAATCGCGTTTATTGAAAAAAGATGGAAAATAGGACGCAATCGGATTAGCGTCCGCACGATTGTAGGATAAATGTGATGGAAAAATATGTACTTACATCATATTTTTTTCTATTCCAGGCTCTTGAATTTCCATTAATTGAACAAATTCAGGAGCCAGGAATAGACAAAAAAATTGATTTGAGAAAATTGACTCATCATGGAGATTTTTGCTAAGAAAAATGGCATTTTATTTGAAAGTTAACGTGCCAGTTATGGAAAATTCGATACCTCGCACTACAAAACACTTTTCCGCACCTAAATCTACTGAAAATCGGAAAATATTGGAGAACAATTTGTCTAGAAGAGCACAAATTTAAAATGGCCGCCCAAGGCCTACTTTGATATTTATTTTGCAAGGTAAAGTTAGCTGATATTACAGTGACTCAATAAACATTTACAGTGGCGGCAATACAAGTTCCGCAGCCATATTCTTGCTAATTTGAAAAAAAAATAAATTAATTAATATAGAAGTGAGCCAGGCCTGGGATCACAACAAGTAGAATTCTACTTTCATGACGTCACCCCCAAACTTTTTATCGTGCAAGAAGAATACACACTCCAAGGGCCGAATTTATAGTCGTTCCTTGAGGTTTCCTCATAACATGACTAGCTTGTTAAATAGTAGCAGAGTGTCCATTCCAAACTCACAACCTCCAAGGAAGACTCAAGGAACTACTATAAATTCGGCCCTAAATGTTGTATATATATCACTACACATATTGATATTGAGAATAAAGTAGAATATGGCGACAAAAGTGTAACTTTACTTCGAAATTCCTATTTAATATTAGGAAAAATATGGCGGCGAAACCTCTAGTTTGGTAACTGATGTCATCACTAGAGAAGTCAACTCAATTTAAATAAGTGAAAATACGATTGTAGGATAATTTAAACTAGAATTGAATTGGAAAAAATGTGAAAATTCATACTTTTTCTTGAATTTTCTTCATTGAGACAAATTCGAGAGCCGAGAATAAACAAAAATTGACTTACCATGGAGATTTTTGCTAAAAAAAAAATTGACATTTTATCAAAATTAACTTTTTATTACCCAAATTACAACTAGAAATGGTGTAGTGATGACGTCGGCAATGATGCAGCACCATATAACCCTAATTCCAAAATTTGAGGCCCATTAGCCATCCTGTAGTAGTGTGTAATATCCTTGTGTTGGGATTGCCTAATTGCCATTTTTGATCAATTCTTCAAAATTTTATGTATCCATATTGAGAATGAAGAAAAAAATGGCGTTAGAGGCGTAAGTTACTTTGAAATTCTTATTATAAATTTACAAGTATTCTAAATCACGACCGTTGGCGCAAATAGCTTAAGACACCGTTGGCAACGGTGCAACATCATATGACCTTGAATCGAAAAATCGAGCCGATGAGCAATTCTTTGGTAAAAGTGTGTAATATCCTCAATTTGAACCAGCTAATAAATTATTAGCAATTTCTATTTGCCAGTCAGTGCGCACTAAGTGTATATACATCTTTTTCTAAAAGCATATAACATGTAAAGTTATAAGGATACATTTTTTTTTGCACTGGTTCGACAAATGGAAATCGGTATAAGATGGCGACATAGGCATAACAACACGACCATGAAAGTGCCTTTACATTCAATTTCAACATGACAGTTTTCGCTTACCATTTATTTGAAAAATGGGCATATATTATCGAAAATTCAATTCCTCGCACCCTAAAGACCATTTTTAGACACTTTTCCGCACTAAAATCGGTGAATTTTCGAGAAAAACCAAAGTACAGTACTACTGTCATTTTGTTAAAAAACACTCTGTTAAAATGGCCGTTCAAGGCCTACCTTAATGTTTTTGGTAACGTGAAATTGAATATGATAATATGAATAATTTTCACTTTTCTTGATGAAAGATTAGATTTTTTTGACAAATTCAATTTCTTCTCGTTCTTTTTCGTATACAACTACCAAAACGCAATAGGGCAATCCAACGACCTGTCAAAACATCAATTCAATATGGCGACGACGGTCAAGCATCTGCGATGTGTATTTTTGTACAAAAATATTAAAATCAAATATGGCGGTTATGGTCAAACAATGAAATTGATGTCAAGGATTTCGTTCACTTTCCAGACAACTGTTCTCTGTGTATAATTTGTGGAGTTTTAATGGGATTTTCTATTGGTCGAAAAGGATAATGTATTTTCGTATAGTGTATAAACAAAAAACAAGTACACATTACATTGCCGCCATGTTAAAATGGCCGTCCAAAGCCTACTTTGATGTTATTGAAATGTGAAGTTAGCTAATGGAAAATTTACACTTTTTTTGATGAAAAATTAGATTTTCTTTAAAAATTACCGCTCCTTGCACCACAAAAAACGTAATTTTTTTTGTATAAAAAATACCAAACGCAATAGAGAAACGACCTGTCAAAAAACATAAATTCAATATGGCGACAATTAACGGTCAAACATATCGTGTTTGTTTGTTGTTTATACTTGTTGTATATTACGAAACTACAAAAATTATCGTTCCCAATCAATAGAACAGTTTTATGATAACAAAACGACACGGTAAATGAATTCCCTCATTATTTGACCATGGCCGCCATATGAATTAAATTGTCTTACTTTGAAATGGCCGTCCAAAGCCTACTTAATTGTTATTTAAACGTGAAGTTGGCCAAAATGTCAATCATACCTAAACAACTGCCATCTATGGGGAAAAACACGAAACCCAAAACGGATATAAATCTTTATATGAATTTGAATTATGTTTTAGTGCGGAAAGTGCCAATTTTCCGCACGCAACTGTAATTGGCAGGAGGAAAAGAGACTTTCCACAAGACTTGAAAAGACTATACTGTCATATGAGCTAAAATGCATGCAGAAAAGTGGGGTTTCAAGCACGCTCGTAGAAAATAATGATAAGAAATTATTCAAATTCAAAAAAACAGCTAAAATTATTCATGTTTTTTCTATTCCATCTCTAAACAAATTCAAGAGCCGGGAATAGACAAAAAATTATGATAATACTGTGAGCGAGAAAGAGAAACCATGATTGTAGGACATAAAATATCGCATAAATCCTCAAATTGTTATTAATTACAGTGTTATTTAAACAAATTAGCTGTTGTATCGAATCCGCTATTATTTGTCCTCAACAATAAAACGGAAACGGTTTTGATTATTCACCTAATTCTAGGAAACATCTATATCCCGGCCTATTTCATTATGTAAGTTCACGGTCAAGGGACAATTAATTATACACCAGTGCAGTAGAATTTAAGCATCAAATAAGCACCTAAACGCTTCAAAAACAACTAAATACCCGCCTCTGCGTTTGAATTCTTTGGCTATTTAAATCAATGCAAATCCTAAAATGTATTTAATTTTGGTACAAAAATGCAACTGAAGCTGCTTTTGGTTTTTGCATTTGTTGCACTACTAAGCATTGGCGTAAGTTGATAAATTGAAAATAAAAATTAATTAAAATAATTATTTTTTAGGCCCCGGCTCCATTGAATAATAATGAGAAAACTATAGCCAACTACTTAAGACATGATGCTGAAATGCTTCAGGAATTAAGACAATTAGGATTTGGTAATAATAATCAAATTATCAATCAATAATAATTATTATTTTAATTTAGATGAACATAAATTAATCAAGCGGCAATCAGAAATCGACATTGACGTTAATGGAGCTGAGGAGGAAGGTAGCGACAATAAGGAACCTGGATTTTTTGACAAGGCGGCCAAATTTGTAGTGGAACTTTTGCAGCGATTTCTCAAATGGATTAATACGGAAAATAATTAAGGAAGCTGCCGTTGCAACCGTTTCAGCTGTAGCAAGCTGGATTTTCGGATAAAATATTACATTGTTAATAATAAATTTGTTTGGAGTTATTTGAGTGTTTTATTGGCAAATAGCTTTATCCCAATACAGTAATACAGCAATGATTTCGTTCATATACAGAGTGGTTTTGAAACAATGTTGTTGCAGACTTTAATGAGAATTTATTTATTTCATGTGCCATTAATTGAACATATAAATTATGTCACTACACTATAATCACATCATTATACACCGGAAATGTACTTGTTAATTTTAAAAAGGAAACAATGCCATATAAATAATTAGTAGGCAATTAGTCAAACATAATTGGCAGCTGATTTCGATAAATAATAATTTTTGATCATTCATATATCGAATATGTTTAAGCTAATAACGCTTTGTGTAGCCCTTGCCTTAATCATCGAAGTAAGTTACTAATTAATTAACTAAGGGCTTGTATAAATCTCAAGAAAGTAATTTCAAGTTCACCTTAACTTTAAGGGTACCTTAACTAAGGGTCGGTAATACAATCTTTCTTCAAGATCAAGACTTAGTTAAGGTACTGTTAATGTTGGAGTCAACTTGATATCAGTTGAGTTTTAAGGTCCACTCGCAATTAGTAGACATTGATACACGGTTTAACTTGTATTATAATATCGGCTCTTAGTTTTAACCTGTCTTAAAAATGCCATAATAAACCCCTATTTTCTTCTAGTATCATGTGGTTAATTGTATCTGTGAAAAATCGAATCGGATGTTGGCGGCAGAAGATGTTTGCTGGACCAGAGAAGTGAAAATCGCCACTCGAATTCAATACACTACCAAAAGTGTATTGAATTTTGCCAAAGAAAAGTTGGGGCTCGAAACTGAAAGTCAGGATGAACCTCAAGTTTGCGATTATTACGAATGTATTTTCAAAGAATTGAAAATGGTAAGGAGGTGTTATTGAAGCAGGTTCTAAGAGAAATTTAATTTCACATTTATTTACGAATTTTTAGTTTATTCCAGGCTCTTGAAGCCAATGAGCTTGAAATAAAGCAAATTGGCAGGTTTTGAGACTTTATTAATGACTGAGATGGGGCCCCGTTTCCCTTGATGTGGCCTCCTACCTCCCCTTATAGCCATCCCGATCCTCTCTACTGAGAACTCGTTTCTCTGAGATACTGATACTCTGAAATTGGCGTGAATTCTCTGCCTGGGATTCACGTTATTGTGAATTGTACAGTAATCTACTCATTTATTCTGGAACAACTTGTTACATAAAGTCAAAATTTATCAAATACAAATGAGTGGATTGTTGTGGAACTAGTGAGTGGACCTCTGCGGAACGAGTTCCGTAGCCATGTACTCATCAATATGCTGATGTTCAAGCACGATACTAACTTGACTCACGCAGTTGCGAGTTTTTATCATTAATTCAAAAATTGCATGTCTTAGATGAATGTCACTTGAACAGTTTAACAGTATATTAGTAAGTAGATGGCTGCGGAACTCGCTGCGCTCGTCCCGCAGAGGTCCGCCCATGAATTCCGCAACAATTTATTTATTTGTACTTGATAAATTTTGAATTTATGTAACAAGTTGTTCAGGTAGGTTAAATGAGTAGATACCTGCAGACGTTATGGGTGGACCTCTGCGGGACGAGCGCAGCGAGTTCCGCAGCCACATATTTACCAATATACTGTTGAACTGTTCAAGTAGACATTGACCTGAAACGTGTAGTTCTTGAACCACTGGTAAAAACTCACAACTGCGTGAATCAGGTTAGTATCGTACTTATATCGTAGCATATTAATGAGTAGATGGCTGCGGAACTCGCTACGCTCGTCCCGCAGAGGTCCACCCATAAGTTCTACAGTAATCTACTAATTTGTACTTGAACGCAACTTGTTACATAAACTCAATATGTATCAAGTACAAATGAGTCGATTGTTGCGGAATTCATAGGTGGTCCGCAGCCATATATCTACTCATCCATATGCTATTTAAGTACAGTGTACTACGTAGGACAGCGTTTTATATCCTGTTCACAATCCAATGTCCACAGGTGCAGGTAAATTTAACATCTTTCCCTATCAAAAAACATTGATAAGTTAATAAATTTTACCTGTACTTATGGACATCGGATTGTAAACGGATAAATACCTGCTGTAAGTCTGAGATTGATAGCGATTTCCATTTGTAGAATCAGTGCAAAAAAATGTATCGTTATCCTTATATTTTAAAGGCTTTTAGAAAAAGATGCAGATACACTCAGTGCGCACTTATTGACAAATGGAAATCGCCATGATACTGAGACAAACTACTCGAGAAGACTGAATAATCTGACAATATGTCACCCTGTTATCTGGGATTTACCCAAGGAGAATACACACTCTAAGGAGTGCTTATCGGCCTCGTTTTTGGTAATCGCCGCCATATTGGTTTTCAACCATTGCGACGTCATATCAGGGCCGTAGCTAGAGTCAAATTTGTGATAGGGCATGACAAATTTGACATAGGGCATACACTACTTGCCCCCCCTACCTTAAATTATAGGTAAACAATCTGGTGGTAATGGCGCCGAAGGCAAATTTTTCAATAAACAACATCTCTGGATTCTCTGGCAAGTAAACAAAATGGCGCTGTTTCTCGCGCCGCCTTTGACCATTCGCACCCAGGATAATGCACACTAATAGTGAAATCCATTGGTAAAATCAGTGCGCACTGAGTGCATGTGCAAGTGCACAGAAATACATGTTTTTTGCACTAAATTCACCAATGGGTTTCGCCATAACGACTACTACTATTACAGAATAGCTTATCATCATAAGGCCTGTGTATATGAAATCTCAAGCCCCCCACCACGCCAAAGAACCAGTGATTACGTAGGCAGCGTGTCGTTTCTCGCCTTAACGTATGGTGTTTTCACCACAGGTTATGATCCCATGATAACATTTTTCATCATAAATGTATATTCTAAAGTACGACCGCTTGCGCGAACAGCTGATGACGCAGTTAATGATGTCGTCATTAGTGTCACATCATATTATGGCCGCAATTTCCACGAATGATAAGCAATCCTGTGTTGTAGTGTGTATTATAGTATTATCCTTGCATTTGCACTCTTTCGAAACGAAAAACTTCCTCTGTGTAAATGTCAAACATTGTTGCATACATTTAGGAGTTTTCGGAAACACTTATCCTCGCACTTACTCGATTTCAGGTCTTTTCATTATCTACTCCTAAACTTCCTAGAGAAACCTTAACGCATGTTGCGTTTTGGTAGGGCATGATCATTTGAAAGGTAGGGCATTGCCCCCCCCCCCCACCCTGGCTACGGCCCTGCGTCATATCGAAGTCGTCAGCTATTTAAACAGTCTACGTCAAGGCGAGAAACGCCATGCTGCTTACGTCACAACTGGTTGTTTGGCATAGGGGGGTAGGGAGAGATTTGTTACACAAAGACATTATGAGGATAAGCCATCTTAAAGTAGTAGTGTGTATCATCCTTGGGATTTACCTGCTTGATATTGATACCTGAACCCTCAGCTGGGATTCACCTTGCCTAATATTGATACCTGAACCCCCTACCTTAGATTAAATTCACCTGGCTTTTTTCTAAAAGAACCCTAAAATTGTTTTCTAAATAGATCATAAACTCACACACTACAATATTTACTAATAAAACGCAAATTTGAGTTTTTCCAAAATGACATGACAGGGTGGAGCACGAAAAACTTGCCACCCAGAGTTTCTCAGCTAGGTGTTAGGTGTTTAATAAAAAATCGCTTAGACACGTCAATTTTTGTTTTTTTGGGGGACATATTTTATTGGTATTTTCACCCCTTATCTGTAAACCCTTAAGTGGGGGTAAGAGGTACCTACCCTCAAAATTTCAAATGGAAAGAGGGGTCGAGTGATACATCATTTGGTAGCTATTTTCATTAAGATTATATCCCCGAAGTTTTAAGTTGCTACTATTCACCTTGCCGAAATGGCGGCATGTCAAACTTGGGATAAATGCTTTTTTTCGATAATCTAAACTATATAGTTTTTACCTGTCACACCAATGCGTAGGTTACAGGTTAAATCCACACAGAATTTTTCCATTGATTTTTCCTAACTTTGACATAAGCCGCCATTTCGACAGGGTAAATAGTAACAACTCAAAACTTCGGGGATATATTCTTAATGAAAATAGCTATTAAATGACGTATCACTCGACCCCCCTTTTCATTTGAAATTTTGGGGGTACCTGGCACCTGTCACCCTCGCTTAGGGGTTGACAGGTAGGTGAAAAATGTGTCCCCCAAAAAACAAAAATTGACGTGTTCGAGCGATCTTAATTTATTCACCTAACACCTGAGAAATACGTAATACTTGGCCAAACATAAAACTGATAGAGGGTGATCTATTATAAATGTAACCCCTTGCTAACTTTTTCATTTGACGTTTTGGACAGAAGTGTCAAATACAAAAGTTTCAAGAAATTGTCAAAAGTTTTTAACTAAGTCAGTTTTAGGCATACAGGGTGCGTCAAAAAAGTGCAGCAACGTGAAGTTATATTTTTTTAAATGGAACATCCTGTATATTGTGCGCCTATTTGTTAGTCCCCTGTTTTCAACGATATAGGGTTTGATATGTCTATCTTCAACAGTTATAAGGTTTCATATGAAAAAAGGAAAATTATACCATTTAAGCTTTATAGAATTTTTTTTTATTATCAGTTTATTGTTCAAATTTTATCCATTAATTTACAAGGTGAAATATTATAATAAATCCAGATGTCTAAGCTATTAATATTATTTAAAAAAAAATAACATGAGATACCTACTGGGAAGGAATTTTCGCGTTTTTCCCTATAACTATTGGAGATAAACCGAGGGATAAACATATCAAACCATATATCGTTGAAATCAGGTTGAAGGGGACTAATAAATAGGCGCACAATATACAGGGTTTTTCATTTAAGAAAATATAACTTCATACTGCTGCACGTTTGTGGCGCACCCTGTATGCCTAAAACTGATAAAAACTTTTGACAATTTCTTGAAACTTTTGTATTTGACACTTCTGTCAAAAACGTCAAATGAAAAAGTTAGCAGGGGGTTACATTTATAATAGATTACCCTGTACAGGCGATATATATTTTTTAAATTTGCCTTGTGTGACTCAGGCTTAACAATAAAAAGTATTTTTCGAAAAATTTAGGTCAGACAGTTTTTGTCAACGTCAAAGCTGAACAAAAGTAAATGCAACATGTTTTTCGGGCTTTACCAGTGATTGACCAGTCAATAGCTTTGACAGATGAGCAACATAGTTTGCGTCATTCAAGACCAATTGGTTGACAAACGACGTTTACTTCATTGTTTATCTGTCAATTGTAACCAACTGGTCAAACGCTTGAAATCCTCTTTTATGTTATGACTAGTTTAAATATGACAGTGACTTGACTCTTTTCAACAATGACCACATTTCACAATCCGTAGTTTAAAAGTAAAGGTAAATTTATCACCTTTCCCTATCAAATAGCACTGAAAGGTGATAAATTTTACCTTTACCTTTGGACATCGGATTGTGAATAGATAATACTTAATTCTATTTATTTCTAGTTGAATGGCAATGGATATCCTGACAATAATAAAATGGTGAATTGGATTGATAACAACATCATTTATAAATATGCCAAAACCCAATATGAAGTTTTGGAAAAATGCATGGAGGACTTATCACAGAGTATTGGTTAGTAACAAATTAATGACTTACCTGTGTAAAATGCTGAAAACAAAGAAAATATTTATAATTAAAGGCGCCAAAACTATTTAAATTCAAAAAATACAATACACAATTACAGTGACTCTATTACCCACAGTGGCGACAATCAAAAATAATTGGTTCTAAAATCCCATATATTTATATTGCAAACGCTGCCATCTTGTTCCCACCCATTGCTTATTTCAAATCTGAATATATGGGATTTAGGTGAACATCCCTCATGAAACATGGAAAGCAACGTATTTGATGGACCTGATAATAGTCACCAAATACATCGATTTCAATATTTCATAATAGATGTCCATTTAAATCCTATATATTAATCTTTAAAAGTAACAAGAAGTTGGGAACAAAATGGCGGCGGGACCTCTATTGTCGCCACTGTATGTAAAGGGTTATTTAGCCACTATATACATAATTTACTAGTGGCGCCATCTCTTGACAGCCACATAAACAACTAAATTTGCTCTTCTAATTTTTGAAAATCAAACTGGCAAGAGTTGTTATGTAGGCGCTTTCATTTATCATTGTACCAAATTATTTTTAGCATCAAATATGTATTTTTTTGCCGATTCCAAGCCCACGGACAACATTGAAGGTAAGCATTAAAAATCAATAACATATTAACACAGATTGACATTACACCTCCAATGTACTTGTCAAATTGATATGTATCTTACATAAATTAGAGGCAGATAGATATATAAACTGAGGTACTCCCATGTGTATTTCTTTGGCCAATTGAATTACTTCTGACCTCTCCTGACCAATGAAGTTCTTGTAATCACAGAAACCTTGATTTATGAATGAGTTTATTTGTGTTGTTGATAAAAACCCCTTGGGCATCTTTTTTCAGGTACTCCTTTACCTTTGCAAGAAAAATGCGAAATATCAAAGGAATTCATGAAATGTTTATCACAAAGTGGAACAGCAGAAGTAAGCCCAAAACGTATTATTCTTACATTACCAATAACATTTTTCTTTTTTACTTCTAGTGCGTAATATTCCAATACCCATAATAAATATATAAATAAAAATACAGTGGTACAACTTAAATAATATTTATTGGAAAAAAAAAAGAAGATTTATTACCTAAATGCCAGCTGGTGCATTATGTGCTGTTACACACAATTTAAGGCTTGTTATTTAGGTGATCCATTTACTAAAAGAAAAAATAGGGTTTTTAGTAAAAAAGTTCAAATAGCAATTATGTATTAGTAAATAAACAAAACAATAAAAATTTAGGTTAGTAGTGTTTTTTTTTTTGCACACACTAAATACCTTATTATTATTATTTTCCTCCCTGTAACATTATTATAAAATTTTATTAATAAACAATAACAAAATTAATTGTTTACCTTTTTGGCTGCAGCTCCAACTTTACTCTTTTTCGTCCCTCTGACCTTCTTCATCCTGTTCTTCCTTTCTTTCCTCTGTTTACGGGTTTGTTGTTTCTTCTCGTACAAACCGTGCCTGGCCAGTCTGTGTTTGGGCTCGAACTTTTTGGCAAAGTCCATGGTATCGTAAATTAGTGCAAACCCTGTAGATTTTCCACCTCCAAAGTTAGTACGGAACCCGAAAACGAAAATAACGTCAGGAGTGACTTTATACATTTTGGCCAGCTTTTCTCTGATGTCGGTTTTTTTGACCGAAGGTTGGCCAGGGTGCAAAACGTCTACGACCATTTGTTTGCGGCACAACAGCCTGTTGGTCATGAATTTTCTGGTACGTACTGTAGCAGTGCCTTCCGCCTAAAACAAGTTTTGAGGTTAGAATTTTTGAGGAACTTACCAATAAATTATTTGCAGTTGGGAGTTTTAATTACAGGCTCTAACAATTATTATTATTTATAATGAAAACACTTTGAATTTAATTCACAAACACTGGATATATTATTGTAAACACTGAGGTGAATATTTTTGAGAAAAATCGTCGAAAATTGCACAAATTCCTGGAAAATTTCGTTAGAGCCTCAATCTGGAAACTGTCCCACATTGTTTGCACACATTTTTCGTGAAAAAACCATCGGGATTGTTTAAATAATTACGGATTTGTTTTACCTACCATTTTGAACGGGAAAATTTCACTACAAAAAAGAATTTGACAGGGCCGGCAAGAAATGTCATTTATGTCACATGTCACTTGTGCACGAAACATTAGGCGATTTCTTTGAGGGAGGTATTTTTGCTCCTATACACCGAAAGTATTTGTATCTTTTTCTATTAGCATGTGTACGAGAGAGATAAAAAATGTTATTATGGTGCAAATGAAAACGTCTATGCCATCTTGTTCTTTGCTACGTGTCGCTATGTTGCCAAATATTATTACGAAAATTAATTAAATTTTAATTGATTACATTTTTAATACGCCATTTTTTATTTTTATAAGCTAAAATTAGAACAATTATTATTAACAATAAAACGACAAGGTAAAATTATATTAATTTAACATTGAGTGTATTCGTGTCTTTTTTTACTAGCTTGCATAAGAAAGAGATAAAAAAAAAGACATTTCCATTCGGCAACGTTGTCAAGTTTAAACCAAAACAAAGACAAATCTGACATGATCTAAATAAACATCCTTTTAAAAATTAAAATTTCATTAAAACCGAGTAAAACTCAAACGACAAAATGGTCTTGGCCGATTTAGGACGTAAAATAACGTCCGCCCTGCACAGTCTGAGCAAAGCGACTATCATCAACGAAGAGGTAAGCCCTACCAGATGGGTTTTTAGGTTAGAAATTTGTATGTGTGGCCCCCCCTTTTTTAGGTCCTCAATGGCATGCTCAAGGAAATTTGCGCGGCCCTGCTCGAGGCCGACGTCAACATCAAAATGGTCAAGTCCCTTAGGGAAAATGTACGGGCAGTTATCGATTTTGAAGAAATGGCTGGGGGGTTGAACAAGAGACGGATGATACAGAGCGCTGTATTCAAGGAATTGGTTAAAGTATGTTGTATATGACAACTATAACATCTATCCCTGTTCTACAATGACAACTACAAATACCAATCCCACTACTCCTATCACCACAACTCCTTGTAATGATTGTACTACACCTATCACTACCACTCCCAAGATTCCTAAAGTAAATAGGTTGTCTGGCAATGGAAAATAGATGACGTCATCGGGGTGTGCCTAATAAAAGGCAATTTTTCGCAAGGATAATCAAAAATAATCTGATTATGCTGGGTTATGTGATGTGTCAATAATTGTGCTTTGTGTCATACTCTCCTAACTCCCTCTCCATAAATTTTTGGGATACTTGAGGATCAAGAACACTTAATTTTTTCTGTGAGAACAGACCAAAAATCACCTTTTCTACATTTAAAATCAATAACAGAAATTAACTCGCTAATAAAGCCTGAATCGCATCATTCATAGAGGTCTGCGAGTGACGTCATCACTAGAAGCTGACGATAGTGACATCACTCGTAGGTCCAAAATTGGATGGAGAGGGAGTTAGGGAAGATTAAGAACACTTAATTTCTTCTGTGAGAAAAAACCAAAAATCACTTTTTCTACATTTAAAATCAATAAAAAAATTAACCCACTAGTACAGCCTGCATCGCAAGAATTCCATCGAGGTCTGCGGGTGACGTCATGATTATAAGCTACCGATGATGACATTACGCGCAAGCCTAGAATTGGATGGAGAGGGAGTTATGACCATTTACACCGATCATTTTAAGAAGCCTTAGCGTTAAGTATCCCTTAATATGACATTTTTACATGGAGAAATGTCATTGTGAGGAATACTTATTGCTTAGGCTCCCTTAAAATGGTCGATACAAACGGCCATTAATCTGATTATGCTGGGTTAAGCCTAGTACTCATAATTGCTAAATTCGCACTTTTTTGACATTGCGTCGACAATTAGACGTTTTAGGTCGAAATTTCATGCATCCATTTTCCGACGAAAAACGTACTATTTTGACATATTTGTATACGAATATAGACATCTTTCGTCGGAAAACGTATGCGTGAATTAAACGTCAAATTGTCGAAGCAATGTCAAAAAAGAGCGAATTTCGCGGGTATAAGTAATAGGCTTTATGCATGTGTAAATTATGTCATACTTCCCTAATGGCCGTTTGCACCGATCGACCACTTTAAGGAAACCTTAGCGATAAGTATTCCTTAAAGTGACATTTCTCCATGTAAAAATGTCATATTAAGGGATACTTAATGCTAAGACTTCCTTAAAATGATCGGTGCAAATGGTCATAAGCTTGATTATCCTCGTGAAAAATTGCTTAAAAATTTGCATTATGTTTGAGCACTACTGATGACGTCGTAAAAATATCAGACAACCTACTCTTTTCAAATAACCTCACCATTACCATCCATTATAACAACTACAAAAGCAACTTCAATGACCTACAACCACAGATAGACGGAATTATAAACAAAAATATATGTTGACAACATGTCTGATTCTTTCTACAGTGGCGACAATAGAGGTCCCGCCGCCATTTTGTTTCCAACCTCTTGTTATTTTCAAATATTAATATATAGGATTTAAATGTTCCATCAAATACGTTGTTTTCCATGTTTTATGATGGATGTTCACTGAAATCCCATATATTCAGATTTGAAATAAACAATAGGTGGGCACAAGATGGCGGCGTTTACAATATAAATATATGGGATTTTAGAACCAAACAAAAATAAGACAGCAATTGTCGCCACGGTGGGTAATAGAGTCACTGTAATTCTTGACCAAACTCCCCCACTACTGAAATTCCATATTTAGTCGTAAGAATATTTTATTTTCTTTTTCTAACGCGGGTGTCGTATCTCTACCACGGACCGCCCGCGCCCCAAATCTTCCCTGGTCTATAAACATGTTGTCAACATAACAAATAGTATTTTATGAATAGGATACTCCATCTGTGATTATCTGTCATTGGGCGACTCCCACTATCCTTACCACAATTTTTTGTAATACATTTGGAATTCTCATTATGACAACTACAACGACTACTACAACATCTACAAGGTTTCCAAAATTAATAGGCTGTCTCTGATAATGAGAAATATATGACGTCATCGGGAGTGCCTGATAAAGATTTGCATTATGTTTAGGCACCTGATGACATAAAAGTTATCAGGCAACCTACCTCTTTCAAACAACCTTGCCATTACCACCCCTACTATGATAACTACCACAACTCCTGCAACTCCCACTATTATCAATGTTCCTGAAGTTCATAGGTTGTTTGGAGGTGGGTAACTTGATGATGCATCTGGGGTGCCTTATGGGAAATTTGCATTATGTTGAGGCATACAGATGACGTCATAAAATTTATCAGGCAACCTCATTTAAAATAATCTTACACTATAAAAACTATTACTACAACACTTATCACTACTACAAGAATTCCAAAGTTGATAAGTTATCTGGTAATGGGAAAATCGGGGGTGCTTAATAGAGATTTGCCTTATGTTCAAGCACTCCTGATGACGTCATAAAATGTATCAAGCAACCTACCTGTTCTAAACAACCTGGTCACCATCACTCTTACTATGACAACCACAAAGCCGACTCCCACTACCCCTATTACAACTCTTTGTAAAATAACTAGAACTCCCACTATAATTCCCAAAGACGTGATGACGCATCTGGGGTGCCTTATGGAAATTTGCATTATGTTGAGGCAGATGACGTCATAAAAGTTATTAGCACTATGGAAACTATTACTACAATACCTACCACTACCACAAGAATTCCAAAGTTAATAGGTTATCTGGTAATGGGAAATAGATGATAGACATTTGTATTATGTTTAAATACTCCTGATGACGTCATACAAATTATCAAGCAACCTACCCCTTTTAAACAATCTTGCCACCACCACTCCTACACTATGACAACCCACTACCCCTATCACAACTATACCTTCCTCTATGACAACTGACAACTATTAACAACACCTACCACTCTTATGACAACCAGAAAATCAACACCAATTTGTTTTTAGCTTGTAGATCCTGGTGTAAAACCCTACCAACCAGTCAAAGGCAAACCAAACATCATAATGTTTGTAGGATTACAAGGGTCAGGTAAAACCACTACCTGTACCAAACTGGCCTACTACTACCAAAAGAAAAACTGGAAATCTTGCCTGGTTTGTGCTGACACTTTTCGTGCCGGAGCTTATGACCAAGTCAAACAAAATTGCACCAAAGCTAGGATACCTTTCTATGGTAGCTACACTGAAGTAGACCCAGTTGTCATAGCTCAAGATGGTGTAGAAATGTTCAAAAAAGAACAATTTGAAATCATTATTGTCGATACTAGTGGCAGGCACAAGCAAGAGGATTCATTGTTTGAGGAAATGTTGCAAGTTTCTAATGCTGTTGTAAGTTAATATTATGTATATTTTTTTGTTTCACCTTGTATTTATAGAAACCAGACAATATTGTGTTTGTAATGGACGCTACTATAGGACAAGCCTGTGAAGCCCAAGCAAGAGCTTTCAAAGAAAAAGTAGATGTAGGCTCGGTTATAATTACTAAATTAGATGGGCATGCCAAGGGTGGAGGGGCCCTAAGTGCGTAAGTAATTTACTAATACATCAAACATTGAGCTAAAAATTAAATATTTTAATAGAGTTGCAGCCACAAGTAGTCCGATAATATTCATAGGAGTAGGAGAACATATAGATGATTTGGAACCTTTCAAAACTAAACCCTTTATAAGCAAATTGCTAGGGATGGGCGACATTGAAGGCCTTATAGATAAAGTCAATGAGTTGAAACTAGAAGACAATGAAGAACTTTTGGAGAAAATCAAGCATGGACAGTTCACTTTGAGGGACATGTACGAGCAGTTTCAGAATATAATGAAGATGGGGCCTTTTTCACAAATAATGGTAATTTGTCATACTCTGTATATAAGTTAGGCCTGTTTGTACCAAACAGTGATGCAGTTGAACTTAATAAGTACTTCTGAAACTTTTCCATTGATGCCATAACAAATGGAAAAGATTCTGTAACAAATAGACACTGCATTATTCCCATCTCTATGAAACTTGCTGTCAGTAGAGAGGTCATCAGCCCAGTAAAGTTCAACTGAATCATTGTTTGACAGCTCAATAACATTGGAATTTGATTTTAGGGTATGATTCCAGGCTTCAGCCAAGATTTCATGTCGAAAGGCAGCGAACAAGAATCAATGGCCCGTCTAAAAAAATTAATGACAATAATGGACAGCATGAACGATGGCGAATTAGACAGCAGAGATGGCGCTAAACTATTCACCAAGCAACAAACTCGCGTTATAAGAGTAGCTCAAGGTTCAGGTGTAACTGAACGAGAAGTCAAAGAGCTGATAACTCAGTATACAAAGTTTGCAGCAGTTGTGAAAAAGATGGGCGGTATTAAGGGCCTGTTCAAAGGGGGCGACATGGCTAAAAATGTTAACCAAAACCAAATGGCCAAGCTCAATCAGCAAATGGCGCGCATGATGGATCCTAGGGTTTTACATCAAATGGGAGGCATGAGCGGTTTGCAAAATATGATGAGACAATTGCAATCCGGAGCGGCAGGAGGGCTGGGAGGTTTAGGAAATTTGATGGGCGGTTTTGGCAAACAATAAGTTGTATTATTATTATTTTGTTTTTTTGATAATAAAAAGATTTTATAAATGAAAGTTTAATGTGTACTTAATACAATTTTGTTCTAAACTAATTGCACCGAATATGGCACACCTCTCAATTATTTATTCTCTAAAAATACTGCGTGTGTTAAAAAAATCCCTATTGTTATAAAAATAATTATTGTTTTTTTTTCGAATTGTCTATACATTGTAGGTAGTTGAAAAAAAATAAATAAAATTACAATTAATAAATTAAAACAAAACTATACAAATTAATTGAAAGGACCTCACATAGCTCTTATTTGGTTTTCTGTCAAATTCAATATGTGTTAGACCTTGACTTCCTAATGGGTGAGATACAGGTACTTCAATGTCCTCAAAAACTAGTCATAGACCTATGAGAACTTTTTATCAGTAAGCCAAGGTCTGACACATATCAAAATTTCATTGAGTTTATAAGTTATAAGAAGTGTGTAGGGTCCTTTAAAATAGCATTAAACAATATACAAAAATTCAGTTAAAGAAAAAGTTGCCATCATACAAAGAAATAAATACAACATTTCTATTATTTATAATACATATAATATTTTCAAAGGCACTTTTTTTTTATACACAGTAGTGCAGACAAGAAAAAAAAAATATGCTCAGATCTATCATTACTCTTGTGTGCAATAATAATTTCTTCATTAGGCCAAAGTGCTCCTCTCTAAGGCAGTGGACGAGTAAAAGAAAACTATAGTCAACTTGCTCGAGGCTTAAATTTAAACTAAATTAAAAATATCAGTCGATAGGCTTAACTTGAGCCATTATTTTCCCTTCCCACAATGGGAGTATATCACTATCGTTGCTCACCTCTTCTTGGATTACTTGATTGCCCAAATCCTCGCATACGGTTTTAAAGAAAAATCTGAAAATAATTTGTCAATAATTTAGTGATTACAGTAGAAATGCTGTGATAGAACCCCGGTTATCTGAGATACCCACCTCGGATAACTGAAAACTCAGATAATCTGTATGTATGTACATGTATTATGTATATTCTAAAAACTCGGTTAATACTATGGACATGCGTACCTTGGATAATCAGGATTTTTGAGTCTTCAGACTGATTCAGTTAATCCAGAGCTCAGATAATCGGAGTTCTACTATAGTTGTAGAACACATTAGCATGCAAGCTTGATTAGGTAATACTTACCAGGAAAATTACTTTGGTTAGTTTTAAGTTAACACTATGGTAATGCACAATATTTTATCTATGACTACAATGTTTATTAGTAACTAGCTGCACTAAAAAAAAAAAGCACATAGAAACTTTAGGTTTGCACTAAACAACAAATTGCACACAATTCTCAAAGGGTGATTATGACTACAACATGCTCAAATATGTGGTTATTGGATTCAGTAGATCTTTACGCAAACATGCCTGATACAACAAAGAAAAACGAATTTTTCTTTGATTAATGATAACATTGATAACCAATGGTATTTGTTGGATAAATGTCCCATTGCAAGGCAAATTTTCATGTGAGTAGTGATGTTTCATTTTTACCAAATTTTATAGATTGCAATTGACTTATCTATTGTACCAGACAAAGAGGTAACTAATACGAAAACTTTATTGGATAAAAAAAGACGCAACAGGCGAAATTTCATCATGTTAGTACTTATTATATAGATTTTGGAAAACTTTGAAAGGTCATAACTTTTTTTCTATTACAGATAAAAAACTGAAACTTTCACTGAATTTTATCCCAATCAAGGTACTACAATGCCTGGAAATTTGAGCTCATTTGCACTTACAGTTCCTGAGATAAAATAGTGTTAAGCAATTTGGGGTGATTTATCAATTTTTCAATTTTTCTGAGTGCCTTTTATCATAGATTTCGGCTTCAAATCTGGGAATAATTTAGTATATGGAGTTTGGGGGATCTCAAATGACCATTAGGACACAAAATCTCAACAGAAAAAAATTTGAAATTTCATCGTTTTAGTAAGAAGGTAGGTACCTTATGATTTAGATTTTGGAAAATTTTGACAGGTCATAATTTTTTTTTCTATTATAGATAGAAAGCTGAATCTTTCACTGAAAATTATCCCTTCCAAAGGACTACAATCCCTGAAAATTTCAATTTATTTGGACTTACAGTTCCTGAGATAAAATAGTGTTAAGCAATTTGGGGTGATTTATCAATTTTTCAATTTTTCTGAGTGCCTTTTTCCATTGATTTCGGCTTCAAATCTGGGAATAATTTAGTATATGGAGTTTGGGGGATCTCAAATGACCATTAGGACACAAAATCTCAACAGAAAAAAATTTGAAATTTCATCGTTTTAGTAAGAAGGTAGGTACCTTATGATTTAGATTTTGGAAAACTTTGACAGGTCATAACTTTTTTTCTATTATAGATAGAAAGCTGAATCTTTCACTGAAAATTATCCCTTCCAAAGGACTACAATCCCTGAAAATTTCAATTTATTTGGACTTACAGTTCCTGAGATAAAATAGTGTTAAGCAATTTGGGGTGATTTATCAATTTTTCAATTTTTCTGAGTGCCTTTTTCCATAGATTTCGGCTTCAAATCTGGGAATAATTTAGTATATGGAGTTTGGGGGATCTCAAATGACCATTAGGACACAAAATCTCAACAGAAAAAAATTTGAAATTTCATCGTTTTAGTAAGAAGGTAGGTACCTTATGATTTAGATTTTGGAAAACTTTGACAGGTCATAACTTTTTTTCTATTATAGATAGAAAGCTGAATCTTTCACTGAAAATTATCCCTTCCAAAGGACTACAATCCCTGAAAATTTCAATTTATTTGGACTTACAGTTCCTGAGATAAAATAGTGTTAAGCAATTTGGGGTGATTTATCAATTTTTCAATTTTTCTGAGTGCCTTTTTCCATAGATTTCGGCTTCAAATCTGGGAATAATTTAGTATATGGAGTTTGGGGGATCTCAAGTGACCATAAGGACACAAAATCTCAACAGAAAAAAATTTGAAATTTCATCGTTTTAGTAAGAAGGTAGGTACCTTATGATTTAGATTTTGGAAAACTTTGACAGGTCATAACTTTTTTTCTATTATAGATAGAAAGCTGAATCTTTCACTGAAAATTATCCCTTCCAAAGAACTACAATCCCTGAAAATTTCAATTTATTTGCACTTACAGTTCCTGAGATAAAATAGTGTTAAGCAATTTGGGGTGATTTATCGATTTTTCAATTTTTCTGAGTGCCTTTTATCATAGATTTCGGCTTCAAATCTGGGAATAATTTAGTATATGGAGTTTGGGGGATCTCAAATGACCATTAGGACACAAAATCTCAATAGAAAAAAATTTGAAATTTCATCGTTTTAGTAAGAAGGTAGGTACCTTATGATTTAGATTTTGGAAAACTTTGACAGGTCATAACTTTTTTTCTATTATAGATAGAAAGCTGAAACTTTCACTGAATTTTATCCCAATGAAGGGACTACAATCCCTGAAAATTTCAATTTATTTGGACTTACAGTTCCTGAGATAAAATAGTGTTAAGCAATTTGGGGTGATTTATCAATTTTTCAATTTTTCTGAGTGCCTTTTTCCATAGATTTCGGCTTCAAATCTGGGAATAATTTAGTATATGGAGTTTGGGGGATCTCAAGTGACCATAAGGACACAAAATCTCAACAGAAAAAAATTTGAAATTTCATCGTTTTAGTAAGAAGGTAGGTACCTTATGATTTAGATTTTGGAAAACTTTGACAGGTCATAACTTTTTTTCTATTATAGATAGAAAGCTGAATCTTTCACTGAAAATTATCCCTTCCAAAGGACTACAATCCCTGAAAATTTCAATTTATTTGGACTTACAGTTCCTGAGATAAAATAGTGTTAAGCAATTTGGGGTGATTTATCAATTTTTCAATTTTTCTGAGTGCCTTTTTCCATAGATTTCGGCTTCAAATCTGGGAATAATTTAGTATATGGAGTTTGGGGGATCTCAAATGACCATTAGGACACAAAATCTCAACAGAAAAAAATTTGAAATTTCATCGTTTTAGTAAGAAGGTAGGTACCTTATGATTTAGATTTTGGAAAACTTTGACAGGTCATAACTTTTTTTCTATTATAGATAGAAAGCTGAATCTTTCACTGAAAATTATCCCTTCCAAAGGACTACAATCCCTGAAAATTTCAATTTATTTGGACTTACAGTTCCTGAGATAAAATAGTGTTAAGCAATTTGGGGTGATTTATCAATTTTTCAATTTTTCTGAGTGCCTTTTTCCATAGATTTCGGCTTCAAATCTGGGAATAATTTAGTATATGGAGTTTGGGGGATCTCAAGTGACCATAAGGACACAAAATCTCAACAGAAAAAAATTTGAAATTTCATCGTTTTAGTAAGAAGGTAGGTACCTTATGATTTAGATTTTGGAAAACTTTGACAGGTCATAACTTTTTTTCTATTATAGATAGAAAGCTGAAACTTTCACTGAATTTTATCCCAATGAAGGGACTACAATCCCTGAAAATTTCAATTTATTTGGACTTACAGTTCCTGAGATAAAATAGTGTTAAGCAATTTGGGGTGATTTATCAATTTTTCAATTTTTCTGAGTGCCTTTTTCCATAGATTTCGGCTTCAAATCTGGGAATAATTTAGTATATGGAGTTTGGGGGATCTCAAGTGACCATAAGGACACAAAATCTCAACAGAAAAAAATTTGAAATTTCATCGTTTTAGTAAGAAGGTAGGTACCTTATGATTTAGATTTTGGAAAACTTTGACAGGTCATAACTTTTTTTCTATTATAGATAGAAAGCTGAATCTTTCACTGAAAATTATCCCTTCCAAAGGACTACAATCCCTGAAAATTTCAATTTATTTGGACTTACAGTTCCTGAGATAAAATAGTGTTAAGCAATTTGGGGTGATTTATCAATTTTTCAATTTTTCTGAGTGCCTTTTTCCATAGATTTCGGCTTCAAATCTGGGAATAATTTAGTATATGGAGTTTGGGGGATCTCAAATGACCATTAGGACACAAAATCTCAACAGAAAAAAATTTGAAATTTCATCGTTTTAGTAAGAAGGTAGGTACCTTATGATTTAGATTTTGGAAAACTTTGACAGGTCATAACTTTTTTTCTATTATAGATAGAAAGCTGAATCTTTCACTGAAAATTATCCCTTCCAAAGGACTACAATCCCTGAAAATTTCAATTTATTTGGACTTACAGTTCCTGAGATAAAATAGTGTTAAGCAATTTGGGGTGATTTATCAATTTTTCAATTTTTCTGAGTGCCTTTTTCCATAGATTTCGGCTTCAAATCTGGGAATAATTTAGTATATGGAGTTTGGGGGATCTCAAGTGACCATAAGGACACAAAATCTCAACAGAAAAAAATTTGAAATTTCATCGTTTTAGTAAGAAGGTAGGTACCTTATGATTTAGATTTTGGAAAACTTTGACAGGTCATAACTTTTTTTCTATTATAGATAGAAAGCTGAATCTTTCACTGAAAATTATCCCTTCCAAAGAACTACAATCCCTGAAAATTTCAATTTATTTGCACTTACAGTTCCTGAGATAAAATAGTGTTAAGCAATTTGGGGTGATTTATCGATTTTTCAATTTTTCTGAGTGCCTTTTATCATAGATTTCGGCTTCAAATCTGGGAATAATTTAGTATATGGAGTTTGGGGGATCTCAAATGACCATTAGGACACAAAATCTCAACAGAAAAAAATTTGAAATTTCATCGTTTTAGTAGGAAGGTAGGTACCTTATGATTTAGATTTTGGAAAACTTTGACAGGTCATAATTTTTTTTCTATTATAGATAGAAAGCTGAATCTTTCACTGAAAATTATCCCTTCCAAAGGACTACAATCCCTGAAAATTTCAATTTAT